TCGTTCAAGTCGATGGCTCGTCGTAATGAAATTGCTAGATCTAAATAAAATCGAATGAATTAAATTAAATAAATCAAATGAAATTGAATAAAAATAAACTTACTATGCGTACTGCTAGTCGAAGCTTTATGGAGCGCATTGAGCGCATCCATAGCCAGCTCCACATCCAAGGAACCCAAGCACTTTAAACTCCGTGAGGAGCAGGCTTGACATTTATATCCTGGAAGAGGAGCCGAATTAGCTTCCAAATCCCCTCGAGCAAGCGCCGAAACGCAAGCCTGGCTGGGAATGGAAGGCTACATGAACCAAAGCGTGATTAGCAATTAAATTAAAACGAGATATTGAAATTAACTTACATTACGAATCACCCGATTAACCTGCATCAGGTCCTGCATCGTAAAACGAGCATTTTGAGTCTCCAAAATGGAGCCCAGCTCGACAAAGTCAGGATTGATAGCGAGGAGGGGATTCTCGCGATTCAAGGCAGCGCTATTCTATTAAATTAATAGAATTAGTATTAACTAAATCGAATTGAATCACTGTGACTTACCCTGGCATGAGCAAATTTGGGGAAGGGAGTAAAACTCCCAGTTGACTGCTCAGGGAGCCGTAAACGCCCTTGAGCATCCGCCAATAGTACCGGTCGAAAGGTACTATCCGAGGGACGCTCAGGAGCGGATTTTGCTGCAGCTTTGGACACTCGTTTGGGGACGGTCACCCGTTTAACTGAACGGCGAGGAAGTGAAGCTACAATCAAATTGAATTAATAAAATCAAACAAAAAGAAGAATAAAGTCTTACCGGGAAGAGAAGATGTCGTTTTTAGGCGTTTTGGAGGAGGCGCAGAGTCCTCCTCCTCATCCTCATCTTCTTCCTCATCTTCTGACTCTACTTCGTTGGAAGCAGAATCGTCATCCGAAACGACTACTTGTCGGGATTTGCCTTTTGCGGTAGTTGGTGCGATTTTCCTTGAACGAGAAGGGAGTCGAACTCTTTTATAAACCATGGCAGAAGAAGTAGGCTTAGAGGCTTTGGAATCTTCGACTACCTTGACGGTAGTTTTGGGTTTAGGCTCTTTCCTGTCCGTGGAAACCTTGGTAGAAGACGAAGCTCGAGAAGCAGAAACTGCAGACGGGAACCCACTTAAGAGCTCATTGTCTGAGTCTCTTGAACGAGTGGAACGTGGCGATGAAACTGAATCAAAAATAAAGATTAAATGAATAAAATAAGAAATCAATCAACTGAATTAATACTCACAAAACGTGGAAGCATCAGCCTTGAGGCTCTCTAACTCCCGATTCCTTCTAATTAATCGAGGAGGAGCTACAGGCGCCTTGGGAACAGATGTCGAAGATTTGATCTCCAGAGGAGGTGAAAGAGTACTAATTTTTGATGCGACCACCGGTGAAACCTTACCGCGTAAAGAGGCAAAAACATCTAAATCCTTAGAAGGAACCGAACGCATCATTGCGCTTCCTCACGAAAACGTAGACAAAAGGGAATTGGAATGGCAGGGAATTGTTCGAATTTTGGAACCCCCTGCAAATTAAATTAACGAGAATGAAGAGAATTTAATTGAAATGAACACTTACCTCAGCGGAAGACCGATGCTCAGGGGAAATGCCCCATTGCTGCGTCAAATTTTCGCGAAGAAAAATGGGTAGACCGAAAGTAAGAGATTCAGCGGACAATAAGACCTGTTCTGCGAATAAAGGGCAATTTGCCCGACCCATCCAAAAGTCATGAATATAAATCTATGAGGCACTGTTAAATACTTGCAATAAAAAGAAAGATAGAGGTGGCTACGTACCAAAAAGGGAGCAGCCTCCTCAAAAACATTGTAAATCTCCGACTCTGTTGAGGGTGGTTCCTCTACCAAATCCTGTAAGGTTCGAACCGCCATTTGCGCCGAACAAAATAAATCCAATCCGGAAGCCACGGACAATGGACGCAATGTGTCGGGAGGAAAACAGAGAGGAACGAGAGAGCGAGGGTAGGAAAAGGCAGGAAAGGAACTAGACTCATGGTAATCCGGTGAATTTTGAGAATCCAAAACAGGAGGGACATAGTCTCCCTGTTGAAGGCGCTGAAAAATTGAGCTTTCGAAGAATAATGGGAGCGTTGATTTTAAATTGAGTTCAGACAAAAGAACCTGAGCCTCCAAAAGGGAGGTAGGCAGAAGGGTAGTTGAGCCCGAAAATCGAGTTTGACTCGAGGTCGAAGCCATTTTGACAAACGAGATGAAAGAACGGAATAAAGAGGGAAAACGGACTTCAACGAAAAATTTCATTGAACCCCGTGCCCCGAACCAAATAAACGTACACACTGAATCAGTGCGTACGTCAGAGCAGTTCTCCATGAAATGGAAGCTCGTTCTGTGACTAGATGATGAAAAGATTGTGAATTAAATTTTCGAAATGTGATACGAATACCAAAAATGTATTCAATTCAAATTGAGCGCTAAACTGTTACGATTCGTAGCAAGCGTGTGAATAAATTGATAAGATGAGCGCTAGAAACCCATTTGAGGGCATCCAAATTGATTGGAGAACACGGAGAAGTAGAGATCCAAACCCAGTGATTTACATTAATAGGAGATATAGTCTTGTCGAATCAATCTAATAACAGATTGGGTATCCTTTCCCGATACAAAACTATGAATGACCGAGGACGGTCAAATTCTTTAGTTTGGGGGGGATGACACGCCTAAATTTTGGCTAGACGTCTATATTGTGAATTGTGACATTTTCACGTATAGATTTGTATCGAGAGGACTGTAATTGAGACCCAGATTGACAGTCAAAGTCAATACTGAATCAGTCTAATAAGTTGAAGGGACCATATACCCATACTACCACAAGTTGGTTAGTTTACCCATCCCCGATACTACCTACGGATAGCAGTCTACCTGTTTGTCAAGCAGGATTATACCAGACTCGGACTACATCCGAAGGATGACCATTCACGTATGACATACCAAGGGTATTCTTATTGGACCTTACACTGGCAGGAGTTTGGAAGAACTTACTCAAGTGACCATGAACCGAGGATTGACTCGAAATGACTTTCTAGAACTCAGGAATTATCAAAATACTCCTTCTAGAACAAGATCATGCATTAATCTAAAAGACTGCGATTTAGTCTAATAGACCAATCAAGTTGCATGGTTGAGGAAAATGACTAGAAGAACGATCGAAAGACTGCGAGGTTCCGAAGACATATCAAATGAATGTCAAAGAGTCCTGGCGTAGAAAACATTGAAGAATGTAATTAAATGAATACTATGCGTAACTCCCTTGATATAGTATAGGCACAATGGGTGTCTGTTGAAAGAGAGAAGCAATTAGTTTAATCCAGATGAATCAGATTGATAGGATTAGAATCGAGGAGAGCTGATTTGCCTCCGGACGAGATGACAAACGATCGAAGTAAGTGTTGAACCGCAATGACAGTTGAACACCATTCGAGTCATTCTCTAAAAACAATTAAATTAAATGAATATTGAAGTACCTACCTATGTTTGGAGGTATACTAGAATCTTGGAACCAATATGGACCAAATAAGGACATGTAGATTCAAATTAAATAGTATCTGACTGAGTGTAGAAGTTTCCTTGCGGTTCCGAACGTTTATTTTATTAAATTAATTGTACTATGCGACTCTATATTCTGTATGTATAAATAGCGATCCGATGTATCTGGAATACAGGTGATTTTGGGACGACGTTGCAGTGCTAATCCGTAAAAAGGAAAGACACACTCCCGCCAGACTGAAACCTCTTCGCTAGCAGCCATTCGGGCCCGGCACTTGTGAGTATAGGAACGTCGTGTTCTGCTCCTTGTGACTGCGAGAAGTATATCCAGTTGTTGGGTATTCTTCGAACTTAGGATCAGTCGTTGGTCTTAAGGGCAAATCACGCTGTGTGGTTGTGCCAGCACATAGTTCTAGCCCTCTGTAGGGGTCTGTGTGTTTCGGTTTTAATTTACTTTGATTCAAACCCCCAATTCTTGATATACCCAAATCAATACAAACCAAAGCACAAATCGTGCTGAATCTACCTTGATCAAAGGAATATATCGAATCCTTAGAACGATTCAAATTGATTAATCAAAGCTTCGTACTTAGCTCTCAAAGCTTTGCGGAACCTTTGCCAACGCTACCCCTTGCTATTAAATAAATTTGATAGCAGTGAACTCGCATATTGTGTATTAGATTGGTTGGTTGGAGTGCCCATTAGATTCCTTCCTTTCTCTTTCACACAAAAACGAGGCAAGCTCGTTATCGGCTATTGCCCATTCACAAGATTGGTCTAGACGTAGTGTCAACTGAAAATGTAATGTCAGATCCGTCGGCTGCTCCATTACTGGGTCTCCATCATAGATTCCACTGTCGAGCAGTATAGATTCATTGATTTGCTTAAAGAAGTACATGGGCATCTAGCTAAGGACTAGGAAATAATGGTCCTTGAATATATAAGAAAAGCCTTGAGAATTGAAGGGTAGGTAGCTGCTGGAAGATAGGGCTCGGAAGATCAGCGGGATTTCGAGTGCGAACGAAAAAATCTCACGGCGCCCTAAGTTCTGCAAATAGCAGTAATACCTCTCACGAGGACCTTCAGACCCAACATGTCCTTACCATTCTCTGCCATTCTCCCTAGCTTTTGTCCCTAACAGCCTTACCTTGAACAGAGTTGATTCTCCAAATCATATGGCAAGCTCCCACTGATGACTTGAGTTATATAATACGAGGACAATGTTTGAGGTGCTCTTCAACTTCGTGACCAAATTTAGGTCCAAGCTCAGCATCAAGTCGCGTCGTTGAAGAGACTATTCTCAATATGTACCTCTAGTAGCCATTTCAGTCTATTCCAGTAATGGAGCGGAGTTAGAGAAGATTTGTGAACGGAGGGATGTACATAGTGGGTTGATAACTCGCATATGTATGTGACTTTTTCGTGGTGTTCCATTACCACCGTATTTCCTGAGACCTTGAATAAGTCAACTAGTCCACCCATACCGATCCGGCACAACAAGAGGTTCCGGAGATGCTGGTGAGGATCTGAGAATATGATTATTCAAGTATGACAAGGGAGACTTACTCGACACGAGAGAGCTCCTCCAGCTGTGTCCCATTGTTTGTCAAATTATACAGCGCAGCAAAGTCCATATCCTCATCGGTCAATATGAGCATGTTGTCATTCCATGGCGAAGTCGTCAAAATATTTGACGTCCCGCCTCCTGCAGGGGTAGGGACGATAAATAAACCGTTCGGATCGACGATGTCTCCGGTTGGTGTGAGATCCCACGCAGCAATGAACCCAGTGGAGTTGTTGTCACGAGAGCGGGTAGATGCGTAGAGGGTCACTCCGGACGAAGAGAGAGCAATTTCATCGCCCCAGTAAAGCGAGGCATTGCTTGGTGTCAGTCCTAATCACTTGGTCGACATTAGCGGACATTTATGGGGAACAAGCAAAGCCCACCAAACGGTGTGATAGCAAGCGACCTGTCCGTCAAGGCCAGTGCCCCAGTCGACGCATCGAGCTTGAATTGGTCTACGCGGAGGCCTTCTTCGTCAATGACGTAGAGAAAGTTTGCAGTCGGGTCAATGACACCGTGTCGAGGCCCTGCTCCAGAGATGCTGGGAGAAGTTGTATTAATCTGCTGAAGAGGGTTAATAGTAAAAGTATGAACGAGGTTTCCGCCAAGGTCCTGTCAACGAAAACCGGTTACTGATCGTTCGGCATTTCAAGCAAATGGACTTGGTAAAACATACCATGATGTACATATACTGCAAATCAGGTGTGTTTGCAAATCCGTGGAGGGTCGCACCTTCCTCGAATTGAATTCCATGAATGTGTTCGCCGAAAGAACCATCCCCTTTTACAGACCACACGTCTCCACATGGATTGACGAAGTCGAGACCATAGAAATGATTTTCGACGAACTGATTCGCAATCGGTTTAGTACCGCAGGACGGAACAGTGTTGAGAAGACGTGGAGTGAAATCCTTCTGCAGTGCGTATGCTGAATAGGTGCGTTGACCGGCAATAGGATTGGACCACCCAGATGCATAAACGACCCTGCGATTACTCTGCAGAATTTAGCACGCTCGGGATGTTAAGAGAACGGAGACGCACATCAAATGAGAGCCATGGGTGGGCTGAAGCAGCATTGGTAGTGTTGACCAGAGCCAACGTTCCGGTGTCACTGTCGATTTCGAAGGTGTATAAATAACCGTTTCCGACATTCTGAGTACCGTCCAGCATAAGAGTAACATTGTAGTCAGTCCCGAAATTCCCAACTAAAACATGATGGAGTTCTCCGGCGACGGAAGCCAACAAAAGGCTCAATATGCAGGAGTTCTTTGTGAGGTTCATTATTGAGGGCTAAGGGATTGCAAGACGAATAGAAGAGATCTGCATTGATATGATAGAAACGGCGGATGATCACAAGGTGCCATTAGAGAGACACATTGAATTTTCGTATGTACTGTATTGTGCGCGTGTGCGGTTTTGTACAAGGTATACTGGTCGACGAAGTTATACAACATGTACCGCGGTCCGATGATAATAATTTACACAGAGATCTAGTCCAAATGATGTGTTATTTTTTGCTTTCTGTAAGATTCAGATCAACTGACCTTGGCTACTTGAGGGTTCTGTGACATGGCGACCTCATGCGAAAATCATTGTGAGTTTGTAAGATATGATATGATACAAAGAATTATAAAAGATTGACGCTGCTGCTGACTGCGAATATATTAAGCTTTGAATCTCAAAGTAAGATCAACGATAACAACCTGAAGTAAAGTTAACTTACCAGATGATGAGATAGGTGTTATAATGTGGTTCTTCATATTTTTGTGCAGTGAGATTAATTAGCTGGATATATAGGTAAGACAAAATGAATGACAAGTCCAAAAGAATTGTGAACTGCACACCTCAAGCCCAGACTATAGGATCCTGGAGCGTAAGCTCATTCCAAACCCATTTTGAGCCGGCCTTCTTCATGACACCAGGACGGGTATTAGGCATGCCTTCAGCTGTTTCTTCAAAGTATTTCCAAACAACTCCGTTGTAATCCATTTCATAGGTTGAAAGTACCATGGATCATGCGTTATGAAGGGAAGATAATCCGATTGAAAAATCGACTGAGTAGTCAGGAAGACACATTCGCTGTCTGCGCAATGACCTGACAAACGCCAATTAGTACACGGGTAGGCACTTAATGGAGTGGGATCTCACAAAGGCATAAAACATAGTTGATATATCCTTCGGGCATAGGGACTTCCGTGTGACTAGCATAGGTCGTACGCCGATATGTAGCAATTCTATCGCCATCTCGCGTTCCAACAGGCATGTCTGGCGTTAAAAACGCATCTTTCAAACTGAATCTCCTCGCGGGATTCGGGTCTGAAGTAGAATCAAATTCAAAAACAGCAAGCTCTTTAGACCAGTCAATAGGGTCATCTGGGTCATCGATGTGAAAGAGTTCTGCCAGTGCCACTTTGAAAGCAGCTTGGTGTAAACGAATAAAATCTTCCAGTTCGCGGAGACGAATGGATGGATTTGCCTCGGTTGCCCTCTGTTTACAAAACTCTTTGTGGACCTTCCAGTGGGCCTTTTGGTGTTCTCGGCACTCCAGACGCATACGTAACATAAGGGAATTTCGACATCATCTCAACAGTGAAAGACACTCACACAATATTGGACAGCACGACACCCTGCGCAGACTTTGAACGGAGGTTCACCAGCCTGTCTCTTTCGCTCGCAGTGATAGTACACACAGAAATCAGGAGTATTTCTGCTGAAATTTGTTTTCGTATTCTGAGGCTTGATCACGTCCATCGCAGACTATCGCAGATAGAAACAAGGCTCACAAGATTATGTAAGCGCAGAGAAACCGCACTCAAGAGTTATCTTGAGGCAATCTTGGCATTTTGATGCTTTCTGTATTTTGGGGCGGGAGGCTCGTCATGTCGCCTTTTTGAATTTGGTAACGCCACAACCTTTATGCTTCCTGTGAAGGAGGCTACTACTAGTGAATCTAATGACTAGTATTACAATCCCTTGAGCCAGGTTACTGATAAGAAATACACTTTGGACAAACATACAGCCATCGACGATCCTCGAGAACATAAACATGGAGGCGGGAGTGAAAAAAAAGTTTTTGAAAGTCCGTTTGAGTCCAACTCGATCTATGTCACGGTCTCATCGTTCAATTCACCAAAGCAAGCACGAGAGCAGTTCTGGAGGGGATATAGACCTGCACATAATGACCTGAGATCCCAGATGACAATGTGATGTCAGGGTCCCCTGAACTCACCTGCAAGAAGTTCTTTCTCCCATTCCATTCCATTGGAGTAGTGAAGTACTTCCCGCCCGTCTTAGCGTTATCGAACCCGCCGAATCGAGGCTCGTCAGTGGTCAGCACGACCGTGTACTCCCCAGCAGTTTCAATACCAACTCGGTAATCGGTGAAGCTGTTAGTAGGATGGAAGTTGAAAATGAACAGCACGCCGGCACGTTCGTATACAAGGATTTTGTCTACCTCGTGTTTGAGTGAAACGTATGCCTATTGTCTTATGAGATGGTTAAGCAGGACGAGCAGAGTGAAGAGTCTACCTGAGGAGCGGAAAGCCATCCTTTTTGTCCCTCAAGGTGATTCATGGCAGCATCGAATTCATTGAGATATCTGTAGCGAAGGAGAGGATCATCCACAACATTCCATTGGCGACGAGCATAATGGAAGGAGTTGTTGTTGCCAGCACGCGGGAAATCGAGCCACTAGCGAAAAGTTTAGCGGTATCAGGCGAATATGACGTTGATTTTCCTACCTCGGGATGACCAAATTCGTTCCCTTCGAAGTTCAAGTATCCTTCTCCGCCGAGAGAGTGCGTAAGAAGACTAAGACAGAACTTTCAGGAACATGATATCGCTGTAAATCGATTCAGCATACCGAATCATCTTGTGCAGAGCTAAACCACGAGAAATTATTGGTGTCATTTCGGTGAGATCAGACATATGAGTATCTAGCAAATATAGAAGTTAGCATAACTTTCACAACAGATGCAGACTGGACTTACACATTTCTTTATCCATGAGCCAAAATGCAATAGTCTTGTCTCCCACCAACGCCTGATCATGACTCTCACAGTAGGCGATACTCTTTTCGCCGTGTCGCCTATTGGTAAGGGTATGAACTATATTTCCAAGCTCCCATTCGCCATCAGACTTGTGCTTGAGCAGCTTGATCCACATATCAGGTACGGCCATCGATAAGCGGTAGTCAAATCCAACGCCACCCTTGTCCGTGGGGATGCATAGTAGGGGCATGCCAGAAACATCTTCAGCAATGGTGATGACCGAAGGGTACAAAGTATGCATCGCGTCATTCGCCTAAGAATATCATTAAAGTCATCTGTGCAAGTAATTTGGCACGAAACCTACCAGCATTAGGTAAACAATTGCCTCCAAGTCTGCAGCATCTCCAAAGTATTCATGATAACCCCCAGAGAAGCCCGTACCAATTCCGTGGTGTTTGTACATCATGCTCGTCACCCCATCGAAGCGGAATCCATCAAACTGGTATTCTTCAATCCAGAAGCGGAGGTTGCTCATCAAGAATCTCAAAACTTCATGAGATCCATAGTTGAAAAGCCTACTGTCCCAAAGTTCGTGGCGACCTCTTGCTCCCTCGTGGAAGTAGAGATGATCTGTTCCATCGAACTCGTTCAGGCCGTCGAGAACATTTTTACAAGCATGGGAATGAACAATGTCCAGAAGAACGGTTATACCCATACCGTGAGCGGTGTCAATGAGTTCCTTGAGGTCCTCCGGAGAACCATATCTAGAACTCGCGGCAAAGAAGTTAGTGACTTGGTAGCCAAAGGCTAGAGACAACGTCGGTCAAGATCTGAGCGCTACAACTGGAGAGCGAACGGCCTCACATGCATAATATGCGTGCTCCATGACGGCCATCATTTGTATGATGTTATAGCCCAATTTCTGAATACGAGGCAGAATGTTCTGGGTGAATTCTTTGTATGTCCCGACACGACTCTCCGAGGTGGAGATCCCAACGTGGGCCTCGTAAATCTTCGCATCTTTAGGCTTTGGAGGACGAGTGTTCTTGAATTTGTACTTTTGTGACTCGGGTGGGTTCCAGAAACGCGCATCGTAGACAGGAGAGACACTTAAATCTTGAGTAACGCGTTTAATCCAGGTGGGAAGACGCTCGATACGTTGTCCTGAGGGTGTGACCATGGATATCTACAAAAAGAAATGATAAGACTAAATATATGCTGTGAAATATCAACAAACTTTGATTTTTGAGTCGTGAGGGATAGCGCATTGTCCAACAGACGTCGGGGCAATTGTGATCTCCCAAACACCAAAGTCGTTCTTTTTCATCGGGTGACTGCTCCTGTTCCATTCGTCTAGGGGATGAAATCGTTATCGTCAACTGAAGTCTGCAGGAAGTCAACGTACTGAAATCTCCGATGAGATTTGCCTCTCGGGCATTGGGAGCCCATTCTCTATACACCACTTCTCCGTTGCTTCCAACGTTCAGGCCAAACTTGAGATAGCCTTTGGTGAAGTTATCGTATCCCCCTTCATGCTCGTCGATAGTGTCCTTCCACTGACGGAACAAGTCATAGCGTTTGACGATGTTTGGAACGTCTGGTTCAAGATATCCATCGATTTCAACAATCGCTTTTGGGTCGAGGGGTTTGGTGGGCATGATGGTGGTCCAGAAGCAAGATAATTGGAGCCTGGACAAATCCGACCCTCAAAACTCGGTTCGCGTCTTTTTGCTATGACGTACCATACTTCCACCGCGAAATTTCCCCATAAGGGTTACGAGAGCGTGTACAGATAGATAAGAATTCTTCTATACTGTACTGTACACAGTGTACAGAATCGACATACAGTTTACATACGCGTGAACTACACAGGTATTTTACGGTACCTGTCGAGATGGAATATTTGCTCGTGGTATTGTCGGCATGAAGGATCTCCTGCACGACAAGATCAATGAAAATTTGACATCAGTGCAAATTGAGTACTTACCTGTTCAATACGAGGCCTTTCAGCGCTCGGATTTCCTTCTTCATTTCATCCGCTGGTTCAATAGAGGAAGCGGTTGTGCCAGGTATTGATGGTGGACGATATGGTGTGTAAAGGTTTGAGCTAATGTAACCGGTAAACTCCGTCATGGCTTGCAGAGTATACTGATAAGGGCTGGACGTTGTTGGGTACTGGAAAGTTGAAATCACTTTGGATAGAGAATCAAGAGAAGAAATGAAAGCCGTCGGAACAACGGGTTCTGGAGGGACATAAACCCAGCGTACAGGCGCTGACGCTCCCTCTGGGGAGTCTTGAGATGTCAATTCTTTGAATACGGGGGTTGTCGATAGAACGTCCCACAAAGTGCGCTGAATATCGATTAAGGAATAACACTATAGATGTAGGGACAAGATACGCACTTCGAATACAAGTCCTTCATCGCTAACCAACCACGGAATGCGACTTTCCAGGACCTGGAATAGTTCCTCTGTTCGAGGATTGCTATCCGCACAACCAGGGAGTGCCCGGTAATCCTCCCATGCGCATCGTAGAAGGGTAATTTGGGGAAGCTGATTTACATTCAGATTCTGGGTTTCGGACTCTTTGAGAACGTCCAATAAACTGTGACAGCTTGCAAATGTCGAATGTTCCTTGTGAGGAACCGGACGCGGTAACGGCGCATAACATTGTGTTTGAGTTTCTTTGAAAGATTGAAGGGACGCGTTTAACTTCTGTAGAAGGTTAATCTGATGCATTTTTAGCGATTTTCGTGCTTCCGCGGTCCGCACGATGCGAGGAAGTAAAACTTTCTAGAGTTTATGAGTTTGAAAGCGGTAAGTTCGCGGTAAAAGTTGAGCGCACATGGTAAAGAAGAAGTAGGGCAGCAGATCCGCCAGCTACCCATGTAAGTAGTCTAGCCAGGCCGATAAGTAGCGTGAGTAAGCCTGAAGGTAGAGGCTGGGGATAGGTCCTAGGTGGAACCCTGGGTAATTGTGGAGGCTACACAAACGTGAACTTGTGAGAGAAGGTAATGCAAGATGAAGCGAGACGCACTAGCTCCCTGAGAAGCAGTTCAATTTCATGCTCGTTGAGGCCCTTGTCTAAGAGGAATCTCCGCTTTGCGAATACATCCTGAGACTGGATTTGGGAAGAACGCAGAAATATTCTGGCACGCGATATTAGTTCGGATCTGTTATTCTCTTCTACAGTGCTCTGAGAGGGCTGATGTGTTCCAGATTGAGAGCCTGAGACTTGCAATGGTTCTGAAGGTGCTGGTAGCGATGTAGTTGATTTGTCTTCCTCAGCCATCGGTGCCACTGGTAAAGTTACAGAATCCGGCACTTCCGGCAATTCGAATTCCCTCTTACTCTCGTCCGGCCATGATGAGTTTTATTACCTGGATCTTATTACTACTATCATGCAATCTATTAACATATTCTGCATCTGCATTGCGAGAGACCACTATCCAGTACAAGCCACTTCCATCCCTCCGAGAGCAAGCTCGGATTCGAGATCATTGGCTCAAGGAAAGGATCTCACGTATTCCCTCTCTCCTTAAAAAACATGGTGTGGATGCTTGGCTGGTGAGCATCAACAAACGCAGCTGATTTGTTCGCGCCTCATTCGCACTCAGATGAGCCAAAGAGAGCACGCTGAAGACACTATCTGGTGGTCAATCAAGAATGCCACCGATTATGATGCTCATAGACGCACCGTTCTTCTATTCCATACAAACGAATCTGCACTTGAAGGTTATCCTAACCCACTAACATAGGTAGACAATACCGGGCAAGTATAGCCTGAATTGCTTCGAGTCCTTGAGGACTTCAATCCTCCACGCATTGCTATCAACGTTGACCGAAATATTGCGTTTGCTGGAGGTTTGCATGTCGGGGAGTATGACACCACAGCACAAGCCCTTGGCCCCGAATGGATGCACCGGATGGTAAACGTTCCCCTGCTTGGCATTGAGTATGTTACTACCAAACTGGAGACCCAACTCAAATACTATCGCGACGTGCAAGATATTGTTTGGCTTATGATGGAAGAGGGTTTCTCCCGCCATACTATCAATCCAGGTGTGACGACGACTGAGGTAAAGGATTTTTCCCTAAAGTCGTAGTTTGAATCGCTCATGTGTATATATGCTCTTCAAACAGGACTTAGGTTGGTGGTACCGCGAAAAGATGCTCACGCTCAATTTAACCACTTGGAACCATCCCCGAATCTCTGTCCTCACTGAGGAGTCATTTCCTGGTTGGAGTGGCACAGACGACATTATTCAGCAAGGCGACTTACTACACATTGATTGGGGTATAACAGCAATGGGCATGAACACTGATACACAGCACATGGCATATGTCCTCCGTGACGGTGAGACGGATGCTCCCGATAGTTTGAAGCAGGGTCTGAAGAAAGCCAACCGTATGCAAGACATACACCTTGATATAATGAGAGCGGGAATGACGGGGAATGAAGTGCTTCAAAATTGCCTTGCTCAAATGAAGATCGAAGGCATCGAAGGACAAATTTATTCTCATCCAATTGGAGATTGGGGTAATGCATTATTCTACATCTACAGCCTTCTTCTTCTTTCTGAATACTTTTTCCTTATATGTTCAGGTCATGATGCAGGCGCTGTTATTGGTGAGACTTCCGCTGTGAAAACGTTGGCTACCTGACTGAACAGGGATATAAGGCTTTACCAACCTGCCTGAGCATGTTCCCATCCTTGGAGAGTTGGCCATCTTACCTGACACTTACTACAGCATAGAGTTATATGCTTACCATTTTGTTTTTGAGCGGAACGAAACGATCAGGTTCCGTATCGAGGAAAATGCTTACTGGGACAAAGAGACTGAGAGATGGAAGTTTGTCAAAGGACGACAAGAAAAGTTCTATTTAATTGATAAGCCGAAAGACACACCTCTTTGGAAGGTACAAGTTTGAGCTTTGCTGTACATACTACTTAACCATGCAAATTTTGAGGTACGAATTTTCCCAATTTCTTACATCATCATACGGGGCTTGGTAAGAGGATCGGGATTACCGACGGTAGTTCCACGGTAGCCCCTCCTTATAAGCGGCTTATTTCCGTATTAGATGAACCAAGCCCCAGATGCTTTTTATGCAACCTTCCGTACCCGCCCTCCCGGCTTCTCTTGATTTCCACGGTAAGACTGTCCTTGTCACAGGTGCAAACAGTGGTCTAGGCAGGGCGGCATGTTTGCATTACCTACAGCACAACGTCTCCACTCTTATTATCACCGTACGACGTTTGTCCGAAGGCGAAGTGGTCAAATCGGAGATACTTGCTCAACGGGAAGGGAAGAGTGAGGACGATCAACCCAAGATACTCGTCTTTGAACTCGACCTTTCTTCTCACTCTTCCGTCACCGCGTTTGCTGCGAAACTCAAGGCGGAGGTTCCCTGCCTGCATATCGCGCTCCTGAATGCAGGTGTATTCCTGCTCGATTGGAAGGTTTCTCCTCATACTGGAAATGAAATGACATTTCAAGTGAATTATCTATCAAACGCGATACTATCCTTGTTGCTCCTTCCCTTGCTACGCAGCACGGCAGAAGCCACTAGTCCCCCGACACCTTCGTATCTGTCCATTGTCGCTTCACAGAAGTATAGTGATTCACGATTTATCGGAAACCCCATTCCGGAATCAACTACAGTATTTGATGCCTGCAATGACGAGAAAACGTTTCAGCCGTGGTCATTATACGCTGATTCTAAACTCCTCGTTCGCCTCTTCGTGAAGGAATTAGCGACCCACGTGGATTCGTCGAACGTTATCGTCAACTGCATGTGTCCTGGGATGGTGAAGACCAATCTCGCTCGCAGTCTTTCTCTCCCACTCAGACTTGTAGGACGTTTGGTCCTCTCTGTTCGAGCGAGGTCGCCAGAGGTGGGATCGAGGGTGCTAGTGTATGCAGCAGGGGTGCTGGAAAACACAGTCACGGGGAGATGTTGGTAGTGTATGAAAACTTGCCGTGCGTAGAATTTCTTTATATCATTCGTTCACACTTACGAAGCTGTTACCAGGGTAATTTCTTGGATTGAGAGCAAAGAAGGAGAGCTAATGCAGGCAAAACTTTGGCGCGAAACCCTTGACGCATTAGAGAAGAATTCCTCTGGATCAATTGTTTCTTCATCTCTTGCATAATTTATGACTCGGAATCTCTCGAGTATCACAGAGACGGAGATAATGAAATTGTGTTCAAAGCTAGTGATGTGGCGAAACTTGTCTCGCAAAGGGAGTTAGGCTAACTTCATTGCGGCTCTGACTAGCTTGCAAAGTGAGTGTGGACGTTAGTCTGCAAAGATCGCTGTCACGGTAGAACAAAACCGCAGACCTTCCGAAACAGTGGATTGAAGAATAGCAGAGGGTTCGTCCACTATTGATACATGATGGGAGTCTAGTAGGGGGCAGTAACATAGCGCTAATGGTCAGACTTTTCCTTGTGAAAATAGACTCATCGTTGTTGGTAATGACTTGAAGGAAAGACAACCTACAATTTTGGAAATCGATGGGGTGTGACTCCGAGCGCATGAGGAAGAGCCTGAGGGAGGTCGAAAACAGATTGCGGCGTGTAATAAACTGACCATCCTATGGATGAGAGTCTGGTTCCATTGGAATATACTGCCAAGCGGTCAGGCCCTTTCCGACAATGATTCAAATCTGTCCGAGCCTCTTCAAAAAAAATAAAAAAGTACAAGTTACGCGTTCGGGGCCAAAAGGAGAGCATCTTGAGTGCTGTGTCGTTGCAATTTGTTATATGTATTGAAGCTCATTTGAGTCCAAAACCACACGAGAGCGTCTAGACGCGTTCACGCCGTACGATCTATTCTTCGAAAAGTTTGCCGTATGATTGAAGCATCGGCTTTGGTCGTTTGATAATCATCAATGCAAGGCGCCTATTCCAGCAAAATTCTGCACTGCCACAAAATCCAGTTCTCTTCTTGTTCATCATGCAAAGCGACGATGTGATTTGGTCTGTGATAAATCACCAGTTCTGCTCTTACAAAGTCAAGTAATAGGACATATACTACCTACCAGGCTAGCCTCGCTGATTTTAGAACAGAACTGCCACCCAAAATTTCTGTCGCAATGAATACAATGTAACGGGCCTTTGCAATCGACAGTCATGTCCATTAGCCAACTCCAGATATGCGACTATCAGGGAACACGAAGGTGATCTCACCATCAATTTCATTTTCTGCACTTCGAGCTTGTTTAATTTGCAACCAGGCATATTATATCTATATGTCAAGACCATCGAACGAGCACATTCCCCTGCACACATGTGGGAGAAGATAACATTATCAAATAACTATTCAAAGGCTTTAGAACAGGTGCGTCGCAAAGTGACTCGTCGCTCTTCCTTTCCTTACATCCATCTTTCTATACACTTGCAGATTGACAACGAATTAATACATTGGCCGAATTTCATGATCCACAAATGCAAGCAAAGGGTCACCAAAATCACTCAATATCTTATCAAGATGCGTCGTCTACAACTACGGCAAGAGTACGTTGCAAACGTTTTTTTCCAGATCCCTTGTTAACTCATTCTTAGGCCCAAACTTGTGGGAGTGAAGAAAAAACTGGACAGACGGGAGACTGTCCGAGAACGAAAAGCTCTTTCTGCTGCTCACCTCGAAAAATCGATCGAGAAAGAGCTCATTGAGCGACTCAAATCAAAAGCGTACGGTGACGCGCCTCTCAACGTTAATGAGAGTGTATGGCAAGCATTTTTGGATCGTGAGAAGGGCGACAAAGGAAAGGGCGTAGCTAATGAGCTTGAGGATATGGTCGATGACGAAACAGATGAAGAGTTAGAGGAAGAACTTGAGGAAGAGATGGACGATTGGGGTTCCAGAGAGTTTGTGAGCGATATAAGTGGGGACGAGGATGACGATGAAGACGGTTTAAGTGATCTGGAAGACGTTGTGGTGCGTTCCTTCGTTCTGATTTTTCGCTGAACACGTATTGACAATCATGTAGGATCAGGGATCAGGGAGCGATGAAGATGTTGAAGATGGCGATTCGAATGAAGAAAACTCTAAACCAAAACCATCGACGCTGGGGAAGAGGAAAGCCCCAGCTCCAAAAGCACCCAAAAAACGTCCAGAAAAGCGACCAAAGAGTAAATCTTCCTATGTTCTTTTATGTCCCTTCGAATCACTGACTAATATCTGTATAGAAGGGCCACGGGTGGAAGTGGAATACGAACAGGAAGTGGAGAGCGTACCACTTTCGCTCGCAAATTGGTAGCTATGTATCGTCAGCTTCGTTATATACCTGGTACCTGTGCCCTGCCCGATTCGGTATTGCAGTGTAGAAGAATTCATTCGTCTTCGAATATGCAATATCGAGCTACTCAGTGTGTTTTCGGCCCTGCATCTTTCGTTTCAAATATGGCGCAACTTCCATTGTTGTTTCTCAATATGCCTCTCGATTGGTCAATTATAGATTCGAACAGGGTAACCCATCGAAGTTGACGTTGATAGTCGCACTGAAAGACAGAAATGACAGTGACCATGGTTGTAGGAACTTGCTTTTATTGGCGCTCAATAATTGACTTCCTTTTTCAGCAACGGGTACGTTTACTCAAATCACCGATTCAGTTATACATCAAAATCAACGATTCGTTTCAAGCTTTTCTCCTAGTTTTCATTCAATGGTACAGAGATGAACTACAAATACAAATTATCCATGATTCAATGACCTTCAACGATATCTCCATCATAACGAACAAGTGAGAGGAGGTGTAAATTCAGGAGATTGTTATTTTCTTGGGCTCGGCCTCTGGCGTCGACTTTGGGAACGTCACAGTCAAAACACCATTCTCCATTGAGGCCTTGATTTCTTCGTCCTGAAAATTGAACGTGAGTTTCATTTCAAGCAATGTGATAGGAGCCTCGAGAGCCTACCTTTACACCTCGAGGGAGCTGCAATGCTCGAGCAAAGCTTCCATATCTCCTCTCGCGAACGGCATACCCGTCCTCGTTGTGTTCTGAAGACACCTTGCTTTCGCCAGAGATTGTCAATCGACCATCGTGAACGTCGATCTGGACGTCCTCTTTCTTGAGGCCAGGTAGCTCGAACGTCGCGGTGACCGTGTTCTTGTCAGCGTTTTCGTGCAAGTCCATTCTGTGCGGAATCAATGTAAGCAACAAAGATCGAAGACCTTGGACTCAACGATGTGATGAAACTTACCTTGGCTTCACTGGTAGATTCACTGTACTAGCAGCGTCTCCATTTCGAACTGAAGACTGGTTGTTAATCAAAGGCGAAAAGGCCGAGTCGAATAGCCGGTCGAAGACGCGGTCAAAGTGGTAAGAAGGCTCGTAGAAGTAGAGAGACATTTGAGGTGAGGTTGGTAAGTTTGGTGTGTTTGTGGATTAGATGCGATTTCTTTTTTCTTGGAGCCTCGAGGGCCCCGCATGGGTCCTTTTATGTTGCTTGTGTTTTGCTAGAACTTTCCACGACGACCTCTCTTATTCTGTTAATGATACTAGAAGGTTCGAGAAGTGCTTGAATGGATATTCAGCGCTTACCAAGCGCTTATTCGAGAATGTTCCAGGGGTGTCCTTACAATTCATTCCTTCATTCTTTCATCTGCAACTGACATCATCAAGTATCTCTTCGCCGTCTTCGACAGCGTCATGATAGAGAGTTCGAGAATGTCCTACATGAGTTTCTAAAGAGGATATAAGTCAGGCCGTCTTTTCCTCATTTCTTCTCAAACACAACTCAAAATCAAGTAACAAATCCTTCTACATCCACAATCACATTCGACACCAACAAGATGTCTCTTTACTTCTACGAGCCAAGCTACAACTGGGACCGTCTTTTTGACGAGGCTTTTAGCTCTCGCGCTTCCCGTGGCGGTGAAAGTCAAGGTCAAAGCCAAGCTCTGACCCAAAATTCCGATACGACCCAAAGATTCTTCAAACCAAAGTATGTTCTTCCGCTTGCAATCATAATTCCACTTTCGTTTACTAATATTTTCATAGAATGGATCTTCATGAAGACAAAGAAAAGAACCTTGTCACCGCTACGTTCGAGTTCCCCGGCGTAAAAAAGGAAGATGTCCAGGTTGACGTTCACAACGGGCGTTTGACTGTTGCCGCAGAAACTAAACTCTCGGATGACCGCGAACAGGATGGTTACGCGGTGAGGGAGAGGAGCTTTGGTAAATACTCTCGAACTCTGCAGCTCCCAAAGGGTGTCAAGGTGGGTGGTCAATTTTTGTTGAGTTCTTGGAGCATGGATTGTGTACTGACTTTCGATATAGGAAGAGGAAATCAAAGCCTCAATGGAGAATGGTGTCTTGACAGTCACCTTCCCAAAAGCTAGCGCTGAACAAGCCCCGAAGAAAATCACAGTAGCCTGACTGCAGGATATGCATGCACACCACAGCCGTTTGACTTGAATCGAATTTACCTGTGATCTGAACCTGTACTTGTATAATTCAATATCATCATTTCTCTACGAAAAAAAAAACTATGTATCTAGGTAGCATACCTCCGGAAAAATTCGTACACTCTGACATATGTTCAAAGAATTACTTTTCTAGGTTTCCCAAGTAAACAATTATAAGTACATCAACAACTAATTACAATATCCTAAAGACATGGCCCGTATTGTGCATTGGTGACATGCGCCATGATACCACTAGCCAAACTTTGCACACTGAATATCGAACCACCCTGTAGTAGTGAAGAATGTTATTAACAATGTACCGAGAACAGTTGGAGAATTATCACTTACCGCATCTGCTGCATACCACACAGAACCGATGTCAAGCTGAGAGTCAGTGGCCAGTCGGAGTACGGCCTCGCTCTGGGAGCCAATGAAAGAGTTGTACTTGGCTGCGAGTTCAGGGTAATTTGGATGAACAAAGGTGAGGAAGTATTGGAGATGCTTCAGCCATATGCCCTGCACAATAGCTGAGTGAGATCTTTGTGTCGGAGCACAGGTGGACAGGTAGACTTGCCTTAAAAATTTGCTACACATTGCTTCAACATTCAGCCATGAAAGAGGAAATGATGTGGACCTCACCTGGTCTGAATCACATGGGATACCTTCAAGAACCACATCATCACAGGATTCCTTCAAGATTCCGTTCATGGTCAAGTTACGAATCGTGGCATCGATAGTGATTTCCGCTTCAGAAATTAGCGTCTCGTTACCGGTCGCGGCATAGAGTGCTCCAAGCCCAGAGAGTATAACGCCTTGATTATACGTCCAAGTAGTCTTCGTGGTCGTAAATCAATGGTCAGCATGCTGTACATAGAGCCACATACTTCGCCGTTGTTCACACATGTGCCTAATACAAGGCCATCGTTGTACAATCCTTGGTCGTTGCGCATGCCAGAGCCCTCGACTACATATGGAAAAGGAACTCAGCAGTGGATCGCCATGGAAAAGATTATGAGTGTAACATACTCCATGCCCATACCTATGGCAAGTCCAACATGAGACTAATGTGTACATCTGAAGTCAAGACGAAAGAACGAGACCTTTTTTGCATTCTCCAGATAAGTTTCATTTTTGAATCGTAGGTAACCTATATTTCAAGTGAGAGTCTAAAACTGGGGATTGCAGCGATCATCAGTGTAGTTCTCACCTTGAGCTGATAGCGTTAGGAATAGCTCGTTGGTTATTGCATTCTTGTATGTATGATCGACCGTCCACCACACTAAGTTAATTAGAATCCTTGTGAATAGACTGGTTACAGCATTCATACTTACCTCCGCCGCCGCAAGTGTCATCCCAATTTGACGCTATGAGGTCGTATACTGTTGCCGCGGCAGCCTGAAGCAAGCATTAGCAACACGGATACGCTGACAAACAAGTAGCATACGAAGAAGTCATCCACATCAGGTTGGTGGCGAGTCGCCTTATAATCGGCCATAGTCCACAAAGCGAGAACAGCCCACTATAGGTTGCACATTAATCAGTTCTATAGGAGTAGGAAGTTACCCACCCCGGCATCATCGAAAAATGGTCCCGTAAATGTCTCCCAATTGGTAGAAGGAACGAGTGCATTACGTCCAAGAAAAGAGTTGTCGGCTAGTCCATCAAAGTCTGAACGACCGGTTTGCAGCATAAGTAAGTGTAGTGTCTCCATGGTGTTCTGTTGAACAATTGCTGCGGTAAGCGAGTGATGAAGTATGCTCAACGGATTGAACAATTACCGAATCTGTCCAGAAAGAGCCATTAATTGAGTTACCAGTGGTTGGGTCATAATCCACGTTCTTGTAGTGGTCCGCTTCGTTCTGAGTTGGTGAGGAAGGGAGAAGGTTGACATTATATTCATATGTCACTTATGAGGAAGACAGGCTCACAAAGGCCAATGCCACAGTAGAAGGACACTCAAAATCGGTCACTACATCTGCTCTATCTTGAATTTTTGCCCCAGATACAGCCAAAAGTGCAATGAAGATAACATATAACAGCTGAGGGAGAGAATTGAGATGCATGGGGAGTTTGAGAACGAAAAATCGTTCTTTAGTATGATATGGACCAAGACTTAGGAACGAACGAGGGACTGACCTGGACGCATGAATAAAAGAATCGAAGAGAGAAGCAGTGTTTAGAGAGTTATGATCACAAGGGCATGGCAAGGCATGGCTTTGATAACGCGACAGTCCCTCGTCGGACCGTTCTGTCAATGCTCATCAGAAAACAGTCCAGCTTAGTAGAAGATTGCTGAGGTGTTTGATACGGTTTGATTCGAGGAGAAGAACATAGTCTCGATTAGCGGTGGAGTCCAGGAAACGCACGTCGCACGACGCAAAGAGCGAGCAAATAAAGATATCTGTGCTAAAGCTGACCCGCTAAGAAATTCATGATTAAGGAAGTAGAACCAGGTGAAGATTCCGATTCAGAGCTGTGACAAATATTTGGTTCGTGTGGCAATAGCGGGAAACGCGGTCACATTTTCGCCACGGGCGTGTTTCGGCAAAGCCCGTGCGAATAAATATCTTCCTTTTCTACATACGCCCAAGATGGCGGTGAAGCTATAACGCATTAACTCATAATACCTTGCTACCAACGCTCTATTCGTACTGCTCAATGATGTAGAAGGCTTTACAGGGCTCAAGTTTCTCAACAAATCGAACTTTCTTTCCGTCCAAGGGCGTACGATAGTCTTCGATTTTTTGAAGAAATCTAATGACAGGAATCCAGATGCCAATGACATGTATATCTACAGTTTTCAAGCTATGGTTGACTTGTCTGTGGGTCGGATTTCTACGGCTACGCCATATCGGTTCTGATCATTAACAAAACTTTGACCAAATTGCACACCTACGGAAGAAGAATGGGCGTGTTTTGAGGTAGGGTTTATTCATGGAAGGGAAAAGTTGATAGCAAACATTCATATACAGGAGATTAAGACGGAAAACGCGTCGAAGTAACGAACACGACTTACAGCGCTCTCATTTTCAGGGTCTTACGTGAAGTTGACAATGAGGGTCGGCTGGGATGCTACCTGATGCTACCGTGTTCCCAGTCTCGAAACATTCCTCAAGGCAACTGCCAAATTGAATGATATCGGGACAGGAATGGGTCTCGAGCGATCGAAGTACGGTATTGTGTGCAAGGCTATCTGGGAACGACTATTCGGGAAGAAAACACGGGATCAAAAACAGCCAGAGAAAGAGAGTGGAAGAATGGCTGAAATGCCTTGACACAAATGCTAGGGAAGATGAAAATGACGACGAAGAGTAAGAGAATATAGTATTTTATTCAGGTGTTCAAACTAAGGACGAAGACATGAAGGATCCCGAGTTCAGTCCAACTCGAGTCTGGAAGCAGTACATGAGTTGCCCTCAGAGTGTGCCCACTCTCCCTCTGCGTGGTCCGTCCTGGGACATCACTTTGTGGACGAAAGAACAAAAAAAGCCTTTCTTCTTCAACTCGATGTCTCGATTTTCTTGGCTCTCCTTTCATATACAATGCTTGTGTACAATACAAGACCTGCTTGCGCTGACTCCGTGATACGCACGTACTTATTAATGTTTAGGTCTTCCAGTCGTTTCTATGAATTAGCTATGCTGTGCTCTTCATTCCCTGTCCTTTATAATTGAATGAGCTCCGCCACGCGTCCGAATACAAAGATATGAGACAGGTTGATATGAATGGGGACTGTGCTGTATAAAGTGAGTACCTTCTCCCCAGCAACTTTCTGTTCTGCCTCTCAGCACCTCAACCCTATCACGTCCAGAAAGATGCGCAGCTTGCCCAAATTTGTATGTGCTATTCCAATTGCTGGGTGTGTTTATCTTCAATCCTCATCTGTTGCAGGAAATCATACCGAAAGGCCACACGTTCGTCGCATACACCAAGCTCTTTTTGACTTCCTTCCATGCCAAAAGGATACAAAATGAATTGTATACCAGAGCGTTGCATCGGGACCCCGCGATGTACGATATCTTAGGGTTCTCAGGTGAATACCTTCTACCGTTGCGAATGCCTTCGATTGAAATCGTGTTAGGACATGACGCTTTGGGCGCTTTTGCGTTGATTGAAGAACATTTCGACAAAATCATGGAAAACGTAGCCAAGAAACAATGGGATGCAGTATATGTTCTTCTAGACGGCTTCGCAATGTACAATTTTCGGGCTTGTCCGAAGCCTATGGGTATGAATATATATTCAGTATCGATCATTGCCTCCGTATTCACTGAACACAATGGGCAGATATATTGGACACGAAACGCAAGCACGGCTTACTCAAGGTCTATGGTGCTTGCGTCGTGACTATGCTTAGAGAACTCGACAAACTGGGCCGACTCAACGTGCAGAACTTCCCTGGTCTGGAATACTTTCTTCGGTACACAATAGAATGGACCGAGTGGGCCAAAGATGAGTTGGTGAACCATTTACATCTAAGAAGTGACATATTGCCGCACTTGGGAGTTTGCAAAGCAATCGCGTACAGGTTGTTCAAGGATCAGACAGTAGAGGATCATACCTTGCACCTGGCTCGCATTCGAGAATGGGTTCAGTGGCTGGAACCTAGAGCCACCGAAGAAGATCACGACTATGCAGGTACGAAGGGCTGGGTTCAAGATTGGCTTATACAGGAATGGCCATCCCTTCTTCTTGGAGTTAATCCCTGGTACCTTGCCGGAGAGGACGACAACTCGTTGCTGAAGGATCCAAGACTTGACCTAGCACTAGAATGGGATTCATTTTCCATTTACAGACAGGAAAACCCACTTGTACCGCCGAAGGGTCTGAGCTGGGAGTTCAAGGACTGGTCAAAAGAAGATCGCGATGCACATAGGGATGGTACTGTCTTCGAGATACCTTCAAGCGGAGATGGAGACGGAAATGGTAGTGACAAGGAGTCTATGGGCTGGGGAATGGAACATTCATTCTGGCAGTAGAAATGTGATGCAAATGCATTTGTAACTCTACATGTAGATTGACAGACAGAAACAACCGATTTCGATTATATGTATGTTGCAGCCAAACGACTCACGATGTAAGTTTCGGTGTTAACAGGGGGATATCTGGCTTCCTTGCCGCAATTCGGAAGACACTCAATCAATGTGTCGAAATTTGGATTTGAAAAAAATGCGATGGATTGACGAGCGGGAGTAATGGTTTCTGTTGAGCTTATCATTTTCGCCGGGGCAACGACACGATGCAGAGTAGACCGAAGAACGTCGTTACTCCATCTTGCGAGCAGGTCTCCTACGTTGATGACAATAGTGCCCGACTATGTATGAAAAGTCCGTTAACAAAGAACCGAACTCGAGACGAGAAGCTTACGATAGGAGTCGCAGGAACAAATACTCCTGATTGTGGATCCATAACTTCAAGCCCGCCAACCTGAGCCTACGATGTCAACGGCGCAAATAATACTACGGACGAGTACAAACCGAATCCTATGTAATCGTCAAGAGCTTTAGCATGGAAACAGAATAACCACTTACCTGGAATAACAGTGTTAGTGTACCATAGTCTACGAAATGAGAAGTGAGCAAGTGGTGGCCAAGTTGATAGCAGACAGACACACCGCTATGAGCGCCAGCTCTAGCTTGCCCATCCCCGTCAAGAAATGCGCGTTTGATCGGTGGGTATGAAAGTAGACGCAGATTATGGCATTGTTGGTCAATCTTGCGGTCAAAGAAATCTTGCGAAAGATCTAAACCGAGGGCAACTGACTGCATCATCTCAACGTGGAGGTTATGGCACGTCTGCGGATAGAAGACGGAAGTATTAATGTTGCATGTAGCGATACGGAACTTGAGTGGTGATCACCTGAAAGAAGTTCAGCATCGTTTTGTTGAACCCTGGAACATCGCTCTCTTTGGGCCATTGATTCTTCCACTCCGAGTCCCAATCCCGCCCAATTTCCATAGTCTCTTTGAAGTCTGGTGCCTTTTCACGGAGAGCAGATATCTCAGCAGCGTTGGCGGATTGAGTGACGCGTTCACGGCCAATTTGAACGTATCCACGGTTGGAACGAGGATCCTCCCATGCGAGTTGGGCCTAATTCAGATTGGGTATTCGTCAGAAAGAGGGGTGGTGAGTTCAGTGACTATTCACCTTCACACCCTCAGGCAATTTGAAGAACTCTGCGCTCTGAACGAATTGTTATTTATATTTTGTGTGAGGCCGCACACGATCGATTTATTACCTTTCGGAAGACATTGGAAACCGTATCTAAATGTGTGACCAAGTCAGCAAAAGGGTCATCCCCTTAACGAAGAACCACATACCTTCTAGAATACCGTGATTAGACACATAGATAAAACCGCTGTTCTTGAAGGCAGATACTATCTCATTCGCTGTTTCCTTCTTCTCTGCAAGGGATCGCGCTTCCCGGAACCTGGAGAAATCAATAACAGGAATGCGGAAACTAGCGGCGGCGCTGGCAAAACATCGCTTTCGAAGGCCAAATGAACGAACACGGACTGAAGCTCGGAATAACATGAGAGCAGGAAGAAGCGTTCACGAGGTCTTCATTTTCAAAGTGGCGGCATGATAAGAGAAGCATTCCGTGGACCTTTCCGAAGTCCGAAATTTCCTTTCTAGAAGATCACTCGAGATAAATTCCAAAGCGTAAATTCATGTATGTAGGAATTCACTGTAGGTACAAGGAGTGGTTAAGAAAATTGAATGACAGCAATAACAATGTTCGAGGAGTAACATAAACGAATATTAAGGGTATTATGCAGTCACTATATATACCGAATGTCCAGGGAGTCTGAACACTACCGATGGCGGCTGTGCAGAAATGCGAGCTTAGCTCTGATGTTGACCACCATCGACATTCTCGACAAACCTTCCTTTCTCTCCCGGGGCAGGCAGTTTCCCACTCTTTGCAAAAAACGACCCGAATCCTTTGCGACCGACACTCTTTCCACTCTTTCCGCTTCCAGGTGTGCGGGTAGGAGCTTGCTTAGAGTCACTAACTATGACAGTCGTGCCTCCCGGTATTACACCAGCTTCAAGACCCGCCCCTGGTTTGACCTGCTCTGCGTCGGTTTTGGACACACCATGGGCCACCATCTTTCCCTTTCCTTTAGTTTGATTCTTGTCCGCGGCAGCGGCAGAACCAGCAACTCCGAGCTTCATAAACTCCTCTCCTCTAATCCTCAAGAATTCTTCTAGGAGTGCGGCGTTCCGGGAATTGGCCTTGAACGCTGCGAGTACCACATCTCCTGCGAATGGTATCAGACCGACAGCGGCGCTAACCGCATTGTTGGCGAGCATGCGACGAAGAAGCCAGGGTGGAATATCGGCTTGTCGAGCTTTGCGGACGACGAGAAGGTAATTTAGGCTGGCATCTGCTACATCACCAGCGCCCGGGATGATACCAATAATAAATGTCCACCCGAAACGCAAGCCACACAGAGAGAATCCTTTGTCGAGGTAGTGTGCACGACGTTGCACAGATTTAAGGATTTTTGCGTCCCGAGAAGATAAGCCAGGCGGAATTGCACGCTAGAAACAAGCAATCTCAGTCTGGATGGAGTGAGAATTCGAGAAATACTTACCCTTCTGCGACGTTCTTTGCCCTTGGCATCGACATAAGATTCGTACATTGGATCTGTAGGAGCATATTGCTGCAAATGCCTCTCAAAGAGTTTCTTGCCTGCAGAGTTCAAAAAGTGGTCCATGATGGAAGTTGGGTGAAAGTAAGAAAGGAAGAATGGGTGTTGTGTGCATGATGGTCCGTTTTGAGTGATGTCACTTGGATTCAGCGCTGATGTCCACGGTGTGACGACACAAAGAACGGTCACGGGATATTTCCCACAGCCTCAGCGATGAGAGGCTTTTGTTTTCGTCGATTTTAGTATTCGGATGCGCAGTATCTATCTATCAAAATACAGGGTGCTAAATCCAGATACATACAGCAACGGAAGAAAGAAATCACACAAAGACATGAATGTCAAGATCGGGCATACATTATCGTAGTAGGTGATCTCAGTCTCCTGAAAAGTGCCATGAGTGTGATACCCCCTTCCGGACCCCATCTGCGAACGGAAAGCATGAGCAACTCCGCAGTAACCAGAAATTCCCAAATCACTTACTCTCCAGCTGCAACCTCCTGACAGCAGACTTCAAATTCTTCAGAAACCGATACCTCGTCCCACTTGTCGACGACATAATCCTAGAAGAAATTTTGAGTATACGAACAACGCTGGGGGGGAAAAAGACAGGAAACAAACTTCGACAAGCGTCTTCAACTCATCCCAAGCGGACGTAGCCAACAACAGCGCAAAACTTGAAGCCGGCGTTATAGTATTCATCATATGCTCTAACGCAAGCACCGAAAGACCAGGCATCGCATATCGATGAGCGACTTGATACATGGCCAACGCAGACGCCGGAGGCGGGGGAGGAGTCGGATGTATATGGGGATCTGAAGCTGAAACATTGCTAGACCCACGCGGACGTTGTGAGTGAGGAGATACGGGGTAGTGGGAAGCGGGTGGAAAGTTCGATGGTGGCACCGAAGCGAGAGGAATAGGTACATGTTTAGAACGAACAGAAGCGGCAGACATATTAAGAGGTATGGAGCTAGATGTACTGCCAACGCGTCGACTGGCGGAAGAAGTGGGTGCAGTGGGCGAAACGCGTGCTGCACTCGGAGATGTTTTTTGTGCTCCAGACACAATGCTGGTACTTATCCTTGAAACGGATGGGGTAGAAGGTGGAGGCCTGATTTGTGCAGGCTGAACGACCGGGATCTTCGTTTTGCCTGTGGGAGACCTCCGCCCATCGAGGCTTTCTCCGCTAGCAGCACTCCGAGAATCTGCAGCTGTATGATCATCGGTAGGACCATGCTTTGGAAATGTTTTCCAATCCCATTCACCTCCCCGAGCATGCAACCAATGCGCACTCCAGCCCCGGCCAACACCGTCTACAGCTGCTCGTGGATCATCAACTTCTTTAAATAACAGCCAATTAGCATAACAATACTTCAGCAACCAGTAAATGGTCTCAAAGTCCGCCTCCTCCACGACGATAGTGAACAGTTTACGTTCACCATTGGTTGTTACTTGATTTTCGGAAAATGAGGAAGAGAGCATGGTGGCGAAATATTCTGAGCGATGAATGAGGATGTCGGAATGGGCGTAGATGATGCGCTTTCGAGCAGTCATCTCGGGCGCGAAGGGTGATATCGAAGAGTTCGAAGAAGATGGACGAGTACGGGTGATGGGTGACATTTCAGGAGTGAGGTTTGGTGACGGTGGAGGGTCCGCTGCAAGTCGTTCCAGACAAACGAACTGAATATCGCCGGTGTCTGTACTACCATCAACATACGAATCCGTGAGTGAAAATAAATCACTTCATACTGGGGTTATCTAGAGAGGCCTCTAGTCCATCCAGGAGATCTTTCGGAACATAGTACACGGAAGGCTGGGCAGGTAAGGAAGGTCCAACAGGGCAATGAATTTGCACGCAAATCACGAATGAGTCTGTGTCGCCGATTCGTGGGTTCTCCAGAAGCGCTGATAATGAAGGAAGTGCGCATTCTGGAGCGGAATTAGAAGACAAGTAGTGGTTCTATTAAAGAAGGACGCTCACCCCAAACTTCGTTGTCCTGTCTAAACACCCAGTCATGCCAGACTTCAAAAGGCCAATCAGCTCGAGCTCCTCTTTCCCCTGCCCGGTCATCCTGGCATTTGATCCCAGCCATCATCGTTGCAGACATTTCGTATTGCGGATGAGCGAAGTCGAGCGTGAGCGGGGTGATATACAGTGCGAGTCCAGATGGCTTAGCTATTGTCGAGTTTATTTCATTTGTTGGTGCAGTACGCGCTATAGACACGTTCAAATACACGTTCAAAGAAAAGTAACTCGTGCATGTCTACCTATCTCGAGCTTGAACTTGCCATCGCCAATGACAGGAGAGTGTTTTAATATGTCGAAATCGTCCGCTTCGCTAGGAGTGGCATCGGGACCTTCCGGTGATGGAAAGCCTTCGACGAAGTTCCTGAGTTTGCAGACGTCTCGAACGACCCATTCGAAGCCCTGCAAGCGAGCTGTAAATCATGTTATTTATAACTTTCGATGATATCTTACCACGAAGGTCCAGCTCTTAGTCGTCTCTTCAGCTCCTGCATAAGCCATTGTGCTCCCTGTACTTTGCTTTTTCAAAGCAAGATTCGACCAGCCACTGGTTGACGGCGGGCGAGAATTAGGCGTTGTAATGGAACTTGAGCTAGGGAGTGGTCCGACTGAACTTAACGAAGAAGTCGAAGATCTATGAGAGTAACGCAAGAGAGAAGGTGAGGCAGTCCAGGCGGTGCGATTAGGCGAAGAAGACAATGGTGTGGTAGACATAATCGTGGTATGAAAGCCTCACGCGTCTAAACGAAAATCCCACAGTTATGTATCTTGGCGCCACACTTGTAAATATCATATACATAACTTATGAGTTGGTGTACAGTGTAGGTTTACATATGTACAAGCTCAAGGACGATGGAGTCATTTAGCATCAGCGCGACTGAAGGTCAACGGAGGGGCTTCATGATCAACGGAGTTCTTCGGTGTAGACTCTGCCGGAATTTGTGCATGAGGCTCGTGGCGGCCGCTTTCTTGGATGTGATGAGGATGAGGGTGCAGGACCTTGTGGATGAGTTCAGAAACTCCAGTATGCTTGTGATGTTCAGGATCCCCAGAAGCAGAATGCTCTTGAGCAAGAGCAGTTCGAGGACCTCGAGAGCGAGATCGCGACATATTGCCCAGTCCACCTCGACCTGTGCTATGCTAAACATACATAATAACGAGTAAGCAACAATCAAGCACTGGAGAGTGTCATTAGACGCACCACTGCTCCTTCACGGTCTGCTTCAGCTCGTATGAGCTCTTCCTGACGGGGATCGGGGCCTACAGGCGTATGCGAATATGAACCAGCATCTCGAGACGGTGAACGAATATTCCCTGGATGTATAAGATACGTTTGTTGGGAAAGATCAGAATGATTGAGGAAACGAACCTGCGCCTCCCCTTCCCGTCGATATGACTTGATCAGGATGAACAGCGGGCTCTCTGCCTCGAGTTACAGAATAATCATCAGGTCCAGATTTGTGTATGGCAGGATCAACAGCATGGTGAATGTTGCCCAATCCTCCACGGCCAGACGAGGTCTGTTGATAGCGAGGGCGTTAGGGTCACGATAAGGATAGATTGAGGAGAACATGCCATGTCCCGGCCTCGGGAACGAGATCGTTCAGCATTGTTAAGGTCAGTCATTCGGTTCGAAGTTGAGAATGGCGATCGTATGCAGTATAGATGTGAGTGGTAGTTGACAGAAAAAACTTGTCCAGTTTGTCCGATTTATACGCTGTAGTGCTACATTGAAAAATTTCAATGGAAGGCGCAGGAAAAGACCAATATGTCAAACTCCGGCTGGCACTCGTTTCTTTTCCGGTGGCCGGTTAAAATTTTGACTTTACATCCTGGAAGGTCGCAAAACTCGACAATTTAGAACATTCTCGAATCTGGATATTCGAACGTTGGGCCTCGACACAGGCACATTGCTCTATTTTCACCCAACCACGGGAGGAGGAGGAGACTGGAACAGAACCGGAAAAGACTGTCAAGATAGTGGACCATACTGACATCGACCAGATCTAGACTAAAAGGGTCTGTGGTAGTGAAAAATCCCGGAAATTCTTTCAGGAATAGCAAGACAGTTCCACTCAGACAGTATCTCAGACAGTATTTGAAGGTCAGAAAGAGATTCGCATTGCATTTCATAAATTACAAAAAAAATTACTACAAAGAAGAAATACTAAATCCATCAGACAAGCACCCATCTCCCTGGCAAGTCTTCTGAGTCACTCTGACGAGGACCCGGAGAAAAAGCCAAACTTCCTCGAAACTCCCCAAGGAGAGCTATGTTCTCAGTATGAGGAGAGAGTGCGTATATCATCGACTGGACTTGAAGAAGTGGCATTTGTAAAAATGCGAGACTCGGTCAGTTTCTATAAAAAGATCCTGATGAGTATGTTCTAAAGAAACCAGAATGTGGGAGGGCGGGCTTATATAGGTACAAGGATGGTCCGTGCGCAGAAATGCCCACGTGATCTTGTAATCATCCTGTCGCAAGTTATCACAGCGTCCAAACTCATCTTTTAGGATTTTTAAAACCCAATTTCAGTCTTTCCCAATTCTCCCCTGCTCGGGTACTATTTTAATTGCGCGGAAAATCAATAATAGAGCAAAGGCTCTGCTGTCTCGGACTCGGACAATTAATTTAGAGAGCCTCGCGTGACGTCAGTATGAAAAGGTCAATCGCGGAATGCAGGTATATGCTAGCATATATAGGTATATTATAAAGAGCCAGACTTGGTGGATTAGCAATATTTTTCAAAACTCAAGTCATTTCCTCTTCTAACGCTAGTCTTCCCAAGCGTTCCGTTTTTGGCGCTTTATCAAAATACACGTCGTGACCTTTCCTAACACAGGTTCTCTTCTTGTCTTCGGACCACCACCATCTCATAATTTCCCCTCGCGAAACGCGTTCATTTACGATCTTGACCCTATCAAGATGATGTGGGATATTGGACAAACAGATAACCATAGTCCTTCTAATCATGGGTCCCCTGTTATCAGAATGCCCAGCCCAGTGTACGTTCCGAAATTATGCTGACCTATCAAATTTGATCCATATTCCTCCTCCACTTCTAGAATAGGATCGTAAGCTCGGGATCCTTTCGAGTCTGATAATTTCAACTCATATTCTCTTAGGAATCCGATCGGATACGTTCCGGCACCTTCACACTACTCCGAACACCTCGCAGTACCCATGGGCGGAGTTCCGGTTGTTCATTCCTACGCGTCAGAAACCTTCCCCAGTATCATCTTTCTGTTTTCTCTGCTGACAGTGACACTATGCATGCAGAGGTACCATGCCCGAGTAAGCGTTTGACTCTACTTCGGCTTAACAACATTTCGTGCTCAACTTAAGATCAGACCAACGACTGGTGCCCAGTTAGTCCGAACTATCAGTGCGGAAGAGCCTCGTCACCATCATCATCGCCATTATTCGAACCCGCCAGACGTGGATAGAGCTTTACGTGTCCCTGCGGGGGCAGTCATTATCGAAACAAGCCACCGTCATCATCACAAGTCACATCACAAGCATTCCCATAGTGCGGACAACAGCTACCACAACCAACATCAGTCTTATGCACCTCGAATTGAAAGCTCCGGCTCTGGACATCATCACAACTCATATCCATTAACTCCAAGGCCTGCAACGCCAATTCAATATGATCCCCAGCAGCACCGCTACAAAGCATCTAAACCTCTTATGGACCACCCCGCCTTCCATCCGAGTTTCTTATACTCTCGATGTACCGGTCGAAAGAAGGCACTCTGTGTAAGTCTCATTTCCCAGATTTTTCATCCGACATCACATGCCAACTTTTCGTCGCGCAAGATTGGTGTTAACTACCGGGGGGAGCCACACGAACTCCGCGGGTGCATCAACGATGCAAAAGATATGCGCAGGTTTCTCATAAGTAAGTGGGTCTGCTGAGCCAGCTGTCTTTTTCTCTATCAGAGTATCATGCTTACAATCATGTTGAATTATTTAGAGCATCACGGCTACAAGTCCGAAGACATCGTGCTTCTTACAGACGACAATCCTAATCCCCGCTCCCAGCCGACCAGGAGAAATATGATTGAAGCCATGCGTTGGCTGGTACAGAGCGCTCGCTGTCATGATAGTCTGTTCTTTCATTGTTCGTTTGTCTCCAGTAACCTCGTCTATCGTCAGCAAGACCTTGATTCCTCCCCTCCCTCTGTTAGATTCCGGACACGGTGGGCAGACGAAAGATCTTGACGGAGACGAAGTCGACGGAATGGACGAAGGTAAAGATGTTCATAATGTTGTTTTTTAGATTACTCTCTAATCTTACCTCTAGTAATATTTCCGGTGGATTTTCAGCAAAAAGGTCATATCGTCGACGATGTAAGTAATTTTGCCATCTCTCAACCGCTCTACAAATTTTGAACAACATGCAAATATTAGGATCTGTTTAAAATCATGGTATATCCTCTTCCTCCACGAACTCTAGGAAAATTCGACTGAACTTGGATGGTGTACAGGTTAGACCGCTACCAGCGGGTTGTAGGTTGACCGTACGTTCGACTTCATTCCTTTCTGTATCTATCATTTAGTTGTTGTTGTTATAGGCGCTATTCGATGTAAGTCATATTCGCAGGAATATGAACAGCTGAACCTAACAACATCCTTATCTGCAGTCCTGTCACTCTGGAACTGTACTCGGTCAGTATCAAGATAAAACTGAAATATAATGGTGGTCATCTTACATTCTGCTTGCGTGCACCTAGATTTACCGTTCATTGTGCGTCACCCTTTCCCCAAAATGTACTACCTTTGATTTGACTATTGGTTTACTATTCTTCTTAACAGTATTCTGCGTCCTCTCGACTGCGAGGGTCTCATGTCAGCCAACGCGCTAGAGCTCGCAGGAGCTCTCCTGCTGATGTGGTGCGGCTCTCGTTTTCGCACACAAAACTCTGGTTCAATTTTGCGCTAATTCGCTTCACAGATTTCATTTTCGGCGTGCAAAGACGGACAAAAGAGTACAGATACGTTCAAGGGTGGCGTTGCAGTCGGTGCAATGTCCTGGGTAGGTCTACCTCCATTTCGAACCTGCAAACGCGTATTGAATAGCTCACCAGGCGTACTGCGATGTTATGAGTAAGAGAAACATCCGCGTTGCCGTTAAATAAACTGTTGACATTTTCTACAATAAAGCTCGCAACCCGAATCAAACCTACCAGCATATCTTGAAGGAAGTCTAGTATGTGTCTATTTTCTTCTGTACGCGTCTCGAGCTCACGATCATTGTTCTCTCTTAATAGTAATATGACTTACCCCAAATATCATCAAACGCCTCAACTGGGCAGTTCTCATCACATTGTATGTCGTTTTTAGCTCCCGAGAGACTGCACTCATATCAAGACGCTCGCTCTATGTAGGATATGAACCGCAAATTTATAGTCTGAGGCGGTATGGAATGTACCATATCCGCGCGAATCAAGTCGTATCATTAATGCTTCAAATTATGTTCTCTCCCTTGAACTAACACCTAGTCTAGTACTGTATATCTTTGTATCTTATTTTATCCTTCGCACTTTAAACTTCTGTGAAGTCCGAGTTGGTATGTTAGGAATCACTTCAAGCGCCGCAGGCTAAGCGCTAGCTACATCAACTTACAGTCACCAACCTGTCACCAACCACACTTCCGTCAACAGCTCAAGGCAATGACCCAGGGCCTGGCATGTAGAATAATAATAATGTCCAAACAGACTGTAAATAATGAGATGGTTGGATAATAAGAGTGTTCAAGACAGATTTGACTACCCACCAACAAAAGAAAAATCTAGGGTGTGGGAAATTTGAATGGACGAGATTGATGACCTCCAGTGACCTCCATAGTACCACGTATCCATGCTTCTTGCCCTCGTAATCAAGATCTACATTACTGTCAAAAGCTGGCACGATAAACCGTGGCTCCATAGAAATCAATGGGGCAACGTCAAATACCTCTCCTCCAGCCTCGTCCTCAAAATCGCCAGGGACAATGTCGCAGCTGAAGCCGACACTATTTCTTTCATCCGCTCAAATACAAGTATTCCAGTTCCGCATGTCATTGCATCTGACCGCGCCTTTGGAAAAACTTATATGCTTATGCGGAGGGTTAATGGCATGCCACTCCAATTCGCGTGGCGTGATCTAAATGCTGAACAACGCACCAATGTCATTGAACAACTGCGTTCTTTCGTCGCCCAGCTGCGAACCCTGTCACCCACTCTATCCCGCCGGCACAGTGTTGGTGCTGTATGTGCTCTCAATAATGCCCCACTTTCGGACAGCCGCATTGCTTCAGCGCCTGTTGGCCCTTTCCCTAACGAACGTGCTTTCAACGACCACCTCATCGTCGTCGCGGAGCCATACATGGACGAGACGACTCTACCCTCGATACGTGCGCGCATGTCTGATGACCACCGTATTTGCTTCACCCACGGCGACCTCACTCCTCGCAATATCTTCGTTCAAGGAGGCAACGTCACCGCCATTATCGACTGGGAGGAATCTGGGTGGTACCCAGAACACTGGGAGTTTGTCAAGGCCCTGTGGTGCACACTGAAGGATCCTGAATGGCTTTGTGCGGTACGTTATATTGTGGCGGATGACTTCGAGAGGGAATGGATGCTTGACCGAGAGCTATCTGATCACATGGTGGGCGCGTTCTGAGGGTGCACGTGTTCGTGAATGATACTGATTGCCCCGACCATCGCTTGAGTGGCGGTCGACGGCTTGCCAGCACGGGCCAGACATATTATCCTTACTTGTCATCACGACGAGGGTCCAGTGGAGATCCTCTTCCTGGCCCACCGAATACCCAGCGCTCTATTGAATGACAGCAATAGGATACTCTTTGTCACGGCTACTGTTGAACAGCTTCTGAAGCTTGTTCATGGTTGACGAGGGTAGTTGATGCAAAAAGGAGATGAAGATAAGCTTGTGTGTTTGTTGTGGACCAGTTGTGGGTGGATCATCCGTCCTGGAAGCATGTTGAGCACGGAGTCGGAGTATACTGTATTGGTACAGGTTATCTGTCGGTATGCAGTATACCTTGAGACAGAATAGAAACAGACGGAGAATGATGTCATCGTCTGTGGGAAGTGAATTGAAGTGAAGAAGTCCAAGATGAGGAGAGGAGTAGTATTACTAGAATTAGAGAAGGAGTGAATCTTCAAGTTTCAAGTGGTCTCGAGCAGCGTATTGAGACTCGAGACCGGCCGAGAATAAGCAGTAAGTTGACCATAGTTTGTAGACTGGGAGTCCGATAAGATAAGTTTTCGCTCAACCGAGCTCGATGTGGAATGTGAGGAGCAAGTGGTTTCTCTGGGGCACAGCCCCGCTCGGTGGGAGATCACACGAAACGCGATTTTGCTGAGTCTAGAGTGTCAGATGATTCGACACTATAGTAGCAGAGGGAAGGGGGGGTGGGTTCACAAAGAATGAGCTCACACGAATTTCGACGATGGTTCAAAAGCGATAAGCGCCCGCTCTCATCGCCACAATCTTATCTTGTCCCCTGAGAATGCTACCCAACATTCTGATATCTTATCCTCCGCACTTTAACTACTTCTGCGAGGTCGATGTTGGTACGTTAGGAATCGCTTCGTGCGCCGCAGGCATGTTTTAAGATTGTAGAATTAGACTGATGTTACTTGTTTGGGCGAAGGTGCTTATGGTAATCTACATTAGTCCACTACCAAGCGTTTTGCTTTCACATGCGATACAGTCGTAAGACCCAGAAGTGGACATCCGCTACTTCCGAGCCCCTTTGCTAGGGGATTTCCGACCTCCCTTCCCTGCACCAGTACTAGCTGGTGCATCCCCAGTGGCGCCCTTGTTGACGTTTGTGGCAGCGGCGGATTGAACACGAGCAGGGAATGAGCTCTTTCCAGTGTCATTGCCTGCCTTGGCCTTTTAGGAAATTGGAAAATCAGTCAGCGAATGATCATTTGGAAACCTTCTTCTTATTCACCTGCGTAGACTGGATACGAGAAGCGGCAGACGGAGTTGTTGGGCTCTTGGGTGTAGGACTTTTCTTGCTGGCCATCGTGATAGTTGACTACAAGATAGCTGGTGAACGAAGAAGCGTCAAAAGTATTCTATAGAGCATGAGCTGCAGTATACACACTTCGGATAAAAGCGCAAGGTAGATAGTAAATGGGGTTCAGTTGGTTCTTGGGGGTTTTGAACAAGCCTTTTAACCCATTGGAACAATCCATTGTCCGATAGACTTTGCTACCTTATATTTAGATATCATTATCAAGTTCAATCTTTGGTTCAAGATATTTCACGATTGAAAGCGTGATACAGAGGAACTTTCGCTATAGGCACAAGCACGCCATTCAATTTTTGAGTTTGTTAGAACCAAAGCTTCAGGTTGGAGATGGCTTCGACAATTCTACGTGGACCACATGTTTCTTCATAGATGGTCCAGATAAAGAAGACATCCGTAGTCGCAAGAATAGGACAGGACAGTTTGCAAGTCAGCATGTTCAAAACAAGTCGATAAATAACCCCTTCGCAGTCATATCATAAGAATTTTCGGAAACTATAGCGTTCGAAGATGTCCAAGCTTTGAGTCCTAGCGTATCGATAAGTTATTACTCCAAAGACAGGGATAATACTCGCAAAGTTAGTACCGACGATACCCCAATAGTACAAACAATCGAGTAAGAACCACTTAATACGTCTCCCAGATAACATCCGGAAGCACTTCTCTCATTACTAGAATCAGATTGTAAGCATAAACGGAACATGATTCGAAGGTCGACGACATACACTCCCAATGATGATGAGCTTTTTGCTCTTGCATTTTTCCCAGTGGATTATTTGCATCAATTATCACGTCTGGCAACCCCTTTTCCTTATCCTGTTTATCGCCTTCCCTTAACAAGGATAAGTCTATTTCTCTTGAATGCAAAGTCCCTAACATTTGCCTTCGGAGCGGAGATCCAAGAAGGTCATGTATGTACGCGGGACGGAACGTGAGAGGCTCCGGGGAGGGGGAGCAGAAAAATACCTGGCAAACAAATTCAAGCAGCGAAAGATCATAACAGAGAGGAGAACACACGATGTTCATAAAATCGTCCCGAAGTTGTTCCTCCGTCAACGATGTCATAGCGTCAAAGAACGCTTTGCATTGCCCCCCGAAGGCTTTCTCAAGTGTGCGTAGAATCAACCGAGAAGCTTCCGATAACACATAGCCCGCAAAGTTCTACCATCCATTCACTTGAGTTACTTGGTCAAAAATATTATTTCAATTGTACTTACCACAGCTATGACACCCTCTGGGTGCATTACACTTTTCAAGTCCTCCAAGAATTCCACGGAGAATAGCTGTTGTGGAACGCCTCCCCCGGAGAAGCAATCATGTACAACAATGTCGTACAAAGTTGACTCAGTTCCCGGCTTGTGAGATTCATCGTGTTTTCGGGCAGCCCATCCTCGAGCATCTTCTAAGAAAACATTATTGGGTCCAAGATCAGGAAGTCCGAAGAATTTGCGGGCGGCGTTATACACAGCCGGATCGATTTCGATAATGCTAACGTTTAGGTTGTGCCGATGAAATGCAGTCGCTGCGATTCCTGCCCCCAGTCCGCTGTGCATGAATTTTGTCAGCCAACGGGATAGATATCGGGCGATCAGACTCACATTATCAACGCGTTTTCTGGTGCCTTGTGTGTACTGTTGACAAGTCTCGCTGCTTCCTGCAGCACAAATGTGCCATAGATCGAATCTCCTAAAACAACACCTATTGAATCTCTCAAAGGCTTATCGTCTTCTGTCATTACCATAGCTCGTGGACCAAACCAGACCCCACCCAAAAGTGAATGAGCTGCGCGGAGATAGCGCACACTGTGGATAGCCCCAGATTTTTCGTAAGCCTCAAGGTCTTTTTTGGGAGGCGTCATGGCTTCTCCGACCACAATGAGTCCGGTCGTAGATTGGACTGACGAGAGAATTTGAATGCGAACTCCGTCTGCGGTGGGTTTGGGGAGTACGAGCGGGAGTTTGAGAGGATCAGGAAGGACAGGCGAATGAAGTATCCGATAGAAAGATAGAAAGAAAAATAAATTGAAACATGCTAAGGCAGCGAATTTCTTCCATATAGGTGGCATGGATAATGATGGGGATGAAGAGACGCGTTTTTTCTGAACCTTGCTAGGTTTGGATGATGGCACAACAGCCAAAGATCGTGTAAAGTCTGTATGCACGAGTCCATAGTTGATAGTGAGATCAGACAGGATAAGCAACTACAGAGAAAGACCTCATGAGATATGTAATATCACTGGGGAAAGAACCAATACATGCGATCTGACTATTCGACACATCGAATAGGGAGGGCTGGCTGGCTAGAATGCCTGCGAGATACGTGGCTATTGGGTAAGACGCAAAGGGCACGGCCATGTTCATTATTGAAAGTGTAGGTTTTGGGACATCTTTGTGAGACTGAGGTTGGATCAACGAATGATTCCGAGAGCACCATAAGAACACTTACCACAGTACAGTTTGCGATGGCAGATACCAATGGGAGTAACACCACAGCATGTAGAACAACTGGACCTAGATACGGATCCTTCCACCTTGCGGTCCATATTGCAACCCAATACATGGCATTGGGCGCCAGTGCCAATGCCAGTCCCGCGACAAACCATTTCCACTGTAATAGTCTTCTTAGATGTTTGAATGGTTGAAAATGTGGGATCGCTAGGGCTAGGAGGGCGAAATGAGGGAGATATAGTCTGGTTGGGACTGAAGCGTAGATTGGTATCACAGCACGTTCATAGGTGAATAGAACGAGTGAAAGCGTAACGACAAGTGATAGACCATTCAAAAAGGTCTTTAGCAGCAGGCCCTGCGAGCCGCCGGAACTCCGTAGGCTTTCTGGCATGATTGAAGATGAAGAGAGGCACAGAAAACTAACATCATCATGGTGGGAGTGTCGGGATGACGGATCACCTTCGTTGTTAGGCACTCTGGATCTTTCGGAGTCTTCAGGTATACAGTAGTAATACTCGTGAACTGTCTACAATTAATTTTCTACTCCTCACTCGAATTTTCGTTACTTTCTAGGTTGACGACAGTGCGACCTACAAATTAACAATCCCCTCGCCTTTTACTAGGGGATTCCGTGTTGGTCGTACATATAGTCGTTGTTCAAATATTTGGGTTTTCACTTCGCTTTGTGCAAGGTATATTCTTTTTCATTCATTACGTATTGTAGTTTAAGCTCTCAGTCTACATGGCTGTTCGCTCGCAATTGGATTTTTGAGCAACATTGAGTTACAGTATTCCATTTCACAGACCGCTCAGTAGACTTGACTTGCTATGTACCTGCTGGTCGGTATAATCGTACAAATTTTCCATTAAATTCGAAGGTTATTAGCAGAATCGTGAATGGTAAACTCATATGGTAGACTTGTGCATTTGAAGGGTTTTCACAGGTTTAATTTGGATAGGCTTCAAATAGAAGTACGCCTTACGGCGAAGACTTCGTCTGCCGAAGTCGTTTTGGCATTGGTGGGCTGTCGTCCTGAACCATTGGCTCATCGTCCGAATCTTCTAACTGGGTAGCTTGTATGTTAGATTCCAGATTCCGAATAGCAATCTGTTCGGCACCAAATACGATAAATCGTAAGTCTTCGCGCAATGTATCAAGTCCTTACCTTGTGTAAGAAAGAGACTGCTACGATGTTACCTGGATCCAGCACTTGTGCACGTTCAAGATGTGCCATAGCTTCTCGTACAAGACTAGGTTGAAACGTGGTAGCTGTGATTTGAAATCTATGTATCAACTAGAATGCGCTGAGAGCTGAAAGATACGCACACGCCTCGGAATTGCTGTGTTCTTGAGAGAGATAGAAACAAAGAAGGCCTGCGTAAATGTGCAAAACGGGGCTGTCTTGGTATGGAAAGGACGGGAGATATCTAGAAAAGAAGACTGAACATCACAACGGAACTGATTAACCGAGACAACTTACAGTTCTAACTCATCCAGCGCCTCCCTATGTCGACCAGAAAGAATCAGTCGGAATATTAGCTCCTTGATAACAGCTATCCTCTGCAGTCCATACCAATTGTGAACTTCACGCAAGGAATATTCCAAATGCTGGTCCTTACTTGCCAATCTGGATAGTGAAGCATCATATCTCTGAGCAGTTCTATCCTTTTCGCGGAATCATCACCATACGAATTCTCTTCGACGAGATGAATAGCCGTATTCCACATCGTTGTCCAATTGATTTCTTTACACCTCACAAGAATGCTCCAAGCACGACGCGCACGAGGGAGATCATTGCGATGGATAGATAGCTGCAGAACCTCGTATAAACGTCGTATGTGGACCTTTCGTGCTGTCAAAGGCACATTGAGATTCGATGCGGGTGCTGAGAACAAGAACGCGTCTTGCATGCTTTGTATTTTGGACAACATGACCGTCATGACGGAGGCAACGGAACAACAAACTCAAACATCATAACTGCACACTCCCATCATCAACGCCAACTCTACGGAATAGTATTCATCAATATACATATTTATCTCTCCGAGTCTATGGACGATGATTTGACATTCGGAGCCTCTGTATGGGGTGCAGATGTTCCTTCCCCATTCCCTCCTACCAAACCCAAACCTCCAACCCTCTCTTTAGAGGAAGATTTCATTTCTACTCCCAATGGTGATGACGGCTTTGACGATTTCGAAGACTTTGGGCCTACAGAAACAGTCGCAGGAGATGACGATGATTTTGGAGACTTTGGAGACGCAATTGAAGATATTGCTGTAACGCCAGCAGATTTTCCTGAAACACCAATGGCAGGGCCTTCAAATTCGCAGATGAGCACACAATGGGAGCCTCTTAGACTGGATCCATTTCCTGACCGACAACAGCTTGAACGGGACATCGATGAAATCTTAGAGCCAGTGTGGGACGACGAGGAAGCGCAGGAGCAAGTTTTCACCAAGGACGGAATACGTGAAATCGAAGGTGTCAACCAGATTCTTGTAACAAATGAAAGGTATGTCAAAACTCTGTTTCAGTCTTTTCTTTCTCGTGATCTTGGATCTGCAGTCGAGAATTGTACAAAATGCTTTTCAGAGCGCCCCCAGCAACCAAACCTCCGAACTGGACACGATCTCGAATACGAAGGCAACATCTTATCTCACTAGGCATACCCGTTAACCTGGACGAAGTGCTACCACCCCATGCCAATGGAAAGTCCCTTCCCCCACTACAAATCACTACCCGACCCATGTCTGCTCCACCGGGTCCAAGGAACGTGCCAGTGTCTGCAGTCATCCCTTCCTCCGCAAGCCATTCGAGAGCCGGCTCTCGTGCACCTTCTCGCACAGGGTCTCCGCATCCATCCAACTCTGCCCGCCCTAATCAAAGCCATTTTGGTCCGAGGCCGGTCCTAGACGAGACCAAAATATCGGAACTGCTGGATCTTGATATGGGTAAGACAGCCTTTGATCTCAATTTAGAAATAGAGGCTAACGAGCGCTCCAGAGGATCTGACACTGGAGCCGCTAGGAGCTCTAGAGCGACGGCTAGAAGAATTCCGCACCCAGACGGCCACTACGAATACACTGCTCACTTTCTTACTGCAAACGCGGGACGCTCTGCAGCAAGATTCAGAGACATACAATGGCCTCATTGCGGAGCTTGTTGGGGAAGCGCAGAGGATAAAATCAGGGAAGAAATTACCAGCTAGAAGGGGAAGTGGAATGTAAGGTGTCTCTTCTAGTTCGTAACCGTAAGCGGAATCTGTAGGACAGACTTTATAGATGGTCTGCAAATCACGATTGTCTGGCAGTAAAAAGTAGTCGTGCATCGATCCCAGTTATGGTAAATAGACGAGAAGTCGCACAAAAATGAAGTAATAATCGCCCTGTATTCGCCTAGCAGTAGCATTTTAGGCCTCCGCGTAAAAATTTCTTTTGTTTCTCAGTGGATCAGATGACTATAAGTACGACCAGGCTGTAGATACATACGTGGTATGTTTCTGTAGAAATCACACATAGTCGCATTGGCTAGCCACTGTACGCAGCGACGAGCACAGATCTCTCCCTTCCTCACGTCATATGTTTTTGTCCAAGGCCTCTTTCCTCGGACTCGATGAAGGTTTACTTACTACAGGAGGATTCGACTCGGAAAAGGAAGGAAGGACTCAAAAGGCTAAGCGTTCTGTACATGGCGGAATATGAAAATACACCACAACTTCCAGTTCAGAGATATAAGCGCCGAAGAAAGTTTGCGCGCTAACTAACTAACTCTTTTTACAAATTGATATATCTCTTAGCGTGTGGACTGGCGGAGGGCTCAGACTCACATTTCTCCAAAACGGTCACTTGAACTTATGCCATTATGAACATTTCACATTCGTTGCCCTCATATGTCACTGGAGTGTCCTTCTCGTTTCTAACCACAGAAGACGTTCGTCGCATTTCCGTCAAGCAAATCGTCAACCCAGTACTTCTCGATGACCTAAGTCGACCTAATGCTGGGGGACTATATGATCCTGCTTTGGGGCCCAGCGATCGTCAAGATGTGTGCGTATCTCTACTTATTCAGAACTCTCGGGACAAAATCGAACTGATCTTTCCGTTTGTATAGTTGCGCGACCTGCCGTCTCAGTTATTTTACATGTCCAGGTCATTTTGGACACATCGAACTTCCTGCGCCTGTGTTCCATCCGCTTTTTTTCCCCAACATGTACAACTTACTGCGAGGTTGCTGTTTATGGTGTCACAAATTCAAGTTGAGTAGGGAAAGTGTGAGTAGGCACCATCCTATCTGCAGATATTTTTTAATAGTTATACAGTTGGCAAAATATGTTGCAAAATTCAGGTTACTGGAGTACGGTCTTCTGGAGCCGGCTCAAGCTTTGGACAAGATAAACCGGATGGTGAAGCGCCGAGAAAAGGTCAAGAAGGGAAAAGGCAAACAAAAGGCTGGAACAGAGGAGGAAGATGAGGAAGACGATGAAGAGGAAGATGTTGAAATGACAGCAGCTGATGATGACCAAGAGTACGAGAAAGAAGATGCTTTCCTGGGGAGAATCAATTTCTTTGTGACTTTGATGCTCGCTCGTGCCAAGGCAGCGGGTGGAAAAAGAGGCAGCTACAAGGATGGTCTTGTGTATCAGTATCGAAAAGAGCTCATCAACGAATTCTTAAAGGAGACAATACTGAACAAATGTCGGAATTGTAAAACGTACGTGATTCATCCTCTTCGCCAGTGCTGGACGCTGACATCTCGTCGATGAAGGCCCGCATTCACGTTCCGAAAAGAAGGTCATACCAAGGTTATAGAATATGATCTTTCAGAGAAGCAGAAAAGGTCTGTTTTGAAGAAGCGGCCGGACGTCCTAACTCTAGACAAAGGTCCAATCAATACTACCAAACCTCAAAATAACATAGCCTCTTATATGGATAATGAAGATGCGGAGATGTCTGACGCGCCGGACTCGGAAGGGGAAGGAGATTCCTTAGATGAAGAGGATGAGGAGGACGAGAACGAGGATGCAGTGAATGAAGACCAGCCTAAAGACTCCGATGGGAAACCTCTTCCTCGCGCGGCCAATGGCAAAATTAAAACAAAACGTGGTCGAAATGAACGCGTCGTAGCTCCCGAAGAATGTCGTGCCCATCTCCGACGTTTGTTCCGGAATGAACGCGTCATCTGCGCCTTGCTCTATGGCAAACACGGCTGTTACGCTAAACTCACTTCTGAGGAACTATCTGAGGCCTCTGCCGATATGTTCTTCTTGGATGTCATAACCGTCGCTCCAACACGATTTCGTCCACCAGCAAAGATGAACGAGGTTCTCTTCGAGCATCCGCAGAATGATCTTCTTGCGCGAGTGCTCAATACTTCCTACAGGCTTCGTGACTTTAACGACGATCTACGGGCCGCTTCCCAGAAGGGGGCAGATTATGATGAGAAGAAGCGACAAAAGGTGATGGAGCAACTGCTCGCAACGTTGATCCAACTGCAAGTGGATGTGAACAGCTTTATGGATAGTAGCAAGAACCCTCAGGTGGTGAGACAAGGAAAGCTTCCTCCTGCCGGCGTTAAGCAGGGATTGGAAAAGAAAGAGGGACTGTTCAGAAAACATATGATGGTACGTGTCGTATTAGTTCAGATTCGTTTGTCTTAAACACACATACTTGCAGGGAAAAAGAGTTAACTATGCTGCTCGTTCCGTCATATCACCCGACGTCAATATCGAACCAAACGAAATTGGTGTTCCTCCTGTGTTCGCCAAGAAGCTCACGTTTCCAGAGCCGGTAACTCCCGCCAACTTTCATGAAATGCGCGCAAGAGTCATCAATGGTCCGCGGGGATATCCTGGAGCAACCATGGTCGAATATGAAGACGGAACTCAGATTTCTCTCGTGCGTCTCGCTTGCAGTATCCTTCAACGTCTCCTGAATGCATCACTGTTCCATAGGATAAGCTAAGTGTTGACCAACGAACAGCTATCGCCAATCAACTACTCAAACCTCAAGAAGACAAGGGAGCAACGTTAGGAGGCCGTCGAGGTCTTTATACTAGGACGCCGGCCATCAACAAGAAGGTGTATAGGCATCTTCGTGACGGAGATATCTTAATTCTGAATCGTCAACCTACGCTGCATAAGCCGAGTATGATGGCTCATAAGGCGAGAGTTCTGCAGGGGGAAAAGACTATTAGGATGCATTATGCGAACTGGTGCGCACACATGCATATCGGCCTGGATTGTTTTGTTTACTTTATTATTATTATTTGATTTTTCCAGTAACTCTTACAATGGTATGATCTTGACGCTCTGACAATAGATCCTGAGACTAATCCTTCTCCCTTCGTTGAAAAGCGGATTTTGACGGTGACGGTGAGTGCAAATTTGAAGCACATTTTTACAACTAAGGCCATTTTTAGAGATGAATATACACTTTCCTCGTGAGCCTTTTCTACCTCTTCCAACCGATCGCGCCCGCTGAACCATCTTCTACAGAAAATCAAGTTGCTCGTGCCGAAGCCGAGATGATCGCTAACACAGACAACCAATACCTTGTCCCGACGTCAGGAAATCCTCTTCGTGGCCTGATTCAAGATCACGTTGTGGCAGGTGTTTGGATGACCAGTCAGGGTGCCCTTTTCAGCCGAGAGGAATATTTCCAGCTCCTGTATGGTGCTCTGAAGCCTGAAGAAGAAGGTGTAGATGGACATCGCCTAGTCACACTGCCACCTGCTATTTGGAAGCCAAAGCCACTCTGGACTGGAAAGCAGATTGTGAGTACATCGGAGCACATTTCCAGATTTAAACGTGCTCATTTCCTGCCAAGATATCCACCGTGTTGAAAAATATCACCCCCGAAAATATGGAGGGTATCAACCTCCATGCTGGTACAAAGGTTCCCGGACATCTATGGGGAAGTGATTCAAAGGAGGACCAGGTTGTGTTTATGGACGGCGAGCTTCTTTGTGGTGTGCTCGACAAGGCGGCATTCGGGGCTTCCGACTTTGGTATCGTCCATTCAGTGTACGAGCTATATGGAGCTGACATTGCTGGGAAGCTGCTCGGCATTCTCAGTCGGCTTTTTACCAAATTCTTGCAGCATCGAGCGTTCACATGTCGAATGGATGATCTTATGTTGACCCCAGAAGGAGACCAAAAACGGACAGAGATATTGCAGGAGGGCAAGAATCTAGGTACGAAAGGAGCTATCGAGAACTTCCCCTCACTCGACAATCTGCCGCCACACGAAGTACCCCAAGCGCTGAAGGTGCTATTGCAGGAGGTTCTGAGGGATGACAACAAGATGGCTGGACTTGATATGACGGTTAAAAGCGGACTTTCGAAGCTTACTACCAGTATCGAGAAAGCAGTCATGCCTTCTGGTCTACTTCGCCGTTTCCCACATAACCACATGCAAGCCATGACACTTTCTGGAGCAAAAGGAAGTGCGGTGAATGCTCGACAGATCTCCTGTGCGCTCGGGCAACAGGAATTGGAGGGTCGACGTGTCCCTGTCATGGTCAGTGGAAAAACTTTGCCTTCGTTCAAACCCTTTGAAACGAAAGCCATGGCCGGTGGGTACGTCGCCAGTCGATTCTTGACAGGTGTCAAGCCGCAGGAATTCTACTTCCATTGTATGGCCGGGAGAGAGGGTCTCATTGATACTGCCGTCAAGACCTCCCGTTCAGGATATCTGCAGAGATGTCTTATCAAGCATTTGGAGGGAATTCGTGTCCACTATGACAACACCGTCCGTGGCAGTGACTCCTCTGTCTACCAGTTCCAGTATGGAGGCGATTCCCTGGACGTGACGAAGCAGAAACACATTCGACAATTCGAGTTCATTGCCAGAAATGAGAAGTCGTTTGTTAACAAGCTCCGTCCGAAGAGCATTCTTCCATTTGTCGCGGGAGACGACGCCACTGTCTACATGAAGAGTGTGATTAAGCGCAAACCCGCGAAGAGACATGGAATGGACCCCTGCCTGGCGTTGTACAGCCCGTCGAGATATCTAGGAAGTACTTCGGAGGCTTTTGCGGATGCTTTGAAGCACTATACGAAAAAGAACCCTGATAGATTGATCAAGGGCGACTTCGAGGAAATGTGGAGCACTAGGAAGACACCGTTGAGCGCGGGGACTTTCCGTATGCTTATGCATGTGAAGTACATGCGGAGCTTGGTCGAGCCGGGAGAAGCAGTCGGCTTGCTGGCTTCGCAGGGGTAGGTGTCTTCATCCGTGGTCTCGCGAGACGCTAACGTTGGCATTCTAGTGTCGGAGAGCCTTCAACACAAATGACACTCAATACTTTCCATTTCGCAGGTGAGTAGTTTCTTCATTATCACGCCTTTCTTGAGCCAGAATGGAACTCATGGAACTCAAAATAGGACACGGTGCTGCCAACGTCACTCTTGGTATCCCTCGCCTTCGGGAAATTGTAATGACCGCATCTCAAAAGCCAAAGACTCCTTCCATGAACATGCGAATCCGTACTGGAATACCTCAGGAGGATATAGACGTCTTCTGTAAACGGGCGAGCAAGCTTACACTTTCCCAGCTCGTGGAAAACGTTACAGTCACAGAGCAACTCCAAGCTGAGGGCGATTCCCGAAGAATGCAGTATACAGTTTGTATTAACCTGTTTCCGAGGGAGGAGTATGAAGCCGTACATGACGTCGAACCGGACGAAATTCTGAATGCTTTTGCAGTCAAATATCCGCTCATGCTGAAGAAGGAGATGACTGCAGAGATGAAGAAGCTCGATGACGATTTGAAAAGTCAAATTGCCCAGTTGGGTAAAGGGAAGAAGGAGAGAGGAGATCGTGGAGAGCCAGCAGATACTGGCGATGGCGACGAAGAGGGCGCAAGTGGTACAAAAAGAAGGAACGATGACGAGGGGAGTGAAATTGGGGATGGGGATGCTGATGATGAGAAGCGCGCCAGGCAAAAGAAAGAGCAAGCAACGTATGAAGACGACAGTGAAGATGAGGATGAGGAGATGGGAGCGTACGATGATGATGAGCTGGAAGCGGAACTCGCAGATGGAGAGGAGAATGAAGGTCTTCAACAAGATCCAACAGATGTCAAACGTGTTTCACAAAGCTTCAAGAACCGAGTCAAACTTGTCGGTGATTCCTTCCAGAGGAACTTCACTCAGGCAGTATCGTTCGCTTTCAACGAAACCCAGTGTACATTCCAACTCGATGTGAGTCATGCTAATATTTGCTGGGCGGTCCAAAAATTTAACAAGCGTTTTCAATGCCAGCTTGCGTCAGATATGCCCAAATTACTCTTCGTTGGTATCATTGAGCGAACTTGTCGTTCAACGGTCATTCGCGAAATTCCAGGCATCACAGACTGTTTCCAAAACAAAGAGGAGGGTAAAAAGGGCGAAGAATCTGTTGTCAAGGTATCGTTGATATCAAGGTAGCATCTCGCGATCGTTTACTCATAATGTTTCCAGCTTACTACTAACGGTTCCAACTTCCGTGGTCTTTGGGAATTTATGGCTGACTCGGATGAGAGCATCATCAACGACAACGAGGTTTACTCTAACGATATCTACGCAATTCTAAAAACTTATGGAGTCGAAATGGCAAGGGAGGCCATCTTGCGGGAAATGAGTGGTGTATTCGGGATATACAAGATTCAAGTGGATAGACGTCACTTAGAGCTAATAGCTGACTACATGGTATGTGATGGGCATTTGTGGATGTTGGATCTAAAGCTAATCCGATTTCAGACATTTGAAGGCGGTTACAAACCGTTCAACCGCAAAGGGATCTCCACAAATTCATCACCTTTATTAAAAGCTTCGTACGAGACGACGGCTGCGTTCTTGTCGGACGCAACCTTGTACGGGGATTTTGACGATCTCACGACACCATCTGGTAATATTGTTTTGGGGCGCCCGAATCAGACTGGAACCGGTGTATTCGATGTCCGGATGCCTACTGAGCCACGGTAGCATGTTGTTCTACGCATTGTTCGCCGCAAAAGTAAATTCATTGTCGATGTAATTTTTGTTGATTTGAAATGTCATCTCTATATGCACCCGTAATACTGCTGCAGGTTCTATTTTTTGAAAGAAGAATTTAACAAAGAATTGCTCGTACACAGATGGTTCTGTACTGAAACTACGGAGGCGATTGACGCACTTGTCGCGAATAGTCACTGTCACGCGACACTCACGTGAAAGTCAAACTAGGGGTTTCAGGGGTCATCCAAGTTTAATTTTTCCTTTAGTCGCCACTTTGTTGCAACAGCCACAAAGTTCACATCATTATCTTTCTTTCCAACGATCATGTCGCTATCAAAGTCTACTCCGCGACCTGGCCCGCTTTGTGAATGGTCTCTCGACCGTTTTCTACCTTCGAGTTCCAACTCGACACAGGGCAAGCTCAGTAGCAACAGTCGTCCTAACAAAAGACCGCTTTCTCCTGGTGGTCCAAGCCTTTTCAGCCCGACTAAGAAGCGCATCCTTACACAAGAAGGCATCTTCTATCCTGAAAAGACGATGAAAAGTCCTTTCCGAGGACGGAGCACCCCTGGAGGTAGTTTTAGTGATCTGCTACGAGCCCCTGATAGTCCTGCGAAAAAGTTGGAATTTGGAAGCGCAAAGCCTGCTCATCAGCCGCTGTATATCTCCGACAGCTGCGAAGTCACTTCTTTTTCCAGCCTTCCGCGGCCCTCGACCCCAGTCAAGGCTACTCTCAACAGCCGCTCCTTGGCTTCCTCCCTTGATCTTGTGCCAAAGACGAACCCAAAATCAACGCCGCGTCATGGTTTCGACGACGATGACTTCTTCTCTACGCCGGAGAGGCTTCCCCTTTCACTCGCACGTCCTCCGCCCCTGGCTCCATTCACGTTGCTTTCTCGTGAGCTTCCGCCTCCTTCAGATCCACAATCGATCCATTATCCCGGCTTCGTGGTGCATCGGGATGCACATGTTACTGTGCTAAACCCCACAGCTGTGGAATCTCTCATGAAAGATTGTAAGGAGCGTGACGAATGGAAGGAGAACCTCGCCCCCAGGAAGAAGATGAAGAAAGTCGTCATTGATTCAGTTGACAGTAAACCAATGTTGATGACCCCAGAGGCGAAGAAACTTGAAATGGAACAGCTAATCAAGGCCAAGTCGACGCCTGCTACACCTCGGAAGACCGCAGCAAAGGAATGGCAGGAAGACACTAGTCCCACACCTCGTCGCACCGGTTTACGCTTCCAGGCTGGTACGCCAGCGATTTCAGAGGAGGAGAAAAGACAGAGACGGCGGATGCTGAAGGATGAGGTTGAAGCTGATAGGATGGATGAGGACATGTAAGGGGAGCGGCTTTGAATTTTCTCAAGGCTATCGTACTCGGGGTCAAATAGTCGAGCAAAGTGTCGACGTATTAATCTCATCCCTGGATCCCACCTATCTACTCGCCGACTATCTATGTTCTTTTCATTTCTACTTTTTCTACCCTTCCTACAATGTATCTGAGTGCATCTGTCTCTGTGAATATTCGCGCTATTTCCACTTTACATGACTGCATAACTATATAGTGCGACCTGTACTTATTCTTGATTTAACCAGCCTAGCTATTCATCTTGATTACTGAGTACTGAATACGGCAACGGAGAGAATATTTTGATCTCAGTGGACCACGTGCACATGAAATGACACGTCGACCTTTCAAAGTTTCATCAGAGTTTTCTCTGTCCTATAGATTCATTCTTAGAGCCTTCAACGCTGCATTTCTTTACACGGTGTCCCTCTCTCTCAGCATGTATAGAGTCTCCGTCCTGCTGCTCGCCTTCTTTTGGGCCATATCATTTGTCGCCGCCCAGTTCTCATTCTTTGACCAAATGTTCGGCCACCAACAGCCTCAACAACAACAGCAACCTCCTTCCGGAGGATCCCAATGGGCTTCGAATATAGAGAGTGGTATGCTCGTAGTTCATTTTCGTGAAACTTTTTCTGATAACGCTTTTCATCTGTTTGTTTTCTAGTCTCTTGTTCCCGATATCTATGCCCCACGCTCGATTGTGTCGCAACTCCTCACGATTGCCCGTGTCCTGACCAGGAAGATGTTAAATGCATCATACCAGATGCCGATGACAAGACTGTTGGAACTGTTGTTTGTGCGAGGGGACCAGACGCTTGTCTATCTGTGGAACGGTTAATCTGGAGATTGGCAGGGCGGTAGACTGTGGAATCAGAGTGTGCTTTCTATTCCCCGTGGCCCTTGCGATGTGCTTCACATTTGGAATTGATAACTTATATTAACATATTAGACTACAGTCGGTGGAATTATGTATAGATTGCCATTAACCACCGAGAACATTCGTACATACATAAAAGGCTCAAAGCTCAGCGCACCCCATATTCATCCATTATTTAATACCTCAAGTGTGCAGCATGATACTCTTCCTCGACCTCATCCTCGTCAGACCATCTGTCAGGAGTCTCGGGAGTCTCCGAGTCATCGTAAAAAGAGTCGGTATCGGAGGGCGTTGGGTGCGAATGATAAGACGAAGGAGGCAAAGGCGAAGGAGGTAAATGTACTAGGCGAGGAGAAAACACCGGTTGACGAGGGGAGTATGCCCGTTCGAAGTGCTCCTTTTCCGAATACTCGCTGTCTGGTTTACCGCGAGGACTGCGCGGGGCAAAAGGACTATGAGGGGCACGAGGGGAGACCTGATGTTCCGGTACTTCCTCGCGGTGATAGTCACTCATGTAAGCCTCGTCGTACAAATCATCCACTGGACCTGGCGGAGAAATTTCAATCTGGGGGCAAGGCGAAGACGGAGGCTTGGGTGTTCTAGGAGCCACAGTCATATTATCTTCGAGGACAGCTGCAGTGATCCAGTCAGGCTGAATGGTAGGGGCAGGAGCTTCGCGAGGCTCTTGAATCATGGAAGGATCATTCAGATTGACTGGGGTTAAGAACATTAGTGAAAATTATTCGCGAGGATGAGATTGCGAGGCTAACCTTGATGATGGACTCGAATTGGACGCTAGAAATCTGAAGTTGAAGCAATGAAACTTGAAAAATATCAGGATCGCGCTCACATTGGCAGCCGGATTCTGCGTTTTCTCTATTAATATCCTCCAATTCTCTGGATCACCCTCCTCCATCGCGATTACATGACTGCGGGCAGTGAATCCACCAACCAGACCAAGGTTGGTCATGCAAAGCAGACATTGGAACCTCTGCAATCCAGCAGATGCCGTGTGAAGACCTTGCTGACGCAAAGCATCTACCATGTGCGGATACGCTGCAAAGACGACGACGGTAAGGATGAAAGATACCAGCCAAATTATCGTCATGATATAACCAACAAAGACGACCGTCGGAAAATAGGTCGGTTCCTCAATTGTGCGCTCCATTCGGGAAAGAACAAGTACACCGGTGAAATACAGCAGCGTGAAAAGGCATAGTGGGGGTGTCAACCAGAGTGAACAATATCCGAGGTCAAGGAGCGAGACGATTAGGAGCAGAAATGAGATGAAGATGGATGAGACTATGATATAGAGCAGTGATCTGGGGATAGTGATTTCGTCCTGCTTAACCGGATGAGGGAAAGCAGCAGAAATTGAGAAAGACGATAAGGCAGGATTCTGCATTCCCACCGCAATTTGATGTACAATGAAGCAAGTGGGCGGCTCGAAAGGAAAATGGGTAATTTCAAGGGTGACCAGCACCAGAGAAATTGTTGAAAAAGTTTCTCTTCGTTGGGAGTGACCAGCACGTCGGGAAAGCCGCAGAAAAAATACTCACGCGATGGTTTTATAACCAAAATTACCAAAGCATCGCCACAACACGCAGTTTCGGCACCGGCTTGCAATGAGTTTCAGAAGAATACTTTTGAGATTTCTGTTATTGCGTTGATTTTCCATCTAACTTTTATTTTTTTAAAACAAAATTGAAGTAGCAACTCATAGGGCAGGATGGGGCTTCAAAAATTCGGAGATTCAAGCTCGAAAAGCAAGTCTCCAGAAACCCAACAGGTTTGTTTTTCAAAATTCGATGATTGATAGTACAGATCAAATGAGATTGATGCCATGATGGCCAGTGATTGGTCACGTATAACAGCATATAACGCAGAGCACAGAGCAGTACTTACGAGAGTCAACATCGCTGTCCCTCGGAGAATTTGCTTCTTATGCAAGATAGATAGATAGAGTGTGACTTGCCAAGCTGTGGGTTTACCAGTGCTTGAGTGATACATAATGATCTTCGGCGGAGTACAGGATCTACCTAAGATGATCTTTTGCCGATTTACTGACATTGGGTGTGTTCACATAGTATCAGTAGCTATTAGTAGATAGATAGATAGTGTAGTGTAGACCCTAATCCAGGTCCACTGGCAGTTAGTTAGAGCCGCGGTCGTACCTCATCGGTCTCGAGCGCAATATAGCTCCCTCGAATTCAAGATAGCACACACATAGCTATGCACTCACACCCGACATTACCTCCTAAAGCTTTTTGGTAGAAAAGGGAATTCAACCGCCGGTACGAGAATTGTATGGGACCGGCTGTTCCTTCGTGTGATCCCGCCGAAGGGCGAGGGTATCTATAGGTATCTATCTACCTCATCTCATCATTAAATGTGAGTGCAACTGCAGCGCTATGATTCTCCTGATAATCTCCTCTCTGTCTCATGCCCAGCCCAGTCATTCAAAGGTTACACCGTTGTGTTCCGCGGCCGTGTGAAGCTGTATCTGGCTTAGACACATCTCTACTACTTCTAGACAGTGTCCTGAGGTAAACTCTCTCATCTATGAGAGTCGGCTATATAGTGCATCAAAGGCAACACAGCTTGACATTTTAACCACCATGCTCCATCCTCAGAGTGTATTATCGCTTTTCGTCTTGACACTTCTGCTCGTTCCAAACAAAGTCCTCGGACAGTTCAGCGATCAGAGCTTGACAAACACAACGCAGGCTTTCACACAGGCTCAGATTGTACCGGATGTTCTTTCGTCCTTCAATCCTGCAGCTTTACTAGGGGTAGAATTTACGGATCCTTCCACTAATCAATCAGTCAATGTAACTCCAGGAATTCTTTTGAGCATGGAGCGTAAGTCGGAAATGAAATTCTAGCGAACCTTTCCAATGGATAGAATATCTAGAAACAATGAAAGAACCTCAGTTCTTCTTGACGGCCAATGTCACTATTCCGTCGACCATTCCCTACGTCCTGGTGATTATCGATCCTGACGCACCCATGCCACAGAACAACACAGAATCCCAATTTCGTCATATGCTTGGAGGTGACTTCCATGTAGATAATTCTTCCAAGCTTGTGAACACGAGCGCGGCGTTGTCTGATTTCGTAAACCCAACCCCTCCAACTGGGTCAGACCCTCACCGGTGCGTCTTTCCCATGAATAAAACGAAAGCAATATGTTCATCTCACCTCAATCCAGTTATGTCATACTCGCGTTCATACAACCGGCAGATTTCAACTCTACTGGCCCGGAATTGGTTAACGCATCAACACCCAGAAATAATTTCAATCTCACCACATTTGGGGAAGCCGTGAACCTTGGTTCTCCGATTGCCGGAACTTACTTCTTGACGGGTCCTAGCAGTAACAGCAGTGCTTCTTCGACATCTCCTGCCAGCAGCACATCGTCCGCGGCTACTTCGAGCGGCGTAGGAAGATCTCTAAAGGCTCATGGTATAGGTTTGAAGGCTACTTGGGGATTGACACTTGGTTTGGTTATGTACGCACTGTCGTGATTATCTCGCGGGCCAAGCGGTAGTATAATTTAAAGGATTCTGAATCTCATGTAACTGTAAGTGAACAGAATGAAAGAATATAAGCGCCTAACACTGTAAGCGCCGATAGCTTTGCACGTGGTTCAATGCACTGTGAAGCTGAGTCATACTCAATTCTCTTTCTTCTCCTCGATGGCGCTCGCCCGCCCCACGGTAAGTACATGCGTTCAGCTCCAAGCAATGGCCAATTAATCAATTCATTTAGTCGAAGCTTCCCGCCGGTGCCAATCGCATTCTGTTTGTTAAAAATCTGAACTATCAAATCACTGGGGAAGACTTGTATGACCTTTTCGCGCGATATGGAAGTATTCGACAGATTCGGATGGGTAATGAATCAAAGTCGAAGGGAACCGCGTATGTAGTTTTTGACGATGTCATGGATGTGTGTAGTTATCTTTAGCCATTGACTGCTTCTAACTTTGTATTCTAGGCGAAGAACGCGCTCGACCACCTGAACGGCTTCCACTTACAAGAGCGCTACATCGTTGTGCTTTACCATATGCCCGCCAAGCAAGATGCTGCTGCTGCAAAGGCTGACCTAGCACGCCGTGAAGAAGAGCTGGCACAGCTGAAGAAAAAACACAACATTGGAGATGATTAATTTTCGTGTCACCCGCTTTCAACCAAAGCCCGGCATCGCCGTCGAGTCAGATTCTCGGTCTTCTCCGTGATTAAATACTATCTTGCTCTTAGTTCCACGCAACTTTCCACGAGCATGACATGGAAACATGGGATGCCGCTCGTCATTCATCAAGTCAGTAACGAGAACAATTTTCCGACCATATCTTCTTCTACTAATATATACAATGGATGCATTTACTTAGATATAGTTCTTTGTATATCATCATTGTTTGTGAGCAATCAACGATGTGTGTTGCTGCATGTTGGGCAAAGCCTGTCAATGTGTGGCGCTATAGAAGAAGAGTCCAATCGAGCCGAACGTCAGAATGTGACTTGGATCCACCTATCGCAATGGTACTCACAGTACTGCTGTGGGTATTGTCGGCTTAACGGTGAAGCGGTCAAACATAAGTTCACGATTGCAAGTAAACGCGGTACTCACTACTGCCAACATGTTTGGGAGCAGTTAGGGCAGTTTTGTCGATGCGCTGGACTGAACTTGCAGTTGACCAAGTCGCATTTTATCTAAGTCGATAAAAATCATAAGCTGCAGTAAGTACACGCTTAACCAGTGTCCTCACCTCTTCCTCGGGCTGGGTCGGATAGTGTCAAGAATTGATTCAAGAACGTTCACCAGGACGTACCAAATTAACACCATGCCCACATCTATGTTCAATCAGTATCGCCGCCTTTATTGCATTTAGACGTTTACCTGGTGTATATATTGCGAACCCTGCGACAACAACGGTGAGTACGCCAAAGTTAATGGTTATAGATGACGTGTGCTAACCGGCGCCAATAGCACATTTTGGTGAATTGGATACAGAGGAAGTTCGTTGCAGATACGCTGAATGAGGGACGATTGAGCGAAAGTAAGAAGCATTTATAGCTGACCCTCGAAGCCTTCATAGATATTTACGGTCACGCCAATGACGGCAGTCGGTTTATCTGGGAGACTCAAATACTGGTGTTGGTTTGTCAACTACTACACAAAGTCCTTTCGATCATCATCCATCTAGTTGGTCAGCACGGCAAAGTTATGTTGAAGTTCTGGATCGCGTTTCACACCTCTATTTAGTGCACAAAAAATTCTCGTGCTTTGAATCTTAACAAAAGGCTGAGGCAGATTGAATATATGAATGTGTCCACGCATGCTAATTTGCGGCGTAGATTTGCTTTCAAGACTATTCATTTCAAGCAGGAAATAGTACCCATGTAAGACAACTTATACTAGAGCGAGGCGAACGCCGAAAGCAAAGTTCATCAATTCTGACTTGCATTTCAATTTTCTGATCAAGTTGAGCCATAGACGTGTTTACAAGTTTACAAGATGATATTCATCTTTGTCCATGTTCGTTATAGGATAATTAACGCATCCCCTTCAATCCAAAGTAAATTTTCACCCTATTCAAAACTCACTAATTCCCTATTATGCTCGACTGTTTCTATCGAGTCCATTGGCACTCCCAGACCCGGGCGAACAATTTCGTCATGTATGTATCGGATTACAGCTCCGGACGCTGAAATTACTTCGACATTCCCAACGTTACATACATACGGAGAGCTCCAAGCCTGTTCTATCAATGCTCTGGGAAACATCTGATAATGGCCTCGCCTGAAAATGTTCTGTCATTGTTTCAAAATTAGCAGGAGTGCTCCTAAAAAACATTAATCCTACTCTTAGAATACTCGGAAGCGTTGGTTGTATTTCCGTCAATTGACGAAACTGAACGATTTCTTCTCCAGCCACTTCTCTCAAATCGGGCCTCTAAGGCGGAATCAAAAGTCTTTATGATGTGGATGCGGTTAAAGATTGCGTCCCGCAATTTCGATGATAAGTCCACTCTCTGACTCACCCTTCCCTTCTGTCCGCGGCCCAGGAGATTCCAAAATTCCTCTGACGAAGTTTGAGGAAATACGCCACTCCATGCGTTATTCCTTTCAAGTCTGTAGACTCGTTTCTAGGATTGACAAGCCATCTTCACGTTCCAATGTTTTGAACTCGATATGTAAGTACTTTCCAACGGCTTCATGCTCTATGGCTTGCTCTCGGTTTTGATAATCCAGAAACCTACAACGAGTGTGGCATCCATGCAAGTCCGGAATGGGCTATATCATGATCTAATGTAAGATTAAAATGCTTGATGAAAGATACTACCCACTAGTTAGGTAGCGAGCTTCTGGCGCCAGCCTTTTGCAGCGCAGGTCTCGAAATATAGTAATCCTACCATTAAGAATTCTAAGACCGGGACTTCCGCTTCCTACTTACCTCCGTGCTTCAAAGTGCTGTTATGCCACAAAGTTTCTTCGGATTCAAAGGTGAGATCCCGAGGTATTATTCCTGGTGGAAATTATCGCTTTACTCGTCACGTCCTATTCCGGCAATGACCTCAAGAAGGGGGAAGGACGCCCCCAGATGAATCATTCCGAAAATTTGATTGCCTGTTCGATCTTCCAGTATCGATGAAGGACAGTCAACACAGGTCGCAGTACGCCACACCACACGCAACTAGCCACTACGTCAATCAAATGACTCGATTCTTGTCCTTTATATAAGTTTGGATTCAATCAGGTCCTTGCCTACTCCTAGGAACGAATAAAGGAGAGTTTGATCTTTATGATTCAGGGTTCCAGATATAAAAGGCTATCGGTGGCTACAATCGTTAATTGTGTTGACTCTGACCTGCGACGTGTTCGTTCTGGAGGTGAATTCGCAGTCCGCAGCTTTCTTGAGGGCTCGTGTTAACCGTCTAAAGTTGATAGTTAAGTTAATATGCAAGTGGACAACTGTGTCCTTCACAGAAGCACAAGTGACCTCGAGGTTTATTCCGAAGATCTCGTAGTACACTGTCTATTTTACACCTTGCCAGCGCGTGTCCAGGGATTCTGCTGCATAAACACACCGGTGTCTGGAGCGGGATAGTCAAATCTGACTTAGCAGCAGATGGTGAGAAGCGTTGCTAAAACCATCGCTACCACTATATATATATATTATTGATCAATCTCACCGTAACTGGCAGTTAGATACATGGTCAGAATTCTCGCCATATCTTTATAAAAATAGTCTGATGTCTGAAGGTTGAATACTTCAATCTCGAGCATTGTGTCCACAACACTTAGGTTGAAAACTTTCGAGAACAAGGCAATGAACAGCCCCTACTATGATAACAATACACTACAAAGTAAATAGATACCGAAAAACTCGATGACTAGGTACTACATCTGTGAGTCCAGGTACACATTCTACCTTTGGCGAACAACCTACCAATGTCGCAGCTACATATCCTGCCTTTGGTCCACAACCTACCAAAGTCGCAGCTACATATATTCCGATGTTGTTAAATAAGTTCTGCGGCATTTACGGGCATTTCGTCCTAGATTGACATAGAACTTTCAGCAAAATATCGGTCACTCTGTGAACTAATCACATACGATTTGAGTGCTGTAGAACATTTCTGAATAAGACATGAAGGAAGCATGGCAAAAGTTAGTAAGATGGAGACCAAATAATCGTTTCATTTACCAATATCTCGAAGGATTCGAACGTCGTCTACAGTCACAAACTGCAAGAGGATTTCCATTAGTGAAACCGAGTAAGGGGTCTATGTCCGTAAGACTTACGTTGATAGCTACACCCTTACGACCGAAACGACCGGACCGACCGATTCTGTGGATGTAGTTTTCACGATTTCTTTTCAAAGACTTAAGTTTTGAAAAAAAGGGGTACAAAAATGCAAACTCACGCGGGTAGATCGTAGTTGATGACCAACGAGACTTGCTGTACATCGATACCTCGAGCCCAGACGTCCGTCGTGATGAGCACTCGTCTAGAGCGAAGGTTAGGATGAGTCACAAAGGGGCGACACAAGCAACGAAGAACTAACGAAGTGCCACCACGGAACTCTGCCATGATCGCGTCACGTTCTTTCTGTGGCATTTCGCCATGCATCGACGACACCGTAAAATTAGAAGCGCGCATCTTCTCCGTCAGCCAATCAACCTGAGCAGTTGATGAGTGGAATTTGAGCGTGGCAAGGAGGCATTTCAACGCACCTTTCTTCGTGTATTGCAGAAGATGACGGCTTGTGTGATAGTCAAGGTGTCGTAAAGATCACACAAGGTGTCAAATTTCCAATCCTCCTTTTCGACAGCCACAAAGAACTGCTTAATGCCCTCCAGAGTCAACTCATCACGCTTGACGAGGATACGTATTGGGTCGGTCATGAACTTGGTTGTCATTTCCAACACATCGTAAGGAAGGGTAGCGCTAAGGACCACCACCTGCGTTGCTGGGGGAAGGTATCTATACACGTCATAAATTTGCTCCTTGAATCCTTTGTTTAACAGTTCGTCTGCTTCGTCAAGCACAAGCATTTTGATATTTCTTGTGCGTAAGCTTCGACGACGAATCATATCAAACACACGACCTGGTGTGCCGGAAACGACATGTTGGCCGTATTCAAGTTTTCGGATGTCTTCACCGATAGAGGTGCCGCCAATACATGCGTGACATTGGACATTCATATAGTCACCGAGAGCAAGGACGACTGACTGAATTTGGGTAGCCAATTCCCTAGTTGGAGAGAGAACTAGGGCTTGAGTTTCCCGCACAGTTACGTCGATGGATTGAAGGATGGATATTGAAAAAGTCGCCGTTTTTCCTGTACCAGACTGAGCCTGGGCGATGACATCGCGGCCTTGTGTTATTGGAAGAATGGCACGTTGTTGGATGGCCGAAGGCTTCTCAAAGTCTGGCAGGAAGTACAGATTAAGTACAGGTGCAGCAGACGAAAAATCAAAAATGAACTCACTGTAGGCGTAAATTCCTCTAACAAGGTCTTCCTTCAAACCAAGGTCATCGAAGGTTGAAACCACGGATACGGCTTCGGATGATTCGAAAACCAGTTTCTACAAAATATTCAGTGAGAGAAATCGGGGAGACGAAAGATACTTGCTTCGTCACCAGCATTAATTCCCGACATTATGATTTTACGAGTTGAAGGTGCGGAGCGTGGGAGTTATCAGCAAAATCAACTTACCTTTACACTTTCATGGACTCTATTATCGACGTCCAGCGGCAAACTCACGAAGAGATCGAACGCTTTGAACGGGCCCTTTACACACTCCTGTCCAGAAATACTTCCACTCACGAAGGCAAAGTTCAAAATGAACACCGCGCTGCGCAGGTGCTTGACCGAATATCGTCACGAGTAGTCGCACTTAACAATCTCTACGATGACAAGAATGCTCGGGAACAGGAAATCAATTCACTTTCTACGCCTCCCAATCAGCAGAATAATTTAGAGGAATTTTACTCGCGGTTAAGTAAAATACGAGAGCACCACAGCAAGTATCCTGACTCTGTCACAGGAGGCTTTGAATTGGAACTTGCTTCTCTGCTCGAGGAATCCACTCAGGATGACGATGACTATGAGGATGAAGATCGTACGCTGGACAACTGCAGTACTGTTTCTATGACGCTAAACGTTCTGTTACAGCTATTTCTTTACTATTTTCTGGAGAAGAGGTCTATGGAAAGTATCTTGACCTTTACGCAAACCACACCGCATACAATAATCTGAAGAACATTGGAAAACGTCCGGGTTATCTTCAGTACCTCGACCTGCTTCTAGAAGCTCAGAACGGCCCCGTTCATCGAGAACTATCTCAAGAGGCTCGTTCCACAAAGGATTATGAGGCGTACGTGTTTGTTACTCAGTATTATTTGGATCAATTGTCTCATTTCGCGGGTAGATACATCATGGCTTTACATACTTATCTTCTCTCTTTTACGAAAAGAACGCAACCTCTGGGCGACTTCGGGCTCCAACAGCAAGAAGCGACAGTCGAATTCGAGAGATCTTGGGTAGCAGGGGAATTAACCGACTGGAAAGAAGAGAGCAGCAACAGCAAGAAGACATCGGTAAATGGTGGTACTAATAGTAGTGGAATATGGTGTTCAGCATGTACGTTGCGCACCGATGGCACTTTGCCCTTCTCTTACCCGAAAAAAAAAACTTATTTAGGCCAGAAATATTACTCCAAGCAAACGGTGTACGATGCACATCTCACGTCAAAGAAGCACGTCAAAGCTTCCGTAAAACAAGCCCAGAATTCTGCCGATACAGCACCTACAAATCCCAACGGGCTTTCCACTTCCGCAGTCTCCGCGTCCTCCAATCTCAGCTCACTAAAAACCCGCCTTCACAATTCTGCATTACACACACACCTTGTCACCTCCCTCCTGGTCCCGCTTGCAGGAACCCTCAATGACACCAAGTCGAATGTCGAGCGTCGCTTTTCACTTACTGCTCGTGAGCGCGAGCAAGAGCTTCTTGAGCAAGCGAAGCCCAAAAATACCTCTGGGTCGGCTGCTCAGAATGGTCCAAGTGGTGATGGCGATGAAGGCGAGGGGGAAGAAGAAGAGGAAGAGAGGATATACAATCCTCTGAAGCTACCCCTTGGTTGGGATGGAAAACCTATTCCGTATTGGTTGTATAAGCTACATGGTTTGGGTGTAGAGTATCGATGTGAAATATGTTCAGACTTTGTGTACATGGGCAGGTACGTCGTTTGAGTATTCACCTTGCGAATCTATTTTACCCAGCCCTCCCCTGTAGGAAGAATTTCGATCGACATTTTCAAGAATCTCGGCATGCTTTTGGTATGCGTGCATTGGGCCTGCCGAATACAAAACATTTTCATGAGATCACGAAGATCGAGGATGCGCTTGCGCGTGAGTGAGATCATGCTCTCATCGTTATGATTCACTTACTCATTAATTTTACTAGTTGCTGAAAAACTTAAACAGGAAGGGAAGCATGAAGTGTTCGAACAGGAAACTATGGAGGAATTGGAAGATGATGAAGGTAACGTCTATAACAGGAAGACTTACGAAGATCTCAAAAAGCAGGGAATTATCTGATGCATATTTCTGTATCATTGTCCTCCCACATTGTATCTTTCTTGCTCGAAGAAATGCACGTTTTCGACCATTATTATAGACAGAACTTAGGGGCTCACACCCATGACTGCAAGGTTTGTGGGTCTGATGTTATATGACCATGTCCTTAGGAAGAACGAAATCGGCCAACGGTACTGTATATAACCAATCTAAAAAATGGGTGGTGGAGAAGGGTGCTTGCGAGTCACAGGGGTAGGACGGTCTGGGGTCATTATTGCCGCAGAGTAAAGCTCTTCATCCGAAGAAGAAGGCGAAGAAGATAAAGGAGAATCAACAGAACCGTCCTCGTCGAAGGGGTTTTTTGAGTGGCGATATAAATGAGAGTTGAAGGAGAGGATAGGTAGAACACCATCCGGCAAATCTGAGTTACAAAGATAGAGTATTGATAGACGACGCGAAAAGCACGACGAACCTGGCGTGTCCCACCATGTCTGTTCATCACTACTTGGAGGTGGCACTGTGGAGGGTCAGCGTTTGGCTCAGCTGATGTTTTCATTCATGACTAACGTTCATTCGAATGGAAGTCCTCTGGTAGCACCATCGATGCAAGTTTATCATCCAGCTTTTCCCCCGGTTCAGTATGGAGAACACTATCTAATAGTAGGCGAGACAGCGCAGCTCGTTTGACTGGGTCGATGATGCGAATGCTGGGTCGGAAGACAGCGAAGACTACATTGGTCGGAGGTCACTGCCTATGCATTCATGGAGGTAACCAACCATAACATACCGGGTTTATGATCCGAGCCTTTGAGCTCGGCTCTCGAGTACGCAGAAAGATCAAGTTGATGTCCACGGTACAATATACGATCTGTCCAACGATAAGGCTTGAATCTGTCGGAAAAGGTTGAGCGCACCCGTCCAAGCAGGTATTCTCATTTTTTCGCTTGAATCATAGTTGTCTGTGCCTAGGTCGTACCGGTAGCTCGGTCTAAAGAGCAAAGGGCCTTCTTCGTATCCCGAGAACGCGATACCGGCGTCCATAGCTTGCTTGAGCTGGAAACGACAAAATGAGTCGAGATTCAAGGGAGACTGTGAAAACTAGATTTCACCTGATCAGCAGCGAATAAAGTGTCGAATGAATTGGATTCGGCCAAAGACCTCACAGCCTCATTCTCAAGATCGATTCGATAGTTCGTGTCTGCAAGCCATATCACATTTCTGCAAAAGAAAGTTGATGGATACAGACAGGTCATTAAATCGCCACTTACTCATGGCTAGAGATTGTCTTTCCCTTGAGGAAGTGCAGTCCGGTTTCTATCGTACGATAGTCCATGTTTCTTTCTTCGACGTTTGCATGACCAGCAGCCAGATGTGCAGTTATGAAACAGAAAGTTGTGTCGTGATATTGCAGACGAATGCCCGCAGCACCTTTATTTCCGGACATTCCTCTGAGGCCAGTCTATCATCGACTGACATTGTAACACTGATTGGGATCTTTGACTTGGTGCGTACCTTCCGCGTTGTGGCTTCGACATTACGAATGACTGCAGTGAGCTCAGATTTTACAAAAACCATAAGAGCAGTGCCGACCAACTACGAAAACCGTCAGAGATAGTCATAATCGAAAACCTGAATGTATTCACCTGTTCACTGCGAAGCAACACATAGTCCGACTTCTTTTGATGACGTCGGTCCAGGGTTTCAAGGATTTTCCCCTCCCATATCCGTCTACCAACAATAAGTTTAACCCCCCTCAGCAAAGGATGAGATTCACCGCTTCTCTGGGTCTGCTTGGACTATTTGTTGAGCTGTAAGGGGAACGATCTCCTGAAATCCGAGCACAAACATATCCGGACTAGAGGATGTCTAAGTTCAGATACGAATATTTAGATGCATCATGCACTTGCTCGTCGAATGCTAATCCATAACAATAAGCAGCTATTAGTAGCTGTAGAAGAACAGACTCACAATCTCGCGGGAATAACCAAGGTATCAGAGATTCCGATGGCGCCTGCAATGAAAAGAGACTCAGCCGAGAGAATGATGATATCAAAGAAATGAGATAAGTATACGGACCCGACCGTTCAGATTCCAGGTGCCTACGAAAATGACGCATCGCTTATTGTGTGAATATTCGGGCAGTCGTTTGTCCAGCGCAGCTCGAACGGAGTCATGGATAGGGTCGAAGATAGTGACTTGTCTTTGAGAATTCATATTGCCCTGACTCGGAGTTCGATTGGGTTTCATAAAAGATTCTGACAACAACGCACTAAAAACATATCAATCGCAGTCTGCTTCGCCTTGTCTTGAAAATTGTTGATGTATGCCCGGGAAACGCTTTTGGTAGCATCTGAGAATACACCTAAAGGCTTTTCGTGAACATGAGATTCTGATTAAGCACACCTGGTAGAAGACCAACCAGCCAGGGTTCGCTTTCAACTTCGTGTATAACTGGTGTTCAAAGCACCTGTTCCTGCGTATATCTTGGATAAAGCGTCCCCATTTTCTGCCCACAGTTCCCTATGATGTAGCCAAAGAGTATTTGAATGTATCCATTCTCGACGGACGAGTAAGAGATATTGTTCTAGGGTAGTTCGAGATAATATGTCTTGCACAAAATTGGTCCGGTCGAGGCTGATAGAGAACAACAGTTTGAGGATTTCGGAGTAACGCGGTTCGGTGCTCACCAGTCTAAACAGTTAGTCCTAAATATGCCCCGCTGGTTTGTAATGAGATCATGGGAAGTCGTGTCGCACATCGTAAACCCAAATGAATCTACATGGTCAGTGATAGCCTCCATGCGTCTTACACCTCTGTTAGTGGCTGCATATAATCTGAAGAGGTAGGGTATACCTGAGTTCTCGCATGACGCTGTCATGTCCCCCAATCCTGACTTGAGAATGGAAGTCGAAATGAGTGATACTCAATTCATCCCCTAGTCCTGCATGAGCAATGCGGAGATGCCGATCGTACGCACTGCTTAAGATGGCTTCGTTTTCTTTGGTGCCGAGTAAATTTATAGCATGGGTAGGACCATACTCTTCTGTCAAGTGAACAAAATGTCGCTCAAAGGCAGGCTGAGAGGCATGAGGTCGGGTAATCTGTATGCGTTGTCCGAACGTCTGGAGTCCTTGTTGTTCCCAGAATACGGGTACGCTGCCACGGGCCTGCACGTAGCTTGTACAATGCTGGTCAGTACCAAATAATGTTTCTGTCTGCCAAACAGTCAAACACAAAATCATAAAGCATGAACGGAGAAAGGTGAGACAGACTTCAACAAAATTGGCGCAATTTCCGTCGTCGTCTACACCTCGCGTATTGAACCTTGTTCCTGCACGTTTCCATCCAAGGCGGGAAATCAATGAAAGGGTGGCGATGGTAGGAGATCCATTGGTCGGAGGTGCAGGAAGCGCCATTGAGAAAACGCCCACATAACCTTGGATTGTCAATATCTAGAACCCGATCAGCGAATCGAAATGTACAGTGTCGGATTGCAGACATACGATGAACTGGCACCGATCGAAATCGTCACGTTCAAGAGGGTCTAGGCGTTCCCTGAAATCAAGCAGACTGCGCGCGATGTATTCATTCCACACGAATCTTTCATCAAAGGTCCCGATATCATTGGAAATTTTGGGATCTCGCGCCAGGCGCCGTGTCAGCCTTGATGAAAGATCCCAAGAAGAGTCAAGAGCATAGTAAAATGTTCCCGAAGATATAATTTTGCTCAGAGGAGCGCATGGATGTTCGTAAGCTTGAGGATTGTTGTAGTCTCGATCTGGGGAGTCAACATTTGACACCGCGTCAATATCATCCCAAAGTGACGACGTAAGACTGTAGAATGCGACTTCGTGTATTCGAGCAACAGCCTCTGGAGCTGTTTCCGAGGGCCGAGTGTTTCCTACCTCGGCCGCGCTTGTGACAACCGCGAGGAATAATTCTACAACGATCCTCATGAGGATAGCTTACAGGTCGACAAATAATGAAGCCCACCATTCTCTACAGAAATCATCCCAAGACAGCCCTTCACTCCCCTCTGGGTCAGTCTGACAACATTCAACAAATCGACTTCATCTTTTGGTAAGAATTCAACAACAGCTTGTGTGCTGTTAACACCGGCACGAAATACGAGAGCTTTTCTAGGCTTTCCATCCCGTTCTTCAGAAGGGCTGGTAATGAGAATTAGAGTCCTCGGGTGGCTACCCAAATACAAGTACATGGAGCGTAAGAGACCAGATCCGGGCGCTTATTCCAGTTATATCGCTACACTTGCGTTGAGTCTCGTGTTCAAGCTTTAAGTTTCAAGCCTTTCAAATTCTTAAGATCATTTCGCTCTTTTCAAATCAACTCCAGTATCCGAGAACGGTCTTTCATACTCTGCATGGTCGAGCTATCTGTACGTTGTATTGCAAGTTCATGGTCCGTAGGATTCGTTTATATGTCCTTTCATCTCCAATTTGCGATCACCCTTTCTGCTCTACAGGACGCAAATAATGACCCTCTAATTTTGGTCCATTAATGAAATCCTATCTCTAAATCAGCGCAGCAACCCATTCTTCATGAGTTTGTCCTTGCCACGTCCGAAACTATGACCTGACACATAGGTTCAGTTTTCTGTAGACTAGAACATACGCGAAGGAAGAAGCGATAGTCCTGAAGATGTTCTGCATGGAAGTTAGAATGTCAACCATTGGAGTATGGATTCACGAGTTGCCTAAAACGATAAACATAGTTTGGTGGGAAAGTGCTATGGAAGGTATCATTCCACTACTTTGCGTTTCGGTCACTTCGAACAATATCATCCAGGGAAATTCCACCTTTCTCGCATAGACTGCGGAAAATACCATCTGTCTTTTGGAAAAGACTCAACGGAGTATCAAATTCCTGGGCATAGTCAAAAACTGTTACACAACTGGAAGTTGCTGCGAAAGAAAAGATACTCACTGCTACAGTCCCCTGATCCATAACTAGGATGCGATCGTACGAAATAATAGTCTGAAGACGATCTTTAAACGCAAAACTCATATCAACGGGATATCTTTGCAAAGATTTGTATGAAAATCCCTACGAGCAATGCATAGCATAGTACAGTTTTTGAACTGTGAGTGAAGACTCCTTTGAATCTTGGTCTCTGTCACTGGATCAACTGATGCACTTTGTATCAAGTCAGCAATCAGTCGTAGGGAGTCGTTGTTTTTCCTTACGTCGCCTCGTCCAGAATCACAACCTTGCTGTTCTTGACTAGAGCGCGCGCAATACTGAGTAATGCCCGCTGACCAACACTTAGATTCGCTCCCTCGGGTTCGACAACCGTGTCGAGCGTGATGGCTTGCACACTTGACTTTTCGTCCAAAGTCACGGTTATGTTGTCCGTCGAAGAATCAGATTGAGGATCCTCGACCAAATATGACCTATGGAGAGCATCCCACAGTTGTGGATCATCATATTGTGAAAAAGGATCGAGGTTGGTGCGAATAGTCCCTTCACATGACATTTAGTGGCCGGGATTGTTTGAGAGAGTGTATGATATACATACCACTAATCAACGTTGGCTGTTCGAAGCCCGATAAGTATTTCAAAATTCCAAGGAACCAAAATCTGACTTGCCTCTTGAGGGATCATAGATATTTTTGTCCTCAAGCTTCTCAACCCGATCTGCGATATATCAATCCTTTCAATTTTTAGTCAGCGATGTGTTCTGTTCTTCCGTCTGGGTAGAAGCATACCCATCAATTGTGATTGTTCCTTCAAAGTTGACAATACGGAGCAAGGTCAAAATGAGCGATGATTTTCCAGCACCTTGACGTTCATACTCAAGTCAATGTGCATATAAATATTGCTATGAATCAGATATCACCTGTGCGACCCACAATCCCGATTTTTTCATTTTCCCCAATCTCAATGTCCATATTGTGTAGAACGTTAGGTAGACCAGGTCGATAGGTCATGCAAACATCTTTGAAACGTATGATACCATCTTGGGGCCATGATGGAGGTGGTTCAGAGGCTTTGATTTCATGAGGGGGCTCTTGTGCAATGGACTCCGGTTGACCATAATGAACAGCTAATGCTGTAGTCAAAATCTTGAAACAATCAGATAAATTTTGAACAGGAAACCTCGTTCAACTGCATTCATATAATTCTGAGCTGTAGTCAGTCTTTCAGTTCTGAGATACGTAGGGAATGAAGACCAACCTCAATTTCCGCCGACTGTCTTGTTACTACTCCACATAATTGAGTGAGGGTCGCTAATTGTTGTGGAGTCAGTGTACAGATGGACTTGCAAAAAGAAAAGGAGTATACTAGAATATGTCAGGATTAGGCCAATTTGAGCAGCATTGATTCCAGATATCCCTATAACTGCAAATAATGAAACCTAGGAATTTGTTGCTCGGCTGTAAGTTTTCGAAAAAATCAATTAAACAAAATCAACCCATACAAAAAAGACGAGTATAGCTCCTAAACAATCAACCCGTATAGCAAGCCACCTGTATACAAGCTCTGAGATGGGTTTTTGATTATGTTTATAAAGGAGAAATACCTTTGTGTAGTAACAGTTATAAATAATGCTCGATTTTCGAGGTCAATGTAATATTGATTATCCTGAATGAATCTTGGAATCTTTCCGTAACTACGAATTGTTGGTAGGCCTGAGATTTAAGTAATGAATCATCTTGGCCAGGCTGACTTTTAGAGGTAAGTGTACATACCGGTCAGAGATTCCGAGACTTGAGCATAGAGCAAGGAGCGCAACATAGCATCTTAAATCGGGAGAATCAATCTTCAATTTAATGATACCTTGTCATATAATTACCAAGGCGTCTGATCTCTCTGGCACCTGCTTTATAGAATAAGGCAAAATAATAGTAGCCAAACGCAATCACAAAGACTGCGATGACTAAATTCATTATCAACAAGGCTGAAATTGATGTCAAATTTTCGCGAAGACTCACTAAAGTAGGGTTCAAGGATAGAAATGACTATCACAGCTCCGATGACATTCGCTATAGTCAGAATAACTGTAATACAGCAAGTTTCGGTTTCATTTTCAGATGAATTTCTAAAAGATCGCATACAAAGACGGACAGATGCTGGACTTCTGTGAGCACACCGGAAGTTCAGAAAGTTTGGACATGACTTACTCGGAATTTGATTGTCAATACCTACAATCATGTCAATATTTGACTACCCACAAATGCAATTTGAAATAATGTCAACATACTGTCAATATCCTTCCCAAGCAAACTCTGAATTCGACCTAACGGCTGCATTATACTTCAATACACAACAAAAGATTTCGTAGAAAATATAACTCACTGTCGTGTCAAAGAAAGACATTTGTGCAAATATAATATTGAAAATGACATCTTGATGCAAATTTATTGACACAAATTTTGACAATGTATCAACTGAAAGACCCCTGTAAATCAAATTTCAGAGAATATTCAATTTGACAATCAAGTACGGCAACATACATTAAAAATGTAAACATTGCTTGGGATATGCCCAGGCATGCATATAGGATTTGATAAAAGGAGAAAGGTTTGAGGAATGTACTTTATGATCACTATGTCAATATTGATATTTCAAGAAAGAAGAAAGAATACTCATAACATACTTTGCTTGCCACCAGACAAGTGTATAAGTGTTTACAATTTGACTTCCTTGCATGAGCACAATCGAAGCAACAATCAATGGGATAGTAATCAAGCCCCGGCCAGCTTGGACATATGACCAATAAACTTTGAAAAACAGTTGTCAAATACCAGGAATGAAACACTTTGGAAGACCCATACCAGACCAAGGCACGGATCCCGTGCTCCGTTTTTCTAGTTTAATGAGCTTTCCACCATCTTTTCCAGTCCCTGCACCTCGTTGCTGTGCATTAAAACCAGGCATTGCATCTGTCTGGGCTTCCACATTGTTTGACAATGTCTCTCCTTCTCCTAGGACTTGTAAAGGAAGAGGTGGGCTATTTATATGAAGTGGGTAGATAATGCCCCCTTCCATACTGTAAACTCTGTCACAATATGGCAGAATGTGCATGCTGTGTGTAACAAGAATGACAGTTTTTCTTTCTTGAATTAATGGACCAATAGCACCATGAAACAAAGCCCTTCCAACATGTGCATCAACTAAGTTTACCATTAGTAACAGCCACATGATGCACTGGTAAAGATAACTTCACCTGCAGAAAGTGGATCATCAAAGAGGAAAACTTCTGCATTGCTATATAAAGCCCGAGCAATACTAATCTAATCAAAGGAATTAGGAAAACATTCAGAACTTAGATATATCAGGAATTACTCTTTGCTTCTGACCACCACTAAGGTTGACTCCTTTCTCACCAATCTGACCAAACTTGAATATTATAATTGTGAATAGAAATGAAACCAATTACTTACCTCAGTTAAATCACCATCAGCCATAATTTCTAGATCAGGCAACAGACATGCAACTTCCACAACTCTCCAATACTTTTCTTCATCAAAGGGTTCACCAAACAAGATGTTATTTTTCTACAGATTTGATATCAATGATTGATTGTTGCCATACAAAACAAAACTTACAACAGTGGTATTCTGAATCCATGGAATTTGGGGGCAGTAAGCAACTTTTCCACCAAAAGAGAATGACCCTTTGACCACTCTCATTTCTCCAATGAGACCTTGAAATAGACTTGACTAACAGCAAATTTGGATGAGTGACCAGCAACTATTAGAGGCAGAGCAAAAACTGACTTTACCACTCCCACATTTGCCAACAATTGCTGTTAAAGAATGACATGGAATCTCAAGACTAATATTCCGCACTTGAAAAGGCTCCAGTTCTTGTGCATTATCAAAAGAGTAAATGTTGGGTTTCTTCTCTTCAGGTATAGATAGTTCCCATGTAAACGTCAGGTCCTTAGTTTGAAGAGCTGAACCTTGCATGGGGTCAATGATAAATGGAGTTTGCGACAAAATTTCAGCATGAAATATCTTTGATAATCTTGCCAAAGCATTCTGGGCATCTGCCGTGACAGACATGGCTCGAGGAAAAAACATCATTGGTTGTCTCAAGAGCTATGATCAAAAAGTAGAATGAGTTCAAGACCAATCAGGTGTGGACATTTGCTTCACCTGAAATAAACTGAGTGATGAAAAAACAACAGCAATGTCGAATTCTGCACTGAGTTTGGTATAAGTGACAAATGCAAGAGTTGCAGCTAGTACTGGTATTGAATATGCAAATGCAGTACTAGGCATATCAAATTAGTTTATAGGTATTTTCTTGGCAGAAAAGTCTTACTTAGCAGATTGGATGTTGTTCATTTTTTTGATACCAACCATTTCTTGAGTTCGAGTTTGTGCAATTCCTAAACAATTATTTTAGCCTACAAAAATCCCCAAATCAACGTTAATGAATTACTCTGGATGAAAGGAAATTCATAGGAGAAATACTTGACAATACGCATAGTGCCTGGAAAGGTTAGTACTGAACAAATTACAAATATTGACTAGCTTACTGAACACTTCTGCCAACAGCTTAGCTCGCCGATCAGTGAAGATATTTGATGCCTTCCGAATCTTCAGACGGTGCGCCATAACTTGGCTTTGTATCGGAGCAACCAGTAAGAAAAGTGCAAAGCCAGCCAAAGCTGAAGGACCAAGCTTCGCAGTTTTGTCAGCACAGATATGCAGCCACAAGAATACATACCTCCACCAGAAGAATAATAAGGCAGACCATAACCTGTATTGGTGCAGTCCATCCTTGTATGACATTGGCATAAATTCCCAAGTTAGATCCAGTATACATACCCGCATGCTGTGATAAAGATAAGTCTTGCTATAAAATGCCATTATGAAAAGATTGAACTCACAAACCACTGAGAAGCTGCATCAATTCGACTTATCTACACTCCATGATCAGAACAGTGTTTGGAGTTCAAGGACTACTCAAACACTCACGTCCGTTGAAATACTATTCACTAACTTTGCGTTTGTGTACTCTATGCGAGCTCTACCTGTCAGAACAACACTACGTTTGTACACAGAATTTGTCAATGCCCCACGAGCAAGGACACCAGTTGTCATAGAGCGCCAGAAGAACTGTATATTGGTTTCAAGATGGAATCGTGAATATATTAGTGGTTATATGTACCTGGTGCTGGCATATACTTGTGCATATCACCATCAAGAAGAGTCCAATTGCCATCGCGACACCTTTTCCAATGCTTGGTATCTCTGTTCCGTTTTCACGGGAAGCAGAGCGCTCCTTTGCAAAATTGATAATTGCCTAAAAAAATGGAACACCAAACATAAATCAGAGACTCCTCGACTACAGACAATGTAGAAAAAACCTTGACAACCAAAGGACCCATCATCTGACAGGTGTCTCCGAAAACCTAGTTGTGTTTCCGTGAGTGGTCATAAGTCGTTCATTGGGAAGCTGCTAATTAGATACCTACCTTGAAAGCTCCTCCGACCCAGAAAAGATGACCAAATACTTCGTTCAAGCTCCATGCAAGACTAGCATTCCGTTTTCCACCCACTTTGCGCCAATGGACTTCCAGAGACTGGCGACGACTACGAGGATCACTTGATGCAAGTGCCTTAACAAACCACAAAATGCGTCTCAGGGCTCCTGGGGCTATCTTCCCGAGCTCCAATTTCATGTTCCATTCGCTCGCCTGCTGTACTCTCCGAGTCCATGCGTTGTCTAGTTGCTCGGAAAGGTTTGCGGCAGCCATTGTTTCATCCATCTTCCAGAGATCAGAGGCTTGCAATGTACGTTGATAGCCTAAGACCTAGTCTCAGATTTCAGTCGATGCGCTCGCAGCGGTCAAATTAGAACGAAAAAAGCATACCATCAACGGCGTGACCCAAGAATATGTTAACTTTGAAAACAGAGACGCATTCACGATCGGGATGACCTGCACAAGACTGCTTTAAATGATAATCGATAAAAGAACGCCCGAAATTCGGCGCACAGGAGCGTCTGCCATGGTCTCTTTCGGAGGAAGAGGAAGAGCTTTTGGAATCCTAGTTTCCTGGGCGGTAAGCAAAACATCGACTGGAGGAAAAACAGACCGACCACAGCTGCCACCATTTTGTTCGAATACGAGTGATATCTTCACCTACGTCGAGGTGAATAATATCTGAAGGTATGTAGTCAGGAGATTGTACGCTGGTAGACTTAATTTCGCGTGGTTCAGTTTTTTCTGTAGACATCATGAGATGAAAATTGGACCCGCGAATCTTTATTCAGAGGACACAACATGCCTTTTAAACTTGCAAGACATCGGACCGACAATAATATGTTCGAGTGGTTTGGCTGGCAGTGGTATGAGAACAAGCAACAAAATTCCAGGTCAAGATTCACACGTTCTGAAGTTCATAATGAGCGTGTTATGCATGCCCTAGAACTGACGACTTTCTAAACCCCCTTCATTCCTTCTCCAAGAAAATATGACAATGATCTCGTATTAATCCCAGGTCGGACCGTGCAGCGCAGAAGAAATCCAAGTTCTCAGCACTTTAATTCCAGCCCAGCGTTTCACATACTCCAGGTCTGCTGGGGAAGGCTGGGGAAATTGATTTGTACTATCTCCCACAGACGGTTAAATCTACGTTGGTTGACCCATCGTCTAATGTATTGATTTTTCCTCTTTCGGGGCCGTGAATCAGCATGAATCCTTGTGCCTTTTCCGTTGATGCTACCCTTCTCCTCATAGAAACCTTACCCATTCTCCTCTTTATGATGATCTCCCACAAGATAAGACACTGTAGACCATTTGTCGAGGCTACCTCACCATTCAACGTTCCTATCCACAAACAATTTTAACGACGGGAGTCACGAAGTTTTCTAAGGTTCGAGCGCTTTATCTCGCACGATGCACGCAACAATCATGCGGACGTTGTTTCCCTCGTACTCAGGGGAATGAAAATCTCAAATGGACTTTTATACACCTGCACAAAAGATCCTCACATTCAGAGAAAAGGATATTCCCGGAGGATCATACTCCATTCAGGCTCCGAGTCGGACCTTTTATTCTAGACTAGAACGACCGTGATTTCTGGGACGCGAGACTACTATTGTTCATACATGGGGAATTCGCGGTGCGTAAAATATTGACATCTAAATACCATCATAGTAATACTACTATTGACCCAGTATGTAGATACCACATGGTGTAATGATTTTTTTCCCTACATACGTCCTTCGATGCAAACTCGAGCGACATGTAGATATACTAGAGCTGGGGTGTTGACTTTTCGCCACGGTAATGAACCAAATTGGGGAAAGGGGAATAGACATGCTGCCATTGAAACGTTAATGGTTTTGGTAAAGAAGAGCTGAGGAAATCTCACGTCGCGGTAAGAACCTTGAAGTCTCATTCTCATTAAACACTTCCCAGATACTACGGAGCTGCACGGGTCCAGCCACGCTTTGTGTAGTCCATGATCAGCAGGTATAACCCTTTTCAAATGGCGTCTGAGCATTTCCCATCCAGATCCGTCGTAATGCATCCCGAGAACGCGAATTAGACGTTGAACATGATTATGGATGAATGTGTGGTAAAATTTGGGGTACGCTTCTTCCACAGTTTCCGTTGCAATGCAGTGACCTTGAAGGAATGCGAAATCGGTGCCGATGGATTTCACTAAAGTTGGGGGGTGTATGCGCAGCCCACCGAGATCTCGAATTACGAAACCTAGGAGACGTCCAGTGCTTATATCGAATCTAGCGAGGACATTCTGCGCATGGGCTTCGAACGCAACGCCATTGTGTACAAGAGGCGGAATTAACGCCTCACAGGCAAGACGAAGGTAGCTAGGGGAGATTGGTCGGCGAGGGTCATTCAATAAACAGATGCTTACTGGTCTAAAAATTCTGCCTTCTTCTCGTTTGTGTCCAAGCCGAAAGTATGTTCAACAGCGGAAACTCCCTTCAGGCTACCAGTGTGGCCAGACTCCAACAGAGCTGCACATACGATCACATTTTCACCGTTTCGGGGCTGGAAGTAATTACGCAAGATGGCAGTAAAATGTTTTGCGAGGTCCGGATCCACACCTCGATAGACAGCGCTGGCAGGCTCGCACTCTATAGTCAGCAACTTGGGATCGATCGAAAGTTTGGGAACGACGATTTCAGAGAATCGCGGACCAAAGTCAGCTGTGTAGTGTGAGATTGTTCTCAGGGCAGAAGATATTTTGACCCCCACGGAAAGTTTCAAACTCATTCCCGGAAGTTCAGGAACGAGCACAGTCCTGAATTATATCAAATGAGAACCGCTCACAACGTCGATAATTTTGGGATTACCGACCTTGTACTTGATTGGGCAGAAGCGATGACGTGAATACGAGGATCGAGCGCTTGTGCGTCAGAGAATTTGGCGAGGATTGTATCCAGCTGAATTTCATGAACAGGCATAATAACCGTAGATTCGTCAGAGGGTAATTCAAGACCTGCATTTTGAGCCACGGTGGAAGCCAATTTTTTTATGATGGATTCAAACTGGCCCAAGATACTCAGGCTGGACCTCGGGACGCGAACAAAACAAATTTTGGGGTGTGTCCAGTCATAAGAAACTATGTCGATAGGTAACATTCGCGCACGATGCATCTAAAAACATTTAGAACCTTAAAGGGTTAAGGGTAACAAATCCTACTTACGGGGTGGGTCGGATGTCCTTCAACGAGACTTTGTTCCCATTCAATGGGTGAGCTACCGATGGAAGGGCATGTTGGCGCATCTTCATATGCAAGCCCTTGATTTCGGTCAGAAACGATTAGAAACAGGATCGACGTTGACGATCTAAACCTACTTTGCCAATAAAATGAACTGGACAATTCATTCCGGATGGAGTCCCTCTGTACCGTAGGAAGCACTAGTTCATTGGCAAAACGCGACCATAACAGGATGGGATCTTCAAGTCGTGCAAGAGTAGCATTCGCAAGTTTCCAAGGAGGAGGCGTAAGGACAGAGAAAACGGCGGTTTGAAATTGGGTTTCGAAAGCCTATATTCAACTTTGAGTTTAAGGATATAAAGATATGGCAATGAGGTTCAAAACTGACGGATGCAAAATGGGTTGAAGGGTTCTCTGTAACCTCGTAGATCTCAGGAAGCATATCAAGAGGATCTACAAGTGCAACAATGCTTCCGTGCTCTTGAAACACGCTTTCCAATTTGAGAATCGGCTCATGATATAGAGGGACAATCGCATAGATGTCGGAGGATACAAGAGCTCGAGAGATTGACGGATTCTCCGAGATAAGATTTGTAGAAAGTATAACCATGATCCCGGCTGCTGAACCGACATGAGGTGGGAGTGGAAGATAAAAGGCCCGTAATAAAGACTCGGTTACAAGACAGGAAAGAAGACGAGACCAGATCGCATATGCTGCGCGCGCATCTGGTGGTAGTTGAAAGGGTTCGGAAGGTATCATTTGCGAAAAATGCTTTTCGATTTCGAGACTCAGGTCGGGCAGGAAATTGGGCGGATGATTCAAAACGCGGAAGGTCCCCTTTTAAGCACCAGAACTAGCCATAAACGGGCTCCGGGCCAAACATAGAATTCCAAGCCGAAAGGCAGATGGCATTTCTAAACACAGACATATATGTCAGTTGCTCCATACCTATCTGAGTTTATTTTCACTCAATAAAATGCATTTTCAGTAGACCGTGTCTGTTAAGTGCTCAAATGGAAGATTCATCACAGGAGATGATATTTTCTCAAAGTAACAAGGAACGTCCTGAGTAGCGCAGTCGCAAAGTGAGAGCTTGGGAGCGAGTCAGAGACCTCAAACACTCTTGAAACTGCCAGGGCGCGTTTATTCTTATCAGATAAGATCAGAAAACGAACATCAGATAATACTACCCAGGCGTAACTCAGTTACTGCGCAAGTACTCGACACGGTAGCCCGCCACTGAACAAGTACTCGACGATGAGCCCTAAGACCGCCACTGAAATACACCATGCTGTTGCTATGTGCTTCCAGACTTAGTTTATTCACGAATTGATATTACTCGACAAGTTCCACATTGCAAGTACAGCTGAGCTTTCCAAGGCTTCACATCTAATTTTCGGCAAGCGATGCGCAGCCATCCCTTCGCAGGCGCCGAACATTGATTCGGGGTGGTCCCAAGGGATAGGTTATTCTTCAATTCTCAAGCACGGACTCGCATGATTCGCATGATTCGCATAGTGGAATAAAGCCAAGGATTTCCCTATTTCTACAAGACATGATGGGATTTGCTAGCCTTCGACAGAGCAAGAATTGATGAAAAATCGCCTAAAAGTCACCAAGGGCCAAGAGGTATGCTAGTCGGGTGATGGGAATAACGTTTGGGAGAGTGTGCATGGGGTGGAGGTGCATGCCTGACGGCTCGCTTTCACGATATGAGTTGCTTGTGGATGAGATATATCTTCAGAGATAATTGGTCGGAATAGAGGCGCTCCCTTCCAAGCCTTGAGGGACTGATCGTCGAATGGCGGGGCTTTCATTAGCATCAGGTACGAAGACACCGTTGAAACATATTGGTGGATTCAAGCTACTCACAACATACCAGAACTGCCCTTGATAGGCTTACACGACACAAAAACCTCTGAGACTATTACTCAATACCTGAGTTACCGACACAAGGGAATCAACAATTGAATTCTCATGGTGAATGCTCCGTTCGCAGATAATAGCATACTCTGGGACAGGAAATGAGGATCATGGGATTCTGCGACTATGGTTCCCAAAAATTTGCGTGTTTTGTCCCGAGTAGAGGAACGAAGAGCGGAAAAATCATCTTTGGTGGGATTTCTTCAAATGACTGGCGAAACCTGGGTGCAACAGTGATTATGAGCAATGAAGAGAAGCCAATAGCCGCAGGAAAGATAGTCACTGAAGTTGAAGAGTAACTCCGAAGCTACCTCGAATCTACTGAAGTGAACAGAGAGGAGGTCATCGTAATTGGAGGACAAACTAGGACAAAGTCAATCAGTTGTAAGCGCCCACTTCACTTCCCGGAAGCTCCCCTTAGGGCCTGTCCGGGGATTCTACCAAAACCATGCGTTTTCTGAGTACCGGGGCCGGGAGTCCAAGCAAACTCGGTCAAAACTCGTGGGAACTCTTGCTCAAAAGGGAGATTTTTCTATTATTGTCAAAGGAAAGGTCCTTGATTCAACCTTGATTATGTATTTGCCTCAATCCTACCCAGGTTCTACATACTCCCCTGAGCCTCGCCGAGCCTCATTCACCTAAAAAATCTCCGTTCCTCTGTTAAGTTTTGACGGGATGCTTGAATGGACCCCATCACAAAGAAGGCATGCCCACTGTTGGTGGCAGCTGATCTGCTGACGCTCGAATTCTGAGTTCAAACTTTCATTGAAGTTCAAAGTCTTTGGAGTCCAGTCATGTTCCCTACAGATTCTGTCAGCCTCGCTTCGATACCGACGTCCTTTCTTGTTGGGATAGGTGATTACGAATTGCTCACACTCAAACATCTCCCTTGACAACTTCAACCCTTAACTTCTCGTGGTTTTCTAGGACTCATTATAATTACCATTGCGGCTATATACCAGCTCGTACTGTATCCCTTCTACTTATCCCCTCTCCGTGCTCTTCCTGGTCCCGCTCTCGGTCCGAATCTATTAATCGGTCAGACCACTCATATGTAGATAGTGCATTTATGACTCTGACCGAGATATACCTAGGACGCTTTGGCGACATTCTCAATGGAGAAGCCGGGATTCCTCAACGAGAGTGGGTTAAGAATCATGGCAAAGCTATACGAGTCGTTGGTCCGATAGGGATACAGAGAGTCATTTTTTCTGGTGCGGAATCCCTGCAACGGATACTCGTTACTAATTGGATTTCCAACCCTCGGGTAAGGGAGACTTGTCGTCCTCTTTCGGTGTCAATCGAGTACTTAGCGAACTTTATAGCCGGGTTTCATGCGCGATACTCTTGGATTGGTAGCTGGATATGGCCTTCTGACCGTCACTGGCGATCGCCATAAGCAGATGCGAAAGGCCATGAACCCAGCATTCTCTATTTCTAATTTGACAGCTCGTGAGTATCATTCATCTCAATCCGTATCTGAAATTGAACGTGCATTAGAGACGGACATGTACTACGATGCTATCGACAAGTACGCAAATTCTCTACAAACCACATTATACTCTCTCATCCGAGTATACATCAGCCTCCTGTCTATCTTGAACACTCGTGTCGAAAAAGCGCAAGGGGGACAAGGCTCAGTTGAGATTATGTATGAATGGAGTACGTTGTTAATCACAGCTTCGAGTTCTACATTTTTCACGTCTCGCGATGGACAGTGAGTAAAGTCACGCTCGATATCATCTGTCTCACTGGACTAGGGTACGAAGCCGACTCCCTTCGCAATCCTCATAATGAGTTGGCGCAAGCTTACGAAGAACTTATCTCCCTTCAGACTGGTGTGCATCTTTTCCAGTATCACCCTCTGCAGGTTAGAGGCTTATGCTGTGCTATAGGTCGCAACCTCGCACAACTCATTGTAATTCTCTCCATCCCCGGCATGTCGGCGTTCCTTCGTTCAAGATTTGCTTGGAGACGTCGCAAGCTACTTGCAAAGATTCCTTTGTTATGTATGGTCTCTTTTTCCTACCGCACAAGAATCCATTTCATCGTACTCATCATTGTAGCTCGGGCAGCAATCCTCGTGGACGCGATGCATCGTATCAAAGCAGTATCTGCTTCTATTCTACGTGAAAAGATGAAGGAGGCCGAGCATCTGGGAAATAATGAAGACACAGCGGCGAAGAAGGACATAATGAGCTTACTCGTTCAGGCTCGTATGGCTGATCTGAAATCTCATAAATCTGTCGGAGGTGGGATGGGACCTGCTCCGTACGCCATGAGCGACACGGAGATGATGGATCAGGTGGTAAGTATGACTATAATACGAATGAATTCGGTCGAGATTGCTGACCATACTCCTAATAGCTTACTTTTCTAGGCGCAGGACATGAAACGTTTGTTTTTTTTGACTCTCAACCCTCATTGTTCTTTCAACTTACACTTCGTCCACAGTACGGCGTCAGGTCTGGCTTGGGTGGGTATCATTTCGTCACACTTTCGTGGCGTCTCCGGGTTGACCGCTGTTCGCCTAGACTCTCTGGCTATTAGCCAAAGATCCCGTCAGTCAACAGAGACTTCGCGACGAGATTACTCCTCTCCTCGAGGCCTCGTCTGATGGTCTGTGGAAGGTTAGGCTAGGGTATCGGGAACTGAAAGATCTGGTTTGGCTGGATTGTGTCATGTAACGGAGTCCTCTCTATCCTTGACAAGAAACTAACTAGATATACTTTTAGTCAGGAATCTCTTCGACTATACCCTCCTGTGCCGATGACCTTCAGGCAGGCAGCCACTACTGACCACGTCGACGGTGTTGTGATTCCGAAAGGAACACTCTACTACATCCCGGTACATATTATCTATGAAGTCAACTGCACCATAGTATCTTAGCTATACTTCAGATCAGAGTTGTCAACACACTCAAAGATATTTGGGGAGAGGATGCAGAGGAGTACGCCCGATTTCTGCGTGGATAGCAGTGTTCTGAATGAGGATGGACTGCATAGATTCAATCCCTTACGTTGGTTACCGGAAAACAACTTTGGGCAAGTCCCGTCAACGTTGACTTTCCTTGCTGGGCCGCACGCGTGCATCGGCAAAACTATGGCGATTATAGAAATGAAAGCTGTCATTGCTGCGCTCATTGCAAACTTTGAGTTTTCACCCTCTTATCAAGGCCAGAAGGCTATTCCTACTGCTGCTGTCACCATGAGTAAGCGATGCATTCTGGTATCCATTACTTAGCTACTGATTATATTATTCTACTTAGAACCAAAGGATGGAATGCCATTGCTAGTCAACAAAGTTGTAAAGTAGTACAGAAGCTGCTCGAATCAATCAATGAATCCATTTTCATACCGTTGCTGCGTACACGAAAACCGTACTCCCTCCGATCTCTTTAATCTGTCCTTCTAAGAATATGTTGATCACAAATCATAACTAAGGCATTGCAATATGTATTCTTCTACTTTCTCCTTTGTGGCATAAATATGAGTAGTAATACTTGAGATGACTGTAAAGTCTCTAACATTATTGGCAGCCAAAAATGTGTCCGGAATTTGCCGCCCAGTATTAACTTGACATAATAGAAGGTTCGTTGACTTGTCACTCAGGCTCTACCATCGCAGACCGATGAGGATAGTTGTAACTGGTCGAGCTCGTCAGAGCCTCGATTACGCGCCTAGCCTCTCCTCGTCGCTCGCTCCGTCGTCCAATACAGGTTCATCAGTAACAGGTAGGTTATCTCACCTTCTAATCCGAATTCGCCGTTCATGCTGACTCCCCATCGACTACAGCGAGCTCTTCAACCTCCACCTCTTCGGCTCAAAGAGGTAGCCTGGATTTGCTTAAGATGGATGTGAGTGTTTCAATCTGGACTTATAAGTTACATACCAAACATGGAGAGTGATCCTCATGTTAACTATGTTCTCGTGCCTAACACGTGTTGACTGGATAATTTGTTTCGTCTACGGTCTAGTTCTCAACGCTATTGCGCTCTCATAGTACCAATTCTAATACTGGGAGGAAACAGTATCCAGTTTTACTTGTGCGCATCTTGCCCGTAGTGAAATCATTCCTTGAAAAAACTTACAACTGGCCGGTTTAGTCTGATCGAACTGAAGTCGTGGTTGTTGATGGAACCAGAGAGGCGGAAATGTTTCATACCCCAGCGGAAGACCGTGACAATTCTGACCGCACTGCGAGAAGGAAGAGCAAGTCTGAGAACAAAGTGCGCCTTGTCCCTGTATTTATTATTGCAACACTCTCATTGACGGTCATTACAGTTCTATAGGTTTCTGACCCGCTCCAGATCACGCTCATCCCCGAGAACAAATGCTTCCGCGTCCATTCCTGAGGAAATTGCCTCAGCCGTCCTGGAAAATCCTCAGAATCATGAACATTCGATCCATTCTCGCGATTCCAGTTGGTCATCCGTTGGATCATCACAGAAGAGACCTGTGTCCTCAACGACTTCCACCGCTAAACCAGCCACCATCCTACAGTCACGACCACTATCCTCGACTACGACAGCGACAAATACGACCATTACGCCGCCAACACCTAAAGCAAGACGACAGCCATCGCCTTTGATACAAAAACCTCCGGAACCTTCACCTTCAGCTCCGAAAAGTCCAAGATCTGCGAAGCAAAGGCTGCACAACATTTTTGGTCGAAAATCTTCTATCAGTAGCTCGAGAGACACGAGTCCTGGGCAATCAAACACTGATTTAGAAAATGTCCCTCCAATTCTGGTTCATACCGATAGCTTCCCCAAAGAAGGACGTGGTAACACGCCACATTCAAACCGGAATTCGGTTTCACGACCAACAAGTCCTTCACCTTTCCCACGGTCTAGACAGAATTATTCCGAGCCTTCTACCTCGACAACCAATTCCAATCTCAATTCATCATCAAAACTGGAGAACCTTTTCAAACCGAAGTTCTTTTCCGGTTCCCGCCGCGCACATTCACCCCCTCCTGCAATATCGTTATCTCATTCGAGTAATGAAGTTTCCCCAATGCCTACCCCTTCATCCTCTAATTCTGGATCATCGAATGCGAATAATCATGTGCTGTTCGTTTCGGGTCCTTCGAAGCAGACATCGACACCTAGAATATCCCGGAGAAGGGCTTCGACGAATGAGTCGATATCGTCGGTTTCATCTGTACAGCGTGCTGCGCAGTTATATGCTCCTCAGCCCCGTCCTGCGCCTGGTTCCACCACAGTAGCAGTGTCGCTACCTGTACCACGGATAACCCATACTCCTGCGACTCCTTCGAGATCAGGGACTGCACCTCCTCGTTTGAGTCAAACGCACAGAAAGGACTCTCTAGATTCCGGTTACAGGTTCCGACCATTGGTTATGGATATGGTTGACGAAGAAAGAGATTCCAGAGAGGTGGATGTCAAAGGAAAAGGCAAAGAGACTGATGACTTGATTCGTTCCAGGACCTCCAGTAAAGGGAAGGAAAGTGACCATTCGTCTGCTTCCGGCCATAAATCCTCGTCCGCCAATCATCATCATCGACAACATTCTACTCGCCACCAAACAGTCAAACCGAAGACATCTAGTATCACAAATATTCGCTCCGTGAAGCATGGATCCTTTGATTTTGAGAGGCCTGGTTGGGGATTGGGTGCCAGTAGTGTCACAAGGAGCTTGAGTGGAACATCAGGTAACTCGGGTGTTACCGGCTTCAGCCGTGGAAGGTATAGCAATCGTAGTGGCGAGAGCGTAGAGAGTGCTTCACGAAGTAACAATCAAGAACTGGAAAAGAAAAAGACTACAGATCTAAAGTCTAAGTCTTCTTCCAAACGGGAGGAATACAAGTCCCAGAAACGGAATGCCCCAGCGATCGATGACCCCGCGCCACCGTACTCACCGACGCCTGCCTCCACGGACCCAGGTCCCGGAAGAGGACTTTCATCCTCTCTAGGGCGCAGTGCAGGAAAACGCACGGGCATTGCACGTCTCATAGGACTTGGGGGGTATACTGCGCATGGGGCTTTTTCCTTCGAGCCACCTGTGCCTTCCCCGATCTCGCCAACGTTCAGTCATGCAAGTCAGGAAAGCAATGCTGACAGTGGCAGGCGGGAAGAGAAGGAAAGGGAAAAGGAACAAAGGAGGGTGAAAGAGGAAGAAAAGGAGAAGGAGCGCGTGAAAGATAACCACCGATACTCGGAGCAGGATACCCTCGGCGTATCAAGCTTTTCTGGTGCGTCGCGGAATCCTGGAAGAAAGGGTCGCTCTCTCGACCTCGGCATAGGGCTTTCTTGGGCCCCAACAAGAGTTCGCGAAGACGTGCTACTACCTGGAGGAAGATTTGCAAATGGAAGGGGTTTGAATGGGAGGATTAGTGAGAGTACCAGCTCGCGCAATGGGCTTCGGGTTGATAGAGCCAGAGCCGTCGATGAATTTGGTGTGGAGGAACGATCGAAAGTGGGCAGAGACGTTGCGGAAATGTTCAAGAAGGCATTGGATCCCGAAGGATACCGTGCTTTTAAGAAATGTGAGCTGACCCTTATCTAGCGGCCGCGTTTTTTTGCTGATTTCTGTACCTTTACAGATGTCCACCAGTTTGATGCCCATGAAATCGCTTTCGATGGTCCGAATGGAATCATCGCGCGCGCGCAAAGGCTGTTAGATAAACGAAGTAACCTGGGGGAGGAAAGCAAGAAGAAGTTGGTTGACGGACTGGTTAAAATTGTGCTTCAAAATGCATGATTCGAGCACTCCACACGCAAAGCCGAAGTCCCATTTTGGAATTGACTTCTTCTGGTGATCCTCTCAAAATCTAGTTCGTCTTATTTCCCATTCCCCATCTCTTCCTTACCGCCCACTATCTCCCTCGGTCCCGGCTTCACGATCCTTTGACTTTCGACGGCATCTCAATTCTCACATTGCATACAATTCCTCTTTCCATGGTCCATCTCGCTGTCGGTGTTTTCCTAGAGTCCCTATCGTCGCTCTGCATGTATCTCGCATCTCAATTATACTATGTATCCCATTTCTCTTGTTATTATTGTCCTTCCTTCTGTCACGTACATTTATTACTTCAATGCTTGCATGATTTTGAACGAGATCCATGGCTTTTCATTTGCTGTTGCTATCTATCTATTTATCTATCTACGACTATTTACAGCGTACGCTATTTTTCTAGGATTCCTTGCTGTTTGCTCATGATCTTCATATGCTTGGTCCTTTCTTCTTAACGCTTCATAATGTTCATGATTTCCTTTTTGACATTACCCGACTATAATGTGTTGCCTTTGCCCTTGTTCGTTTTCTTCATTCACACACTACGCATTTCTTTAATGTTATACAGTTGACAGTTGAAACTAAGCAAAATAATCCTACAATAACACGGTCGAAATTAGTAGCGTTACGTATGCGCAGGCTGACGATCCTCACTACACCCTTATTGCGTCGCGGGCCTCAAAGCCCTCAGTCTTTCGGCCAACTTGTCATCTTCCTCCCCGATTTTATCCTTCGGTGCCGCCAAATCTGGGACATTGTCCAGGTCCTTCGCAGCCAAATCGTGCTGAAGTTCAATATTTGCTTCTTCTGCGGTCTGCTTCAAAAGTTGATCTATCTGGTCTTGAGGTGTGGATGTGGCGGTGGTAGCTGACATAGTGTCCTCCATGTACGAGGTCTGTACATCCAGGTCGGCGAATTGAGATTCGAACTTGTCCATCACGAGTGATATCTACGAAGGCAGGACATCAGGAAGCTGCACGGATGAGAATCAATGGATCTGACCCTCTCTAGGTTCATCGAGTCCATAGCTTTATCCATCCCTCGTACGACAGATGTCATATTCCCTGTCACCTGCCGCATTGTCACCGCTGTCTCGACTCGACTCGCTACAGCATCTATGCGGCTGGATAACCGCAGTAAATTGAGGGCCTCACTCTTCTTCCTTATTGCATTGGAGGCATATATCCGTGCGCCATCGTTGTTGCCTTGTTGTAAAGCCTGACTAGACCTTTAGTACATCATGGATACAAGCCTTGCAGAGCCCGAACCTTCTTGAGTCGTGCTTTTTCAGAATTCTCGTCCTTCTGAGCTTTCTTTGCTTGTCTGTTCAGAGTCTTGGCTGTGAACTGGATTATGATATTAATTTATTGTCATTTGAAGCGCTGAGTACCCTCAATTACCTTCAGTTGAAAGAGGGTTTCTGGTGAACTTGAGTTTCAAAAATTTGAGAATACAAATAGTACTCACTCTCAAGATTGCTCATGGTGGTCGGTCTATGTATCCGTTGGGTATAACAAGTCGCCCCTTTGCGCATTTGATTACAAATCTATCCATGACTTGAAGCGCCTCTTCGGTCCGTGCCCAGCTAGAGTTTCTTCCACACTGCATCCACGGACCCTAATCTGTTGTAACGCTTATGGGCGTGCTATTCTATCTTAGGTGAAAAGTGTCCCTTTTCCCTCACATTTGTGTGCTTAGTCTTTTCATTTCAGCTATGTTGCCATTCTAGTGACCTTTGCTTTCATCACATTGTCAATCGCGAGCGGGCTCCTTTACATCTCCGAACTCATTGAAGAGCATTCCCAACTTGCAAAAATTGTGGGTCAGAGGACAACTTATGTATGTATAACCCCTCTGCAATACAACTGGTGGCTCACTTTACTCTTAGATCATCATACTGTTCCATGTAACTCTTTACTTCACCGATGCACTACCGCTCAAGCATACTCTCTTTTCCATTTTCTGCCATATGGTTTACCTTCAAAACTTTTCAAACACATGGCCAGTCATCCCACTCACATCGTTTGTCTTCCTCGCCTCTTGCTTGTTGGTCATCGCCGACCATTTTCTCTGGTTCTTCCACTTTGCACACCTAACGCAAGATGCAAGACACCAGAGGAACTATCAAGGGCGAGGGGCAATAACAGCTCCATCATTCACAGAGATCGTAACTTTCTTCGGCGCCTGCGTATGGTTGACACCCTTATTTATTTTTCTGAGTCTCAGCGCCAACGATAACGCAATTCCGCTCCGGTCAGGTATAGACTTTTTTGCTATGAGCTTCGGAAGATATACTCATAAGTCTCTTTCAATGCAGCTGAACCGAGTTCTCCCTCCGTAAATAAGACAAAATTTGCTCCTCAGCAACCTCGCCAGTCGCTGCTACGTTCTATATTATCGAAACTTCCAGGATCCAAGTTCTCCCGCACCGAAGGTCTCATTGCTCCTCCATCTCCTTACCACTCGGCATCAATACCGTCTGACGATACGGCTTTGCGCTCGCCTTCCATTGGGGGCTTGTATCAAAACGCATTATCTCCTCCACCGAAATCACCTGGTCCTCGACAATCGCAGGACTTTTTCTCAATCAAAAATTCAAGCTCAGGCAGCTTCCAACTCTCTACACCTCCGCGAAGGTCACAATCGACGCTTCGGAGCAGTAATATTAGAGAAGGGGAGGGTGCTGAGTTAACTCCGAAAAGAATAGGGCTGGGTTTACGAAGGGCAGCGAGCTCAAGTGGTGGACCTTTGGGTATCAAGGAAGATGATTAGATTCATGATGTACTATTCGCAAGTGCTATATAGCTCAATGTTGAAACGAACTTGAAGACCAGCGAAGGCTTGAAAGGTACTAGCTATTACGGTAGCTCCAAATTTGCTTCAGTTATTCTTCTCTTTGAATCTCCGATGTTAGTCTGGCTAATGCTCGGAGAGAAGGACTCGGACTCTTCGTATGAACACATTTGTCAGACTCATAGCATATAGTAGTAGTAGTATTAGTAGTACATAGTACGTCGATTGCGCGACGCGTTGCGTGAGTCAGTGTATGATTTACACGTGACTATTACTGGCTATAAATGTGGCGTTCTTGGTTTCTACTCCACTCAATTTGCAATTAACTCAAAACTCCACCATCATCATCTCTTGACTGAACTTTTCACAACCTATCTGTTTCATCATCATATCTAGTGTGCTCTCAATATCTTCAATAAACAATAATGGTATCCAGGAAATCAACGAAAACTGCGAAGCTCACTTACGCCGAACGTAGGTCTTCCTCTACTCAACGCCATTTTCCCTTCCATTTAACAGCTTCATGATGAAGGGATTGTCTGTGCAATGCATGCTTTGCAGAAGTCTCAACGCAGGGGAGGTTTTCACTCGGCATCCATCAAGGCTCAAGGTACGTGGGCCACTGTTTCCAAGTCTAATTCAACAAAAACCTGACTGAGGTATGTTGATCGAAGTGCGAAAGGATGCGGAGGAAAGAAACGATAAACTTGGTCCGCAATGGCCTACATGGGTGATGAAGGCCCTTAATCGATTGGTATGCCTTTCGTGTTACTCTTCATCTCGCTCTACTTACCAACGAGTCATAGAATGAAAGCGGGCTGCTTTCGAGAAGCGTCGACAATCCTGCACACTTCGAAATGAGTCCAGCTTCCAAGAAAATGTGGGAATTTTCAATCTTATAGTTGTCCGCTTTTTTATTGTTCTATTGTTTTTTAGACTGAAGGAAAGTGAGCGAACATTGCCTGTCGTTGGGCCTCTCGGAGAAGAATTTCTCGCAAAGCACCTGTTCCGAGCCACTGCTGGCAAGAAGCGACCTGCTGAGAGCGGGATCGACAGCACACCCACTAAGAAGTCCCGTGCAACGCGTACCTTCAAGGAAAGCGCCCCACGGAGCCCATGGCTGAAGAAGAGAAAGGCTGAGGTATCTATATTACTGACAAACTATCTATGTGACCTCTCACCTCTGACGTATCACTAAGCTTGTTGAAGAGATTGAGCGTCTCCAAAGAGAACGCCTTCAAAGAGAACGTCTCCAGTCACTTCAAGTCCCTTCCCGTTCGCCTTCCCCTCTCACCGATCTGGATGACAACGAAGACGTAAGGATATTTGATACGGATGAACACAATGTCCCTTCGCAGAGCCATTCAAGCACGCCGGAGCTTCCTACTCGTCCATCAACACCGGTAGAGCCTGATCAAATGTGCGGTTGTTCCATGGTACTCGTCAGTTGCCTTTTCTCAATTGGTGCCTTCTAGGTCTTTCCCGTCGACGCCTGTTCGATTACATTCAAGCTTAACTCGCAGCAGACCGCTCCTTCAAGTTACGCGCACCCATTCTGGATCTTACATAGCTAATGGTCGACCGACCCCAGACCCACCAGAACCTGCAGACCGAGATATTCACCATGGTCTATCTTTGATAATGGGTAACGCCCTTTCCGACAATGAATGTCATAGTCCTGTTATCAACAGACCCAATGGTCTGGTTACTCCTGGACCGACGCCTGCACGAACTGTCTCCTCTCACGGAAGCATACACAGTCAGACGGTCAGTTCCGCAATCCTTCACCCGATTCATCCAAGCTTATTGTAGTTTTGAAATGTATAGATGGCCAACGAGTTGGCTCGTATCTCGGAAGAGAACAAGCAGCTGCGGGCCGTTGAAGCTACTCAAGCTTCTGACATTGGCAATCTGAATTCCCAAATCCAATCACTACGACAGATGAATATCGACAATAAAGAACGGGTTACCACACTACTGGCTGAAACTTCGACATTGCAGGCTGCTTTGGCTCAATCTACTCAGCGTTGTTCCTCTTTAGACGCACAACTCTCTGCTGGTACTGCAGAGATCGCTTCTTTGCAAGTGTCTTTGGATACAAAGAATCAGCAAATCACAGATTTCGTCCAGAAGCTTCAGGATACTAATACGACGCTGGAGGCTCGTACTCAGGACTTGAATTCTGCTCAACTAGTAGCAGCGAAACTCGAAAACGATCTCGCAGCTATGACATCTCAATTGGATAACCGTGAGGTCGAATTGACTTCTCAGCTTGTGGCTGCCAAGCGGTCAATGGAAGATACATCCAGCACTCTACAGCAGAAGACCACTGAATTGAGCAACCTTCACGAGGATCTTCGAAAGGCTCAAAAGTCTGTCAGTGCTTATCAGGAAGAGTTGGAGGCCCATACAGCGGCACACGCGGCTGAAATCGGGGAATGTAGCGCCACCATAGATTCTTTGCGCGCCTCACTATCTTCCGCTGACACAACAGCGGTGGACCTTCGCTCAAAAATTGGCCTGTTGACGGAAACGTGCACTCAGCTTCAAAGCAAGCTTGAACAAGCAGCATCGGACAGGACTCGCCTTGGCGAAGAACTAGCAGTTGAACGTCTTCACTCTGCAACTATCAGAGGGGAACTTGATCAAGCTCTCTCGCGTATTCATGAAGCAGAACAAGAAATGGGAGAAATGGAATCATTGAGATCTGAGGATGCAGCGACCATCATGAAGCTTCGAAATACCATCGAGAGGATTCATGTTGCTCAGATGGAACAGTGGGCGGGAATTACTCAAGAGGTATGTGATTTTTTTTCTGTTCCTCAAAGCGATTCTTGCCAGTCAAATTTATTCCTCGTTGCAGGTTACACAAGCTTCCCCAGCACCAAGACGCCCCAGGTTCTCCATCTAAGAACATTACTATGCGCATTGACATTCTACTTATACTGTATATATTTCTACATACTACTGATGTTCATGTAGTCTCAGTATTGCTCGAATTTATGGACAAATATACGTAAACTTTCGCATTGGGAGTTTAGATCAAAAGTGACTGTCGGGGTTCAAACGCGTTTAAACAAACTTGCGGTTCCAGTTATTCGCTTTTTCTGATGCAACTTCCACTGTCACGTTCTTTGAAAGCAACAATCGTCATGACTGCCAGAGCGAGCTTATTTTCTTTCTGATTGTGTTTCTCAAAATCTTCTCAGACAGTCAGGTGAACGTTGAAAGCTGCTGAAAGGACCACAGTAAATACTAAAATTCGAATTCTCCATTCTGGATTGCATAGGAAATTATCGGGAGATGCCATCCTGACAAACATTATATCCCAGGCTCGACGATCACCTCCAAATTGACACCTGTTGTTGTGAACGGCCTCAGGTTACCTCGATAATAATGCTCAAATTGTGACCTTGTCTCGAGACTCGTGGTTACCCTGTCCAACGACGGTGAGAGCATAAGCTTTTCATTATTGAAGGATTCAATGAGTCTTTGCAATCAGAAATCTATATCCTGGAGACCCTCTTTGATATGGAGGTAGCACAAGAGTTAACCAAAATGGGCAACATAATCCGCAAGTCAGTACTTTCAACTTTCAAGCTCGCCGTGCGATTGCTCCAGATTGTTCCGCTACCTCGGAATCTGCACTGATTGACTTTCCGTGAATTACGAACTCTTGCGCTTTTGTTTTAACGTTCGAATCTCGCTGCTTAGATGCTCCTAGGAGGGAGATCTTTTCAGGCACGGTTGCTTTCCCTACATAGAACTTATTTAAGTTTCCGCCGGACGCCGCTCGAGTTTAAAAAGCTTCGCATCCTCTCGTCTCCTCCGCCTTCATTCGTTCGTCATTCTCAGAACTTTGTGGTCGCCTTCCCCCCTTTCTCCTTGAGATCGCTGCATATACCCTAATCGATCTCCTTTCGGCCTTGTAGCTTCACTAGTCTCTTCTTGTCCTTCTGCTTATCCTTCTGCTTCTTCCTTCCTTCCTACTAATCACTATTTCTCAAGCTTGCAACATCCTAAACGATATCCTCTCTTTTAAATTCGCTGCACTGAGTGCACGCGGTGTCCTACTTAAGGCCCAGGCTCCACCGTCGTAATCTTTCATTCGTTGTAATCGATGGTTACCCGGTTGCCAACTCATTTGGATGCAGTTATTCCTCCTCCTCCTCCTCCTTCATTGCAGACGCAGGAGGTCCATGTATCCACCCTGCTGAAACCGTGGCGGGGGATTTTCCTGGTCAGTGGTACCCGTGCTAGCGACATCTCTAGCAATGTGGAAATTAGAGTAACTGGTGTAGAAACCGATGGCGACATGTATGTCAATTCCTTGATCTGTGCTCTCGTTCCTGATCTCTCGCCTCCTTTCATTAGCAAAAGTCATATCTGGCCTCCTCGCATCGTCTTCTCTATCACCGTACCTCATGCTCTTCCAATTCTTTCCCAATTGCGAGATTATATGAAAAACCGGTTTCCCCCGATCCCTTTGACGACGTTTCTCCCGGAGCGCCTGCGGGATCCTGACCGCAACGTGGTCAATCAAACACATTTTCACTCTTTGTCCCGCTTACTATGGGATAGCCAATCTGTGCGCTTTTTCGTGTCGTCATCACTACGCAGAAGTCTCATTTTGCAAAACCTACCAGGTGGCTGTTGTACCTATCTCCCCATCTGATTTCACCACATCTGTAACATTTTCTCAGGGAACTGCGCGACAGGGAATGCTCATTTACCCAGCCGCAAATTCAACATCACTCTTGATTGGGGCCATCTTTTTAACTCCCGAGGACACCTTTCCAGATTTCGTTTTATCTGCACGTGCAATGCCATTCAATAACACCTTTTCTGAGATTCCGCCTCAAGACCTCGCGAGCAGGTACAATGCATTTACTGGTGAAGACACGAGTTCAGTTCCTATCTCCCCGACTGTCATTCACTCTCAGTCGCGACAAGATTCCCAGCGTAGAGCCAGTCCGCGGTCGTACTCGTCGTTACGAGTACCCTCTGTCCGGATATCATCATCATACAGGCATAATCCTGTGCCTTTCGACACACTGCAAGGACATCAGCTTCCTTTTCCGGAAACACGTCTTTCTTTCATTGCACCGATAACCAATATAGGTTCGGGAGGAGCTGCTGCTTCCTTGCACTATGGAGCCGATAATAGCGACGACAATGACCCCGCACTGACTCATCCACGAAATGTGCCTTCTTATTCCGCCCAGTCTCATTCGTCTCTCGAACGTCAGCCTGTTTTGCACAGTCGCAATACGTCTGGAGAAAGCTCTCGCTCGAGATACAACGAACATGGTTCACCGGAGGACAATCCTCCGTCTGATAGTCCTCAGCTGTCTGAATCTGATCAGCAAGAGAAAGAGTTAATTGCTGCATCAATTTTCAATCCTTTTGATCTCACGACTAGAACGCGCAGTCATTAATCACACGCACTTTATACCTTGTCCACCTGCAATTCCCTTGCATTTTTCATGAATGCAGATACCCCCCCAAATGTACCATACCACAATTTAGCTTTGATTTTGGCATTACCGACGGTCGTCGTCGTATACCTCTTCTTGATATACCCTATACCCTTGCTATACTAGCGTAGAACTACTAATATACCCAGCTGTATTCTACATTGAAGATAACCGAATGATTCACTGGCAGAGTAAACATCTTTGAAGTATGAAGGAGCGAAAGGGTATGTGGACCTATGTAGGCCCTGGATTTCAACCCCGACCGCACTGGCGATATCTTGAGTGAAACGATCTCATTTTTTCCTTGTTAACCCTCCACTACCTACCCTTCTCTTCGATGTGTAGCTTTGGGGCATCATCATATTTCACGTACAATTACAGGCACAAATTCCACGACCTACGCTATATGAATGTTCAGAAAATTTCCTGCTTAAATTAATCCTCAGGCTGCATAAGCAGCAGACGCTGTGGCTAAGGCGGCGTCGATAGTTGAAGTGATGGGGGTAGCTTGGGCAAGGAGGTCAGGCTTGACTAGTTGTTAGCGGATTTTAATATACATATTTAAAAAATCTCGAACCGGCGTATTAGCAATAAGGCCATTTTCGAAGTTCTTTGTGTCCGTCGCTAAGGTCGCCAAGTCTTGAGCTACAAGTGCTGATACACCACCCAAAGGTAAATCATCGAATGCAGGCTTCTTCGCGACAATTCCGACAAGCGCATCCACGATGGTGGGCTCAAAACCTTCTACAGCATTAATGATGGTTGTCCCGTCCGCATCAGAAAAAGGTGTTGTTGCCTATGATAGCTCAGCTAATCAAAACGATCCTAGCGGTCAATATAATGAAGGAACTCACAGCGACATCAGTTGCAGCGGTCGCAAGCGCTGAGGCTAAGCCTGTGGCTTGAGCGTGGATAGCCTGAATCATGGTCAAGCAAATGAAACAAACAGAAAGACCCGGAGCAGAGCCTACCAAAGCTGACAGAAGTGATCCTCCAGTGGTCGGGAACGCCTCGATAGCACTATTGAGAGCAGTGACTTGACTTGCAATGTTTGTAATGTCCTGTTCGACAGTCCCGACGTCACGTTTCAAAGGAACAGCGGCGAGACAAGCTGCTGCAAAGATCGAGAGAGTGGTGAAGGAAGCGATGCCAATCATGACCGTAGTCGAATGCTTTGCCAACGATGTTAATGCAGAGGGCTGAGTGCTAGGGTACAGTCCTCGTAAATTCCTCTTTTATACCAATCGAGACTAACAACCAAAGCCAAAAACATGGGTTAGCACATATGGCGGACTCGTCAGCTGGGCAAAGTTTGACTTGTGATACTTTCAGTAGAGGTGGGACTGGAGATTGAAGAATACAAAGCAACGTAAAATCATAGAATGGAAGGCATCCTTCTGCAGACATCGTTCAGAATTTGACACGAATTCACTCACGCAGAACTCACATGGGGGCTTCGACCATATGTCGACTGAATTTCGAAGGAAGAAAGAATCAGATGAGACGAGATGAGACGAGAATACGACGAATGCATACATATAATATCGTGAGCTTAATGTGTTCCGAGTCGACGGTTCGGAAGATTTCAAGTTTGAACTTCTTGATTCTTGAATTGCCCCGAACAATTCGAGTTTGCGTGGAGGAAAATTCGGAGGACCATAGGCTATGCAGCAGATAGAAGAAAGCTAAACATGTCTAAAGCAACCATTCTACATTCGTATCGTAAACGGGCAAAACAAGGACATTCTAAAAACGTTCGTATTTGGGGGATCAGTGTATTTAAGATTCTACTAGTCTAAATGTAGTCCTCAGCTGTCAAGATGAAAGACCAATAATACTCTATCTTGTTCATTTGAAGCTTGAGGGAGGCCCTACAACCGTAGGTTTCACCTTCTTCAACAAGGAAATAGTCTCGTCGTCTAAGCCAAGATGCGCTTTCACCAGTGCCGGCGGCGTCAGAGCTAGCCACTATAAAAACAGTGATCAGGTTCACTCGAATGACAACGACCAAGGTCCATTCCACATACTTGATTCAAACTAATATCTTGAAAACGGTCTATCGACCAAGGTCAACTTAGGCAAGCGGAAGAGACAAAGAGCGTGGTTGGTTATTCTCACCAGAATTGAAAACTTCTAGATATTTTAGAGTGCCGTTTCCTGTGTTCTCAACATAATGGCCTAGACCGATGGTATTTCGAGATGAGAATCGCATTCTTCAACAAAATATCACATCGAGCGGGCGTACCGTATGAAGCAGGGATAAAGCCTGCCACCGAGGGATGAGAACGCGTATTTCTTCAAGGATACTTCCACTATTTACTCACCTATGTCCCCTGCCTAAATTCCCCGGGTATGAAGGCTCAACGAAGGAACTGAACGCTTTATTTAGACGAAGCTAGACATACTTGGAAATTGAACGTTCTTGCGTTGCTGTTGGCGGCAAAGATCGTGATCCGGGCTTCGCCTTCCCTGGAATGATACATAACATAGAACGTTGGTCAGCTGTTGATGCACCTGCCTATTTTCTTTCTACTCACAGCACGAAGGTCCATTCGTCTTGAGTAGGGTGCCACTCAAAGTGTGGATGTCAGCTAAATAAGAAGAGATAGAGTTATAGTTAGGGTGCATACATGCATCTCCCTATATAGTCAGAGTTAAGTTTCAGTGCAAACGTGTGTGTGTCCTATCCAGCGGAACCCACCTCATTCCACCCACTTCTACTTCGACTTCCGCAACTGCGATCTTTGTAGCAACATCAAAGACTGTCGAGTCCGCAATTTTCACAGAGCCTCCCTCGAGTTTAGTCGGCGCCATCTGTGAAAACGGGAAAAAGAACGGCTGGGGTACTGTGCCTTGGGGATCAGAAACATCTTCTGCATCATCGGCGGGAGGTGCTGTGTCAACAGAAGGGATTGTGAAATTATGATTATGGTGATGATGATGATGATGATGGGGGACAGGAAGGTTTGTGAGTTTTTGTGAGTTCGAGTGTGATGTGAAAGTTAGGAGTCAGTCATGGGATGGATGTTCACCTGCAGGGAAGATATATAGTTGTTTGCTTGGGATACGCGAGAAGGCGTCAGGATTGGTGATACCGAAGTTCTTGCGGATGACTGGGTTGATGATTAGGGGGGTGGAGAGAAAGTCAAATTGCTGTTCATCTAGAGAAGAGAAGAGTATTGGTAGGGAATGCACCGACCTTCGGCAGGTACATGCGCAAGCCAGTCGGTCAACTGTTCGACGAGTGGGGCAGGCAAATTAGAGATCAAGCACAATGTGGAAAGGATATTATGTGGTGTACCAAGAATGTACCGTCGTCGCTGAATGCACCGTCAGGGAATACCTAGATGAGAATCACTCAATACGATGAAGGAAAGGAGAGATATGATCGTCTGTCTCACCAAGAGAAATTCTGAACCTTCAACGGATTCGTTCGTGGCCTGAAGTGAATGAGGAATTCCTGGTGGGAAGTACCAAAGGTCTCCAGGTCTCTGTGAATATATGAGGTATATTGGAAATCGGTGATAAAGTACAGAGAAGAAGAATGGCAATCCATACCACTGTAGCGATGAAGTTGCGACCGTCTTGATCTACAGATGTAACCTGGGTAGTGCCCTAGCGAGAAAGAAAAAGAAAAGGTAATTTGCAATTAGATTTCGGTGGAAAACAAAGTGACATAGAGAAACGTAGATACCTTTAACACATACGCCCACTAACGTGATGAATGTACGTGTAAGCTGAATTGCAGAGGTTACGCCTTTGGTACTTAGAAGAATCTTACCTCCGCGGTGGAATGCCAATGCAGTTCGCTGAACCGCTCGATTAGGAATAGACGTAGAACCCATATGGAACATCGCCTCATACCGAATAGCACCAGCCTCTAATCTCATATCTACTGCAGCCATCGCTATAGTAGATTGTCAGGAACGAGAACAACAGTGGCGAGTGTCTTTTTTTACTTACAAGTAGCAACCGGAAACATTTCAGTATTTTGTTGCCTAGCCCATCCGCCAGTTTGTAGACGCATATGGCTCATACTGAAGGGCCATTTAGAATTAGCTCTGTACCCCGTCTGATCAGTTTTGACACCTTTTCTGGATTACAGGACTTGAACTCACACATCGCCATTATCAGTACTCGGAGGCGCGAATAAATCTGGGTTCTGTAAATCGATTGGAGTGTTGTCTGGTCCGAGAACCGAGGCTCCGGTTTTGCCACGGAAGGGTTTTGGGACGGAGTTTGAGCTGGCGGGGCCCCATAGGACGGCGTTGGGAGTAGTACTTGCGTAAGGGACGGTTGGAGTAGGTTCGGCGGCTGAAGATAGGGTTGGAGTGGCATCTCGGGCACCTCGTGATAGTAATGCCGCTCCATAGGCGGGGGATAGAGTGGTCAAGAATAAGAGATAGTGTATGCTCCGCATCGTAGTTGCACTGAAGGGGCAGCGAGTTGCGTAGGAATGAGAATGAGATATTGTAGTGAAGAACGTGTACCAGAGCTGATAGTTAAGAACGTGCACTAGAACTTGGTAGAAATGAAAAGCGAGCAAAAGGGTGTACTTGGCGACGCGATGGACCCAGGAGCAAAGTAGTACAAGGACTTGATGTTGACGGTGGAAGTAAACGATCCAACGATTGTCTTCTCTGTGTTGATACTGTTTATTGAGACCCAGATGCCTTTATTGGCTAGCATATACCGAGGAGTTTTGTGCGCTTATAACATGACTTTGAAGCTTCTGTTCTCTTCACTTCCGGAATCTTCATTTCGCCCAACTTCATTCATCGTGTACGTTTATGTGGTAACGCTACGTTGTGCTCTGAGCTGAATGTCGAATCTATGAACGGGTATTGCTTCGATTCACAAGGTATCTACGCACCGTTGGATTTCCCGCATAACCGAATTCCATTCCTTCATCGCGAAGCCCATTGAAGAAATGGATACGCCACATGCGTGAAGGACCAAGGAAGGCCCGGATAGAATGAGAATAGCCCCGAAATGACCAACTATGCACCCGATATTCACAAATTCAGCGGTCGGAATCGATGAGGCTTGCGATGGGATTTCGCTTCTCACTTTTGACGAAATCTCAGAGTCCCAGAATTGCTTTTACAAATGCAACGTTCCAGTGCGTGCATTCACAACGTCAGTAAGTGGGGAGCTGGGAGTAAATTTTTATTTTGAAATACATAGAAAACATGCAGAAGTGACGCCAATGTTTATTTTGCGGCTGACATGATGTATGAATACCGCACCGGAGGTTGGAGCAGTTGCTGGAGATTTGGAGTATCGTCCATCGGAGGTCTGTTGATTGCCTGCAAGGAAAATGCTGCGAATCGCCAGCTGATGTAATCAACGCTCGATAACTTGTTGCTTCCTCCTCCGTTCAAGAGTACACGCGTAGAATCCTAGCCATATTTTGACGCGTCTTTCGTCGCTTGCAGAATTGACAGCCTCCAATACCTCCTAAAAAAACAATGGTTCCGCTTAAATTGACGTTGGAGATTGAAATGACGCAGGTCCTCCGTCATTTTCTGTATCTACGTCAGTTCATCCAGCTACGCTATTTAAGACATCGCCGATTAAATCAGCTGCACATATTTCCCTTCTCATAACCATCAACAAATCTCAAACAATAATGTCTTCATTACCATCTGCCAGAGGCGCCGTTACGGATCCCATCGAAAGGGATCGCAAAGAACAGGACGTCGAGAGAAAGCTCAGGCTTTACACCACCGTCAACGCTCTGCGGGAGTCTAAACTACCAGCTAACAAACAGTTGGACGGCTGGCTGGACGTCTTGCAGCAGAATCTCGGATCCGATGGCCACAGTAAGTTCAGTGATCTCTCTCCTTGTCTGTATTAACGATTCACTCAGGTCAAAAACTTTCGAGGCAAGGCCAAAAACTCACTACAGATCTTCGAGATATTCTCGATACCGTCCGTCTCATGTTGAAGAACAAGAATGGTGACGAATTACTTCAAGACGTCATCTGGAACACCAGGGATATCGAGACTCCCAACTCAATCAAAGGCGAAGATTTGGCCAACGATAGTCATGTATTAGGTGTCAACAAGAACAAAGCCCAAGAGGATGCCCAACAAGGTGCGAGTTACAACTAAATGACGCGTTCGCTTTCTGACTTCACGCTTTTGATCAGCTGCTCACTCTATTCGAACACTTCTCCATCTCCTATTAACCAATTCCGAGGCCAGAAAACTCGTGTCCGACTTTTCGGTTGTTGGCAGAGATCTGCTCGCCCGTGGATTAGGTATGATTTTCGTAATCCACGCGATATAATCAGCTCTAATCACAGCTTCAGGCAAGGCCAGTGAAGGCTTGCGTCCCGACGAAGACCAACTTAAATTGGTCGATGAATCTCACCGAGGTGAAGGTGGTGCTTTTTCCGTGGCTTCTCCAGAACAACGCGCTCGAGAACAAGAAGAAATTGGAGTCGATGGAATGGCCAAGGCCCGTGTGCCGAGTGACATTAAAGATTCCGCAAACGCTGTTGCTGAAGAAGCTAGTCGTACTAAAGACACGTAAGTGCATGATTCTTTTTCTATTTCACAAACTCACCCTGTGTTAGTGCCCAATCTGCGGCCAGAGATGCACGCGGACAAGATATATCTCCCTCGTCGCCCCAAGATGGCGTCGAAGTCGTCAAAGAAGAGAGCAAGAAACGTGGACTCATGGACCGTGTTAAGGTTGGTTCAGTAAGCGCCGTCACTTATTAGTGCTAACGATTTTCGTCGGTATAGAATGTGAAGAATTCGATCCCCAGCGAACATCAAGAGAAAGCGAAAGATCATTTCAATCGAGGAAAGGAATTCATCACGGAAGAGTATTTCCCGAAAGAGAGGCGCGATCAGTGGATATGGAGAGGAAAGAAGGTGGGCAACTTCCGACATCCTCAGGACGCGTTTGGTGGATTTAACGGTTACCGTTGTTCAGGTCATTCTTGAATGCCAATCTCATCCAGAGTATCAATCATCGCTGCGCTGGTTGCTCTCGTATATCAAAGAATATGCGTCACACGGAAGGAGAATCGCTAATGAAGGAGGAAACAAAGCTACTGAAGGTGTGAAAGGCGTAAGTTTTCTTTGCGCCTCCACACTCGATTTGACTCACGCTCCTTTTTTAGAATGGCGATCTGCAAGGCACTATGTCGCAACTGAGGGCTCTTACCGAACGATTTGCCAATGGTCTGTTTACTATTAAGATGACGCACATTTCAAACATCTAATACAAATATGTTTATAGGACGAAGCATGGAAGAAGATATTTGGGATCCAATCAATGCACTCATCGATGACGCGCAAAGAGACCAGGAATTTAAGCAATGGTGGAATGAAGTCGATGAATGGCTCGAAAAGGTTCGTTCACCTATGATTCTTCGCATCTGACCTTATTAATATTATAATTAGATTCTGTTAACTCCAGGATACGTTATTGAACCAGTTTCCAGCAACAGAGGACGAGAATTGTACGAGGCTGGGAAGAAATTCTACGGCAGCGGGCAGTTTGATGATGAGGTTATTAATGAACCACAGGTGAAAACTCTTCTCATCGAAATAAATTTCTTGATTGCTGATCTGTTCGATTAAAACAGGCTGGCACTACTGACTTCCATTCTACCGCTGCAAATTCTGGCTCTGGTTACGTTCCTTATCAAGTCGGTGACGTCAACGCCACCGCTGCTGGCCCCACTTCTACTGCGCAACCTACTTCCACCAACCAACGCTCTGCTAATACGCAACCAGCGACGCGCGGCAAGTACAGAGAGCATTTCGACAACGTGTTTGAAGGCATTGGCAAGTTTGTTGGCGGGATTGGTGCTGATCCTTTGAATCGCCGGTATGTTTTTCTAAGCATTTCATACTTAATGACACAATACTAAGTAAATTCCCTGTAGGTTTGGTACCGATATTCAGCGTCTCACGAAGGATTTGCTCTTCGACTCTGAAGGCAAGCTGACGTTCAAGGCCGAATTATGGAATGATGTTAGAAACACGATTGTGCCCGGGTTGATTCAGAGGGTATGTATTAACATCGTATCGCATGTCCTATCTTCAATAACGTTTTCGTTTCAGATTGGTCTAGTCCCTATTCCTCGTATCGAATACACTGATGATTCGCTCGACTTGGTTTTGGAAAATCTTACGCTTTCTGCTCAGAACTTGTTCCCCAACTTGGTTGAGGTCGAGGTTAAGAACTGGGCCCGCTTTGGTAGTGGAACTGTTACAGGGAAGAAAGATAGTACGTTCGCACTTTAACGCGCTGTCCCTATGGTACTGATTCGTTTGTTAGCTTCCAAGGAAACAAATACGAACAGACATTCCCTGCACTTACACTTGTCCCACATTCAAACCGACATGCGAGATGTTGCGTTCTACTTTAGGAAGAAAAGTGGTTTGCCCAAGTTGAAAGATTCTGGTTTGGCCGATGTGTTACTCGGAGGTGATGGTTTAAGTGTGCGTTCATTGAATGATGTCCTCCTCAAGTTCGGTCTGACCATTAAATTTTCACAGGCAACAATCCACCTGGAATCTTCTTCCGACCCCACAACGCTTTACGATATCAAAAACATTGCGGTTAAAGTCGATACCCTGAAATTCGCCATCCGAGACTCGAAACATGATTTGCTGTACAAGACTTTGAAGCCACTCGCCACCGGTCTGATTAAGAAACAGATTCAGAAAGCTGTAAGCTCATTTCCGCAAATTTTTTTCACTTCTTTTGTGATGCTTATATCAATCTTTAGGTTGCCGATGGCATGCGCACCGGTTTGGAATGGCTTGGGGAGGAGCTGATCGCTGTCAAGGATAGGATGCATGAAGCCAGGGAAGGCGCAAATGAGGAAGAAGAAGTTGGTCGCTTCAAGGCTATGCAGGAGGTGAGAAATGATGTCGATGCAATTCGAGAGGTATCATGTTCCTGACCTTATCATACAACAGGCGTTCAAGCGCCGCACGGATGATACCGCGTCTTCTGTTTCTCGCTCTGGCAGTTCATCGCAGTTTAAGGTCGTTTCTAACAAGGTATGTTGTGATGATTCAAATTGGTGACCTTCGTTTCTGATTTTGGCGACATCTTCTGTAGCGCAATTCACTCCTGGCCAGTACCGGTCATCCTTCTGGCTGGGTTAACAGGGTTGATGAGAAGGAAAAAACTATTCATCAACTTCCAGCGGGCGAACGTGGCACCGGGAATGAGGACAGTTGGAGAAGCAAAGCATTCGATATTAACGCATAAAGCAACGAAATTCATGAAATGTAACGCAGTCCAAAGTTTTATCATCCCAACATTTGACGACTTTCATACCTGTGTATGTCTTTTTGTGTATCTTATTGTACAACATTTGTATTCCACAGCGGCACAATTGCCTTTGTTAATTTTACTGTAGGCTCCTTCTACCGAATAAAAGTTTGTTTTATACCTCTGGTTTTGTCTTTCGAATGTTTTGCACTCACAAGATATGTCCACACTGGTTTCAAAATCATCATGTAAAGTCGTTAATTCGCAGTTGTATTGTCAAATTTTTGGGACCTTTCCAATTGAGTGTCCTGCGCAAATTTCAAACTGGATACCCTAGCGCGATGATTTCCAGCTTCGTCATTCGAGGCGTAGGTATTTCGGAGAGTGTAGTCCAGTGGCGACCATTCGAGGTTGACTATGATAATAACGCTGACAGGATATAAAGCCTGAAAGTAACAACGTCGACAGGCGTTCAGCCACACAGTCCAAAATCATACAGAAGAACTTGGAATACTCGCCGAGGCGGCTAAGAACCACTCAACTACCATCGAAGTTGCAATAAATAGAGGTGTTATCCCCCCAGACGACCTTTCACTGAAGAGTATCAACATCGAGTACACGAACTAGAGATTGAATGCATGCAGATTTAGCATTGAGGTCTCATACCCAACCCATATAGAGAATCACACCTGCAATACACAATAAACAGCCCCGGATTCCACAAGGACCAACAAGATGTTCTCCGCATAAGTTCGGTGATGGTTCACCCAGGACTTCATCACCTGATGGTATTGCCTAGGGTATGTCAAGCGATGAGACAAGGAAAACCGGCATTGGTATGAAGATGGCTTACCATACCCTCAGCGCAATGAGTAGCGTTGCTACAAGATTCAACCCGAACGAAAGAAATGCAGCGGCTGTATCCCACGCAGAAGTTGCCCAGAATGATTTCAGTGCGATATCGTCGAATATGCAATCAACGATGTTTACAACTACAAGGACGGGTACTTGTTTGATAAGGTGTGAACATTATGAATAACAACACATACCGAAACTAGCACTTGCGAGGATCAGTAAGCACCCTCTTATCGGTTTGCTTCCAGTCCAAATCACCCAAGCTCTCCATGTAACGATACAGTCACTGATAATGAGCTCGAAGCCAGCGTCAGAGGGTTGGGCTAAAGCGAATTCGGAAATTCACTTACATTGAGAGTCACAGGCCACGCAATCATGTACTGGTATGGGAGAACGGCGATTGCGGCGTTGTCAATTTGGGTAGTCAAGTCCCCTCCTGACTGATTCTGCACGAGCGCGGCTTGGATGTTGACCAGATTCGCAGCGCATTTGACCACAAAAGCCCATGTATACGTGAGTAGAAGTAAAACAAGGCAAGCCAGAAGAATTTTGCGAGGACCACCTGTTGTTCCTTTGCGGCTAGAGAACCGTCCAGTAGGATTATGAGAACGAAGAATACTTTTATCGAAACACCAGGACGAACGCACAAAAGTAAGTAAAACGCAATAGATGTTGCCAGAAGATAGATGCCTGGCGATTCGAGTTTGATAAAGGGCTCGACCAATTATCTCCATTCAACGACTCACCATAGAAAGTACAAGTGCAAATGAGGGCCGCGATTGCATAGAATAATTGGGCACCAAAATCAGACAAAAGTGCGCTTTCTTCTGGAGTCATCGTCGCCCCTTATATTCGCGCTGGTGCAAAGAGATGGGGGATTGGAAAGCATTTTCTCGGTCTCTGTTTCCGAAGATAAAGATGTTACGAAAACCCATATCCGTGTTGATTATTATATCTCCATTGAACATGACTGAAGTACTCGAATTTTCGGAGCGGGTACAAAAGATACTAGCTCTTACGCCCCAAACTGGTGGAGCACGCATTATATTATCTTGCATGAGAAAAGAATAGACGACATACATACACATCCTGCTGGCCATTTTCCTTCTCAGCCACAGAAAATTAGATATTCAACCCGCTTTGATCGTCTGACTATCTGAATTGCAGTAAGAACTGACTGGTGAACCTTGAGCCTGATGGCATTTCTTGACTACATTGATGCTTTGAGGTATTGTGGGGACCACTGGCAGCGCAGGATATTGTGGACCATTTGAGGACCACGACGTTATTTACGAAGAGCAGGATTGATTCCCACGCGAAGCTTGTTCCATTGCAAACCCGAGCCTCTAACGCGATTCATTTTCTCATTCCAGCTACTCATTACCCTCATCGGCATCATCGACTTGGGAAGTTTGCAAACAGTAGTTAAAATCCGAAGGGGACACAAGAATGATGGTTCAACAATCGTTGGTTCAATTCCAAAGAAAGACAAGGAACAATCTGGACTAGGCTGGAACAAAGCAATTGGCTGTCAAAGGAACGTTCTGGCACAATTATGATTCGAATCATTGAGGTGATAGCAACGCCTTTCTCCTGGACAATTAGCTCAATTGTGGTCTGATCCTCACTTGAATCTGTCACGCGATCGTTACACCCGACCCCAAGGCTTCCTCCGCAGGTATATAAAGGGTCCAGTCAGACGACCATTCTTCATCCAAACCAGCATCATCTGCAACTTTCCCCCTACCACAAGATTTCAATTGCTTCACCGTCTACACGACTCACAATGACTCGTACTGCTCGTGCTACCTATCCCAGAGCCGCCCTCAAAGACAGATCTCAATCTCGGTCCGGTATGGACAAGAGTTTGAAGAAGGACGGCGCTGGTAGAGGCAACTGGGGCAAGCTCGGTGAGGTTGGGTACGACGACGACGACGAGTACGACGAAGAATCTTATGAAGCGGAGACCGCGAATCTGGATGCCAGTGAGACAGGTAGTGAAGGTAGTATATTCATTGCCACCTTCTCTTCACCAAACTCACGGGCTTGCTTACGATCAGCGTCGTCTACCTTGGAACCCAAGCACTCCGTCTCGGACCAGAAAGAGGTTGAGGCTGCCCGAGCCTTCAGGAAGCGAGCTCTAAGTGGTACAGGTTAGTAGTCTCTTCAAGTTTGTTACCCTGACTGATGTCTCCTGTGCAGTGGACCTATCTAGCATTGCTCGCACCTCGGTCGCAGTCTCTGGCTCTCCGCCCAAAGCTTGAGCCTGAGCACTGTGGGTGGCGTTTTTACGTATAGTAGGTGTTTCTTCCGTGGCCCTCCAACACGATGCTGATCCATGTTTTATTCCCAGACCTCCTCAGAGTCCAATCGCGTAGTTTTCCCTTTCCTTTGATCTGCCAAACAAAATCGAATGTAACACGCCTCACGCTGCTTCCTGTATTTCATGATCACATTTTCCGCTTCTGTTCACTTGCATCGTACACTCATCGATCAGTCAATGTAAAACGTAATTGATTTAATATCTTGGTCGACCTTGTTCGACGTCCCCGGATTCACCACCTTGAGATGTTGCGGAATGCACTCTGCACTCCGTCATGAGCCTTGAGCGCTCGAGCGCCAAATGTTCACTGTACGCTACACCGAGTAAAAGGGGCCTTAGTTTATCTCAGTACGCGACCATGAAAGTGGATTTGAAACAACGTTGGTCTTCTCTTTCCCCAGCCCTCCTCTATTCGGTATCCTCAACTTCAGCCAGGGGACAATTGCTGGTGAAAATCATATTCAAGTATCTACTTTATGCTATCGTTCTGGCTAATCTGCGTGGCGCACCGGTTGTATGGCATTGGCGCGTTTTCTGGCCTATAATCAAGTACAATCTCCAATTTCTTGCTTTTCGAGTACCGAACGCGTGTGCTACGCTCCTGAATCGGGGAGAGCGGGCGCGAAGAATAGCTGGATACATTGACAAGACGTCTCCGGTCGGTGTCCATCCTTTTGACTTTGAAGTCATTTATCGCTCTCGAGTTAGTCTGTATCATCCATCCTCCTTTTCTCTATTTAATCGAAGCTAACCCCATCTCTGGCATTTCTCAAATTCCAGGCGTCGACGAAAGCGATTTCAACATGCATATGAGCAATTCGAGCTATCCAAAGGTGCGTTTTGGCATCCTGCATTGCTATCACACATCTCAATCATGTACTCTCAATTGTGGAAGTAGATTTTAGACTTTACCCGAACCAAAATGGCTACACACTTATTTCCCCATTTCCTCAGAGCCGGCGGTGTCGTTCCCATTGCATGTGCGTTGAAGATTAAACCGCTGTACAACGAAGTCCTCTTTGACGTCTATGATTGACTTTTTGGCATGCAGCGACACATTTTCATTTCGTTCGTGAAATACCGATGCTCGCAAAGTACGAAGTGCGAGCTGGTATTGGTGCTTGGGATGAGAAATGGGTGAGTCTCTTTTCTACTTCGAGTCACTCTACGCATATTTATCATTACTTTCGTTTCTACCCTGGTATTGGTTCTCATTTCTGCTCGAAGTTCTATGTGGTTGGCCGCTTTGTGACCAAACAAAAGCCCAAATCACACAATGCTCAACAGTCTTCCAGCCAAGTTCCTCCACTAACCAAGTCGGAATCAGATTTAGTGGCGAAACTGTTTGACTCTTCTTCAGAAGATGAAAAAGACATAATTCTACACACTGTTGCTGTAGCTCGTTGCTGCTACAAGCTTGGCCGAATCACGGTTCCACCTTCAGTCCTCATGGCTACGAATGGTGTTTGTGTCTACCCTCATGAGGTCACAATGACTGAGCTCGATCCAACCTTCTCTGGCCCGTTGGATAAGTATTCAGGTTTCTCGGTCGAAAGCCCTCCCCATACCTGGACTCATCACGCTCGAAATTTAGCACTCAACCCGAGAAAGCTACGTGAATTTTACAAAGGTGCTTGGCGACAAGATCCGACGAGATGGTGGGACAGCGCAATGGGAGCTGGTGGACCAGTGGAGAAAAAATTGAAGGAGAGATTGGGAATATGCAAACAGCTGTTTGAAGGAATGGATGGGGTGCGGCAATTCGGGGAACCTGCCATAGTGTGATGATCATCTGCGGGTTGCATGGGTTGGCAACTTGGGATTTCTGAATATATAGGAATTGAAACACACACATAGCCGAAATGAGGTAGGAGTAGGAGGTCCTATGTACATAGGAGGTCCCGGTCCCGGTCATTCCCACGCCATCTCGGCCATAAATATTGCATGATTTTTTTTTGATTCCGAATTCTACCCGTACTTCAGACACAGCTCATCAAGCTCAAGCCTCTGTTACATGTGCCGGAGGAAAGTTTGTGGACTCAATTAGACCCCATTGAGTCAGGCATAAATCTTTCTCAAAAAGTCCTGGGTTCATGAACTCAGCGTCAATTATCTTTTTGATTATCCGTGTCCCGGTTGGACGTTGAAACTTGAAACGAGCTTTGTACTCCTCATATTGCACTCACTTTACGCGCAAGGGTTGTCGCATAGATCCATATAGAGCCTAGCAGAGCCTACGTCACCTCCGAAGACGGGAGGAATCGTCATAAGTATCTTTTTTTCACTATATAAATGTCACTGATTTCTGCGAAAATGACATTGACTGTGCCCACTCGCTCCTTCCAGGATGCTTTTTCATTCGTTGTCGACTTTCGCTCTTTTAACTCTACTGTCTTTACCTCTATCTGCAACCGCTTCAGTTGCCTACTGCAATAACCAAGATTACGAATCAGGAGCCCTAGGAGAATCCCCATACCAAAGCTATAATGCAGCCCCCTTCCAACCTGTTCAGCTAAACTATGCCCTCCCAACAGCCGATTGCCCTTCCAATAGCCAGGTCTCGGGATATTTCATGATCTCCCCACTCGGTCAGCTCATTTGGACAATTGTGATCTGAAGTTCCTCTAATACTTGCCTTGATTTGTAGGAAGTGAACTTCATATGACCGGAGGAGGATATATCATGAATCCAAACGGAACCATGGTCTACTTCTCTTCAGGTTTTGGCTCGATTGTCATCCTACGTGGAGTTTTCACCTATCAAGGAGAGGACCATCTGGGTATTTGGGTCAGTGATGGCTCTGTTCCAATGCCTTCAGGACACGGAAGCGGATGGAATATCCTTTTGGATAGGTCTTATAATACCGTTGCCACGATGTCTGTCGAGCTTTGTTTCATGCGGGCGCAGCCTTCACTGATGTCGTCCTTCCTGTAGCACAACTTCGGGCTTGTCAGTTGGCGCCGATCTTCATGAGGTGGGTGCTTTTCCTCTCGGCGTCCATACATCTTTTTCTCAGTAGGGCATTTTTCTTCTCAGCTTCATGTTACTTCAAACAACACTGCTATCATTACTGCGTTCCCCACGGACGAAGCAGACTTGTCTGCTTATGGTGGCTCCACGACTGGCTACGTATTAAACCCTGTTGCTCAGGAAATTGATATAGCTACAGGTATGATTCAGTTCGATAATTGCTGACATTTTGACCGATTACAATCTTTGATTTGGTTAGGAGAAGCAATTTTCACTTGGAAGGCCTTGGACCATGTTAGCCCTAGCGAGTGTTATGCGCCCTTTGGAACTACTTCCACTGGGTATGGCATCGCCACGGATCCCTGGGATTACTTCGTTCGTCATGAAATTGTTCGATTGAGGCATATTTTCCTCTGATCTTGTTTCCATCGCTATACATAGCACATGAATTCTATTCAAAAAAACGATGACGGGACTTATCTCATTTCATCCAGACAGTACGGTCATACTCCCCTTTGATGCGGCTTGTAAAACAAACTCAAATGTGAATCGGGCAGCTGTCATACACTATACCTTGTGAACTCCGCAGGTATAGTTTGCACCACACGGTCGCCTTAAAAGCGTTTACTTACGGGAGACTATTTTACAGGCGAAATTCTATGGCGCATGGGAGGGAAAAACTCGGTAAGTACTTTGTAAAATGCTCGATGTGCTTTGACCAACTTTTGCGAAAGAATTTCACGCTGAACGAAGGAGCTAATTTCACCTGGCAGCATCACGTTCGATTCCGCGGCTCTGGACAACTTTCGTTAGTATACACTCTACCCTTTGCACTCCCGAATGACGCTCTATTGTTCTTAGCCTCTTCGATAACGGTGCGACGGAATGGGAACAAGATATCCCCTACTCCCAGGGTCTCCTACTTGACTATGATGAATCTGCGATGACTGTGTCCCTTTTATCTGCGAGAGCGCCATACGACCGTACAAACACGGTTTCGCAAGGCAGTGTGGAACTTCTTTCGGATGGAACTTCCATTGTCGGGTGAGCTACTCAAAAGCCCTACATAGCACATTTCATATTTACTGTGTGTCTTCGAACGTAGTTGGGGTGCTATGCCCTATTTTTCTGGGCACGACACAGCTGGCAACATCATCTGGTCTGCTCAATTTGCTGTTGCAAGCTCAGGTATTAGCTCATACCGAGTCTTTCTGAATGATTGGACTGGCCGGCCTAGCGTTCCTCCTTCGCATAAAGTTACCTCCCCTTTCTCAGGCAATATCACTGTCTATGCCTGGTGGAACGGCGCTACTGAGGTGGTATCATGGGAACTCCTTGGATCTCGTCTCCTCACACCCTTAAAGGCGACTAGCTTGAGCAACGCGAGTAAAACGGACTTCGAAACTACCCTCGTCTATTCTGGCTCGGGATATGCGTATTACCAGGTGGCCGCCCTCAATGCCAACGGACAGGTTTTGAAATATTCTAACTTCACCGCGCTGGATGGAACTACCTTTGGGCCAGCGGATAATCAGACTGTCACTGCTGCCCCATTGAGCTGATTTTTCCGACCTTATAGTGCGCGCAATACAGCGCAATACACGCTCTTTCACATAATGAGATATATTATTTACTGATAGTAGGCTCGGTAGCTCATACATCTTGATTCTTGATATATCTCGAACCAGAACATGAACATTTTGAGTTAAGTTCAAGCAGGTTCAAGCTCTTACAGCTGATTAGAAAAACCTAGGCGCTGAGATTTCCTTGAGTGATTGCCGAGTGATCCCGAAGTCGGCTAGTCGTTAAGCGTTAGAGCGCTTAATATAATGTGGACCTCGAACTTCGAAGTCTCTCGAAGTTCCAGAGATATCGAGTGAATCCTATATGCTGTTGATGTCTTTCGTGAGGTCAACCACTCGTCATAGCTTATCACAGCCCCATCGTGTTAGAGTCTACCTCCGCACCGCGTATGCACAGTCCACAGCTTTGACCATTCATTTTGCTTCCGTCCGATTACATATACACTGTACAGTTTATAAGCCACCAGCGGACGGAGGATGGGGGGCTCACTCAGTTGTTTTACATCCAACTGAGGTGAGCCCCATACCATTTACCTTTACATACCATGCTCATGACATATAGAGTATTTACTATCTGACAGGTACCAAATACAGTTGTTTTACATCCAACTGAGAGTATTTACTATCTGACAGATTATGAGACTGGAGCACTAGAAGAGCAACCAAGAACAAAACATACATACACCCAAACCACCCAGTTCCACGATGTCATCGTCAGCAAACATGCCAAATGTCCAACGATTCCCCATGGGTATAGTCCTCGAAGGGGAGGATAACTGGTGGCCCTACAAGCGGGAAGTCAGCCTTGCAGTAGAATCAAAAGGACTACAAGGGTACCTACATGGAACCATAACTAAGTCTAGTGACACTAAGCCCGCAGTAACCGTTACATCCCCAGAAGGAACAACCACCACACCTACTGTAACAACCCCGCCATACAGCCAAACACCCTCACCCGAGGAATGGTACACTCGCGACCGATATGTGGCAAGCACCATAGTTTCAAACATCCTCGACCCTACAGGGCTAGGGGTAGACTACACCGAAATTGCATCGGAAATCTGGCGGGAACTGGTCAAACAATTCGAACAAAAATCGGAGGAGCTCCTCCTATTCCATGACAGCAACCTCCGAGCTCACCGGTACGCATACCCTGAGGAGACAATGGAGGAGCACAAAAGGACTATGAGAAATCTACTCAGGAGGGCCACAAACGCTGGAGTGGTAATAACAGACGGACAGTTCCGCGTCATTGTTCTTGCATCGCTCCCTAAAGACTGGGATTCCGATATTAGGCACCTTCCCAGGAAGACGAGCAGCGAAGCATTTACCTCCAAGGCATCTGGCTACAGAGGGAGAAGAGATGAACAGAGGAGGAGCGCGAGGAGAAGAAAGTCAAAGCCCTACTTGCAATGCACGTAGCCAGCATACAGACCCCAGACAAGAGCAGGCCAATGTGTACAAACCCCAACTGCAGGAAAGTCGGCCACACTATCCAAAAGTGCTGGGCAAAGGGAGGAGGTGCAGAAGGTAAAGGACCTAACGGATGGGGGTTCAACAAGAACAATGAGCCAAGGGAACCAGAACCCCGGAAGCGCTATGGCGGCCACAACCAACACGTCAACCACAACCGCAACACCCCTGGAGACATACGTCTTGTCTGCCGAAGTGACTAGAGACAGTGCTAGTATGTCGTCCCCCCGCACTCCCCCACAAGGTACACACCCAGCTGACAGACCTCTCGATAGCAATGATCATACCTTTTTGAGAGGGTGGGAGCATCAGGGTACAGAGGGGGTGAATGGGAGGGAGGACGTACATAAGCACTACGTAGTACCTAGCCCACTTGCATGCACAGCGCGCCGAAGCAATACACTACTCTACGCACCCACAAAGACCCCACATGCATGAACATTCATTGATTCCGGTGTGACCGAGCACTGTTGGGTGAATAAGTCAGACTTCGTGGAATACTACCAGGTGCAGGGGCAGAGTGGGACCAGTGCCCTAGCAGGCGACGCAGGCAAGTTTAAAATACACGGAATGGGAACTGTCAAGTTCGTAACCAGAGTTGGCGAAGTAACACGGCGAATTCAACTTACGAACGTGAAGCATACACCCGAGTTCGGCCACAACCTGATTTCCCTGTCAAGTCTCAACCAGCATGCTTTCAAGGGAGAGTGGGGCAATGGAGTGCTAAGCGTCAAGACCCCAGAAGGATTGGTAGTGATGATAGGGAAAGGCACAACCAAGATGTATGAGGTCGAGACACTAGACCAGACGCGAGCCAATTCAGCAAGGTCCCATGAGAAACCAGCGGATATACACACCTGGCACCGTCGCCTGGGACACGTAGCTGCGCCGAGGATCCTGCGAATAGAGAGCCGGGGTCTGGTAGACAGTTGAAGAAGCTGGCCGGAATGTGTATAGACTGCCTGTACGGGAAGGCAACACATAGACCGTTCGACGAAAAACTCACTCACGAAACAGAAGTCCTTGAGAGGGTCCATATCGACCTGTGGGAACCAGCAACCACCCAGAGTATTGGGGGGGCAAGGTACATGATGCTGTTCTCCAATGGGGCATCATCGGTGCGAGTTCCTGCATTCCTTAAGGACAAACAGAAGGAGACATCAGTAAAGGAGTTCCATAAGTATCGGATAATGGCTGAAAATCACACAGGGAAGAGGATGAGGATCATCCGGGTCGACAGCGGAGGCAAATTCGACAACAGCCTCATGGAAGCTTATTGCGCCGACCGGGGTATCACCATCAAGAAGATAACCCCATACTCTTCATCTGCAAATGGGATGGCTGAGAGAGGCAATAGGACGGTCATTGAGGGAGTATGCACCTTTCTCGAAGAATCCGGCCTCCCCCGCTCCTTCTGGGCAGAGGCTGCCGCAACCTTCACCTATGTGGACAACTTCGTGCCCACCGCACGATTCCCAGACCGTGTTCCCATCGAATACTGGTCGAACAAACGCCAGGACGTCTCACATCTACGGCCATTTGGGTGCCGAGCATGGGCCACACTCCCAGAAAGCAGAAACGACGGGAAACTGGTGCACCAGGCTGTCGAGTGCCAGCTAATAGGCTACATGGGCCGCAGAGGATACAGGTTGTGGCATCAACCCAGCCGCACCTTCATGGAGTCAAGGGATGTTGTTAAGATCATGTACACCGTGTAACCGTGCCAGAGGCCACAAGGTGTCTAAGTGCGGAGGTCGAGTGGGACAGTAGTGAAGTTATTAACAACACCGCCGTTATGCCGTTAGTCCCCGGAGATCGAGAGTATAGAAGGGAGGAGCTGAGTAGCAGCCAGGTCAGAGCGGCGGTAACGCCGGTGACGAGGAGCGAACCAAAGAACGTTTAAGTCCTAAGGTAGAGTAGAGAGTACTTCAAGGCGATGAGCCTGAAGACTTAGAGAAGAGCTAAGTTGGGAAGGGAGATCTAAGTTGATAATTAAACTGAGGAACTACAGTAGTGTACAGGCAGTATTTATATCTACGGAACGGCGCAGCGGTGCAGAGCGCCAGACTAACTACTAGGAGCTATACGTGTAGTACCTGCAGGGTAAAGTAAAAGACAATAAGGAGGGACTAGAACAAAAGGGTATGTGTAGCGAGAAAGAACAATAAGAGTGAGATTACAATAAACGATGGATCTTCGGTATACCGAGCGGCGGAATGGAGGCCCGAGGCATGGACTTGACAGATGTCAGATTCGAGGAGGGGGAAGCCCACCGCTCCAGGGCATGCATGCCTGCACCTGACGACGGTGAACTGGAGCATGACCAATCTGCAGGCAATCTAGAACCAGAAGTTCCCACTGATGGACCCACAAGTCAACAGCATGCAGATCAAGAAGGCAAGGAAACACAGATACCCGGGTCTTCTGATTCCCTACCACCACCGACAACCTCCGGTTTCTCTCAACCACCTCAACCACGACGAAGTACTCGCATACGCACCCCCTCGTGTGTGGCCATCGAAAATCGCGCCCTAGAAGAGCGTGAGCATGGTGCACAGGCCAACCGAGAGGACTGGGCGACCAACTCACCACCCACCGGACAAACCCTAGCTCTGATTGCCGCCAACCCTTGGGCCTTCGCTTCAGCCATGATGACATGCATAAATTTTGGTAGATGTCTATGCTGTGAATTGTGACATTTCCACATATAGATTTGTATCAAGAGGACTGTAATTGAGACCCAGATTGACAGTCAAAGTCAATACTGAATCAGTCTAATAAGTTGAAGGGACCATATACCATACTACCACAAATTGGTTAGTTTACCCATCCCCGATACTACGTTCGGATAGCAGTCTACCTGTTTGTCAAGCAGGATTATACCAGACTCGGACTACATCCAAAGGATGACCATTCACGTATGACATACCAAGGGTATTCTTATTGGACCTTACACTGGCAGGAGTTTGGAAGAACTTACTCAAGTGACCATGAGCCGAGGATTGACTTGAAATGACTTTCTAGAACTCAGGAATTATCAAATACTCCTTCTAGAACGAGATCATGCATTAATCTAAAAGACTGCCATTTAGTCTAATAGACCAATCAAGTTGCATGATTGAGGAAAATGACTAGAAGAACGATCAAAGTACTGCGAGGCTCCGAAGACATATCAAATGAATGTCAAAGAGTCCTGACATAGAAAATATTGAAGAATGCAATTAAATGAATACTATGCGTAACTCCCTTGATAGAGTATAGGCACAATGGGTGTCTGTTGAAAGAGAGAAGCAATTAGTTTAATCCAGACGAATCAGATTGATAGGATTAGAATCGAGGAGAGCTGATTTGCCTCCGGACGAGGTGACAAATGATCGAAGTAAGTGTTGAACAGCAGTGACAGCTGAACACCATTCGAGTCATTCTCCAAAACAATTAAATTAAATAAACATCGAAGTACCTACCTATGTTTGGAGGTATACTAGAATCTTGGAACCATTATGGAC